TGTGATGCCGTAACAGTGCAAAACGTGCTGGGTTTAGCGTACTGGGTAACGTACGTCAAACTACCCTATTTTATTTGTGTATCCTTCACGCTCGGTGAAGAAATGATAATCTCTACATAGAGAGCGTGCTTTTTTCAAAAAACAAAAACACTTGATGACCGTGAAGTGTCACGTAATTTGTATAAGATGTCGACGCTACGTGCGTCTTTTCAAGCGTTATCTGCAATGTATGTGCCAACGGAGCATTTTCCAACTATCGACACAAATCTGACAAGAACTTTCCACGTAAGAGTATATTTGGAAGGATTATACACAAAGAGAATAAAATGGCAATAAGAGCCTCGTCGTGTACAGTATCTTTTGATGGTAAAATAGAAGGAAACAGATGCGGTACAGGCGAACCCAAGTTACAATAGTAAAGTCAGAGAGTAGCAAAACGACCAAAAAAGATTGGAATTTTAAACATCCATTTTATCGACAATTCAGATATTTATGTGGGCGTCTTAAATATTTTCAAGTTCAGTGTTGTAAAACAGTTTATTTAAGTTCCAAAAACAGACTTTTCTGTTCAATGTTTATAGAAGAACTGAGACCGAACCGTAGGTTACACACAAACAGTGTCTTGGTTTGTAAGTGTGCGTGTATTATGAACGAAACATTTTAATTGGGGCTTAACCAAACAGTGCGACCTTTTTGCACATTTCAAACTTTTAAAAGCTTTACACGTCTTCTTGAAATGAGAAACTAATCTGGATGTTTGTGACTGAACATAGCACATGGTTGCAGAAGAGGAGTGAACATGATCTCACTTCCTGTCTTTCAAATTCGTTACTTTATGCATACATATTTCCGGCCAAAACTTTGGGCATAAAATAATTGTTTCAGGTAGACAGTTTTCTCCAAAAGATACCACTGTCTATTTTGTTAACTTTCTCAGTAGGAACGAGTGTGTGAAAATGTATCCGGTTTGGCTTACAAAAAGTCCCTTAAACCATAGTGGCTTAATCTGAGCATGTTTAACACGTAGATTAGCTAACTACCTTGAAATATTTTAAATGCCAAGTGCATTGTAAATCTACTTGTTTCATTTTATCCGATGAATAACTCATTGCCGGTAATAGCCAGACAGTTCAAGGCCTTAAGTATTGATTACGTATAAGGTCAAGTGCCTTTTCGCGTTTGAGAAAGTAAACAACCGTTTGTTATTTGGTTCCCGATCCTGGCTATGAATGCATATGGGGAGCTTAGAACGTCCTTGTGGTATAGCAACACCGCCTGATGGGCCTGTAAATATTGTTGACTTGTCTGCGCTAGTTTTCAAGTGTTTTCTCTCAAGGGGAAGAACAGTCATCAGATAATCTGAAAAGCGTGATTTTTTTTGTTCCACTAGAAATGTTTCTGACTGACTTGAGATAACAACATCTTCTTTAGATAAAGGATAACTTGCAATTGATATCAACGTTGCTATTTTGCGTTTCTTTCTATTCCAGCCCATCAATTGATGAGTTGATTTTTTGCATCTAAATTAAATCAGGTAAACAACGCTGACTAACCTGTGTCACACTAGTTTTTCCCTTTCCTCAGTCGCCATCAAGTATGTCGGTTTAACTGCTTGTTTTGGAGGGAGACCTCTCATTATTTCTTCTGTTAGTTTACGTAAAATGTATCGGAATGAAATCATACACGTTAATTTTTTTGTTAATCATTGAACATAGGATGACAAATAGCGGGTATTTACGCAAATAAAGTGGCATATCTGCATTACCGGTATTTTCAAGGGGGTTAGTAAGGAGTCGCAATAGAGGTTTTCCAAAGAAACGATGCAGGAAGCATAAATCTAATCTGGAAACGAAGGGGAAAAACCCTGGACATGCACAGATGACTGACCACACGAATGGGTCCTGTGTGCCTGCTTACAATCTGAAATCAGTTCTAGGTCTGCTCCTTATAGTATCTGGGGCCGGTGACAATTAATGAATAAAGAAATGAAAAATAAATAAACAAACGAAAGAAAATTAAAAATAACAACGATAAATAATACTCAAGCTAGTGTCAAAGGGAGACCTTAGTTGAGAATTTTATTAATCTTAGCCGACTAATTTGTGTTTATTTAAAAGGTTGCTTTCTTTTCTATCTGTTTCTTTTTGTTTAAAATAAGCCCCCATTCCAAATTGTGTTAGTTTTGAGAATGCTTTCTCTCACTGGTGACATTTAGGGGTGACAGCTACATTTGTTGAGGGCCAATCAATTTTAAAAACCTTGCATATTCACAAAGTCGACTCTACGTAGTAGGCAATCCAAATTTAGCAGTCTTTTAAACTAAATCCTAAAACTAACACGCTTATCAGAAAGTCGTAAACAGACCACTAGACTAAAGTACTACTATTTATGTAATGACACATGCTATTGTCTCGTGGTATAGTTACCAAAGGTGAACGGTAACCGTGTGACATGACAAACTGTGACACCTGGCAGAGATATACCTGGATCCGTTGATTGAATATCGTTGATAAAACTATCAAGAAGGTATTATCTCTACAGCAACCAGCTCGGCAATTTTGAGAAGACACCAGTGGCATATAACAGATTACAAATTAAATGCCCAAAACTGGGAAACCAAACTGTTTTTTTTTTACATTAGAAATACAGTCCACTTTCGTCAATTGATTCATAGTCAGAGTGCAACTGCACTAGCAGGAGACATACAGCCTGATTATTGATGGGCACTGACTGCAATGTTTTCTCTGTTGTACAATATCCGAAGCACAAACTAAAGACAACAAATACTGCAGACATTCGGTCCTCCCACTCTGTAAGCAAACGTAGAGAGATAATTGATATCCGTATCACTCCTAACATGATACTGGCGTTAAGGTTTGTTTAAGTGTGATGCAAGTTATGTTTAAAATTACGTTCTATGTCACAATAACGTCAATTCGGGCTAGTCCTGTGTAATACAAAGTGGGAAAATGTGTTGAGGTGTTCATGGTTTGGATAATTTGTATTTAAACGGATGTGATTATTTTGCAAGAAAAAGAAGGGCATTTTTGCGCAGATATTTACATATCACATGGAAACATTATTTTCTGCAGTTTTACCAATGTTACGTTTGTCTTCTTGAAAACTTCAGTAATGACACAAGCTGCAACAGAAAATATCATCATTACAAATCATCAAAAAAAAAAAAAAAAAAAACTTATGTCGACAAGCCATGCGCCGCTTTTCTTTCTCCTCTTTCTTTCTTCCTTTTGTAAACAGAAATTTCAGACATTTAAAATATTTTGTCTTTTCTGAATAAAATCTTCTGTGAACTAAATGGCGGACAACACGTCTCCAATTGCAGACGACAGTCGCGTGAGATAACCATGGAAACGAGATAAAATGCATCAAGGTCCCTGATGGATGACGTTACAAAGCAAACCTCTCGACAGTAAAACCGAAAAACAAGTTCCCCACGGGCTGAATCTATAAATATCTGTTAAATTTTACTTTTAAAAATACCATTGTGTCTACCTACGTAAACCATATTCAACTTACCGATCTGTCATTTAGCTGTTTGGTGTGTTAAAAATGAAAGCTGTTTACATGTTTTGCGACAGTTTTTTCCTTTTCTAAGCTGACGAAATTCTAAATCAAAACAACATATGTTTATCAGTTAAAACGTGAATTGAATTAAACTTTTGACTGTAAATTCTTATCTGTAAATATATACCGGAAAATAACAGATTATTATTATTATTATTTATTTGACATTCTAGTGTACCGTCTCCTTCTCAGTCAGAAAAAAAACTGAACCAAAAGAGCCAGGTATGGCGTTTATCCTATGATATACTAATTCTCATGAAAATGAATCAAGTTGATCTCCCAGAAAAATATGTTTGACGGAAAACACCAGTTGTAAATTCTTTTCACACACAATTTTTTTAATAATTAGTGAAGAAATTCAGGGATCTTTGCCAGACAAGTTCCTAATGGTTTCCGTTTATTTGAGGAGCGTGATTCTTTCGCCTTATTTGCATAATTGGTGAATAGAGATGAGAGTCAGTAAACCCGATCCTTTTATAAACCAAATTATGTTCATTTGCAGCCATTTTTTCTTTTCTTTACTGCATTTTTCAGATAGGCCTACTTCATATTTGAACTTGAATAGTTCAAACATTTATAAACAGAATTGCCATTTTTTCCCGATTTTTCAAGTATTGGAAACAATACAATTCCTGGGGAACTTGATGACTGTACATTGTGATTTATGATTGGTACACAAAACAGTCCTCATGGTTCCTTAAACCGGCAGTAGGCCCTACAACTTAAAAAAAAGAACATACATGTACATTGTACCAGGAAATGCTGTAAAAATCAAAGTCCATGTTTTCTTCTTGCAGCTCTGAAACATGCAGTTGTCTATAGATAAGAATCAAAATTCATTGCCCACAAACGTAGGCTATGTTAGCTCATATCAGGTTCAGAAAAGCGGAAGAAAATTCCCCAGAACCAGTGAAATGACACAAGTAGGTGTGTTCCTGGGAGTGGAGGAAAGAGAACCAGGGAGTGCGTGTTAATCTGCTTAAATTTCCCACTAATCTATCAATGCAAATAACAATTACCAGGCGCTCTTGTCACCAATATACATCCGAGCCTGACTTACATCAGAACACGAAATAAAAATGAAAAAAAAAGAAAAATGCAAAGTCGAAATATAGAAGGCTTATGGGCAGACCTTATCCGACTCCAGTGTCAGAGAAGCATTTTAAAAGTACGTACACGTTGTTCACGGCTGTTAGAGGCCTGCTCCAATATTTGCAGAGTGATTCGCGTGCCGGTGTCACTTAGCTATTGGGCCGACACTCCCACCGGTAAAGCTTTCAAACTCTTCTCACAGTATCCGCCGGTATCGAGCGGCCCGCCCTGACCTGTTGGGTGATCATTGGTGAGGTTCTGTTTGCTCTGAAGCGTAGCGCCTTATATAAAGGGGCACGCCGGCAGAGCATGCTGTAATTTTGCAGTGACACCCTGACGTACGGGAGATAGGGGGATTCCCACGAAGATACAGGTACGTGGATGGTTTACAGTTTTCTGTGTGACCTCAGTGTGATCTCTCGTTTATGACTGAAAACAATTGCAGTTCTATTTGTCTCAGTGTTTTAAGCTTAAAAAACATATACATTCTCTACAGTGATTTCTTGATTCTCTTAATGAGACATAAGATGTAGGGTTGGAAGGAATTTGTCTGCGATTTATCAACAAGTAAACCAAAACAAATATCAATGATTTTTTTAAAAATCAGGTAATAAAAAATTACGTGGAAAACTAACAATTTACCCTTGGCAGTAACCTTTGATAACGAATATATATTTTGTGTGAATAAAAATAGGCTCGTTTTTTAGAAAAAGAAATCTGTGAAAAAACGTCAGCTAAAAAAATTGTTCAAACCAGGACAATAAATATTATCATTTAAATGCAGTATTTAATCCCCCAAACGTTTGGGTCAAAAAGTACATGTTCATTATCTTGATATCAAATTTTGACCATTTGAAAAGTTGACAGTGGATTATTAAGGGTTGTGTTGGAGACAAAACAAACCAATCACTTCGGAGATATTGAACCTTATGGGAACCAAACCGTTGGATAAAGCCGGTAACGTGATTGCCTTATTTGTAGAAGACGCATATTACAAAGTCAGAACATAATGACACTTAAAACTGGAGGACTTAAACTGCTGTCAGCGAAGGACTAAGACATTATCAATTGCTGAATGGAGATGTCCTCTCATGTCGTAATCCCAGTCGGAGTGGATTAACAGCTGGTTTCTAAGTGCCTTACATGCCGCAATAGCAACGGCGACGTGGAAAGACAATATTAAGTCAAGGACCGCTGAGACTCGAGTGAGTCAGCGACTCTGCTGACGTAGGGAGCTCGGGTTGAGATGTGATTATTGGTCCGCGACGCGGGTGCATTGAACGGTAGCCGTGGTAAGGTTCAAGTACCCTTTTGACCAGACGTACCTGTATCACGAGGTACAGTGCTGACACGTGGATGTTTGTGTGCACGCGATTTTTAATCAATGGTCGTTAAGGATGTCAATTTCTGTGACACCCACGTGAAAATAAAGATTAATATATATCACAAAAATAAAGAGGCACTCATACACCTGTAAGTGGCTTATTTCGGTAAGAGTGTGCAGACAAATCTCTTTTTATTCATGAAAATCACAGATATCGATATACCTCTTAGAAGATTAAGTTTCTTGCCATTCCAGGTTGATTTCAGTTTGTAAATATACAGTAAACGGAGACCATATGACGGTAACTAGACGCTGATAGTGAGTAAGAGCTGTCAAACAACATTTAAACGTAAAGGTTCATTTTTTCAGCTTGTAAATATGCAGAAAACTCACAGTTGTGCGGCGCTCCTTCTTGCCACACTAGCGTTTATGATGTTGGCGTTCACCTCAGCAAAGAGCATTTCCAGCGTTCAACACTCCAGGTGGGACAAAATTTGTACAATTTTATTTCAAACTTGTATTTAACAATCATTTACTTGGCTTTTTTCTAGATATCCTAAGTCCTACATCTCTCGTGCAAGAGCTCTTTCTATCTTTGATAAACATTTGTACACTTATCAAACCCGAAATTAGGAAGTCATAAGTTTTAACACTATTGCTATTTTAAAGCGTGAATACATAGTTTAGAATGAACAAATGCCATATGCTTTAAATCAAACATTTCAATATCCCAGTCAAAGTATTGCATTCCAGCAAACAATTAGCGGTGGTTTTGTAAATATTCTGTTTGTTGCTTTTAAAGGCTTTCAGAAGGCCAATTGTACATTTCAAAGGAACTTGTTGCATGCTTTTGTCACCTTGTATCTGTCGTTTGTCATTTTTTATTGTAATACATATATATATATATGTGTGTGTGTGTGTATGCCAAATCTATAACAATATTGTGCTGTTTCATGAAACCATCTAGCAAGGAATGCTTGCTTGTTTTAGCTCTTTATTTTTAATTCTATAACTGTCAAACGGCTATTCTGGCATCATCTTCCAAGAATAAGAATTTAAAAGGAAAGTAAGCAAAAAAAAAAAAAAAAAAAAGAAAATGTCATTTAAAAAAAATAGAGCAAGCATTTAAATTTGAACTTTGTGAATTCTTTCATTATTATTGATATTTAATCAATCAACCAATCAAATGGCCAATCAATCACTCTGAGATGATGATTTATACGTGTTGGGTAATTTGAGCATGTCGTCATGGGTGTATATGGTGTTGGTTTATGTTGTATATTTGTTGTAGACATCGGGTAAGGCGGCAGGGAGGAGATATGACAATAGCCGATCGTTTGGCGTGGCTTTCACAGAACATTAGACAACCAGTCGGCTGTTCAGACGCGGCCTGTGGATTTGTCGATACAGATAAAATGTAGGTATATGTGTGTGTCGGTATAGTTACAGTGAGACTTGTGTGTCTGGGTATTTTTCTTGGATGTCACGGGTTGAGGCTACAACACAGTATATGACTTCCGTGAAATTTAGTAATACGGTGGTTCAAAACCTAAGGTGCGGTGCGTCATGCACGGTTGTGGAGCTGAGCGTGACTGCGGCGTGTGGAGGAGCATGACGAACCAACGCAGTACCATCGGCTGAAAGTGTGATGATTATTGCATGCCAAGGTCATGGGGAATGTGGTTACGGCGCGATGCATGGCAGGGGCATGGGGAATTTGGTTACGGCGAGGTGCATGACAGGGGCATGGGTAGGAGCATGGGTAGCCAGGGGAACTGTTTCTTGAAACTTTTAAGCCTGCAAATTTCGCTAAACTATTAGACCGAAAATTTAGTTTATTTTGTCCCACGATGAATCAGGAGAAGTACAATTCAATGCAATATTGCACCTGTTTTACAATAAGGAAACACACACACGCGCGCGCGCGCGCGTCTAATGTCTCCCTTAATTCGTACTATATTAAAGAGGGATACTATGGAATTATCTTGAAATGAATTTCAAATAGACCATTTTTTCTGCCTAAACGTTTAGACTAATTTGAAGGCTTGAGTTCAGAGAAACTGGTCCGTCGATAGATAGTTAGAACGTCTTCTCGTGACTGATGACATTTTGGTTCTTACTCACGGCAGCCGAGTTAAGCGACAGTGGGCGGACGCGCGTATGGCTGAACTGTTGCCGCTGATGGGCCTTATGCGAGGGGGACCGGGGTCCGTTGCCCACGGCATGGTAGACCCCGCAGTGAAGTATGTGCTGGTATTTACATAACACACATGCTCGCGCGCATGTGGGCACACACGTGCATGCTTGCACACACATGCAATCTTTAAAGTATCTAAAATTGAATATGTCATATATTCTGTTTTGACGATATTTGAAATTTCTTAAAATTTCTTAAAATTTCTTAAAATGAGTTAAAGGAATTCAGTATGAAGAAGTATTTCACTAAAATACCCCCACCCCAAGGAAAAAAGAGAAAGGGTATAATTTGTATTTTAAATCTATTCTTCATGAAGGAATCATTTACTGAATGGAAACCTAAGCGATGTTCCGTTTGAAAAACAAACAAAAACAACCTACGTAAAATCTCTATCTATTTGCTGAAACATTCACAAATATTGCCATAAATTCTTTTAGTGATCATGAAACAGGATAATCAGTGTTTGATTGTTTACCATCGTTGCAAATGACTCTGCAAATGAGGAACTGATAATAAATTGGCTCTAAAAGTGATCGAGTTGCAATGCAAAAAAAAAAATTATCCAATAGTGCGTCATCGTAAAGCTGTTAGCACAATGTGTCAAGTTAAGATTATGTTACTGTTTTTATTCTCTTTTAATTGGGAATCAATTTAATGGAAAAGGGATGATATTATGAAACCAAATGACAAACCCATGTTGGTCTAGGGTTACATTTGAGATACGTCAGATTAAGTGTGTGACTTATTGAAGATACTAAGCGGTTTTGTTGGAATGTAAATATTTTAAAAAATATGTACCTAGATACTCACATCGAATCTGATTGAGTTTTTTTTTCTTTGAAGGTTATATTAAAATGGTTTTAATTGTCTTAATAACTATTAAAGCTATCAATAAGTCCATAATAGTTTATTTTCATTGTAATATTCTATGTAATAAACTACCTTAACCACTAAGTAAGAATACGTGAAACGACTCCATTGATTAATAGTTTGCCGTTTTCATTTAAAGTGGCAAGAGGAAGAGGGAGAGCACAGACTATTACTACAACAACGGCGAAAGCAGTTTTAGTGACCTCAGGAAAGAACGGATACTCCAAAGACTGACACAGCTATTAATAGAAGGCAATCAATAGGTAAGGGGCCCTCGAAACGTTCTTCATAATCAAGTAGATAATATTACGGACTTTCATGTTATACAACTGAAACTGCGAGTGGCAGTGGCCCCTTTAAGGACATGCTAAACCAACACTATAAAAAGTTGTTGAAATAATCAGAAGGTTTAAGTGTGCTGGCGGTAGCCGTTTCTGTAAATCCTCGTTGACTGCTTATAAATTAATACAGCTTATAAAGTTGACGTTGTTAGGGCCCAAATTCAGACTTGAACTTAACTACATTTATTTTCCATTTTGCGAATTTACTAGTAGCACGCGACCAATACAAGCAGATCAAATAATTGGTCGGAAGAAGCGGCAAACGTCAACAGATCGGACTGTAAAATGCATTGGCATAATAATGTCTATATGAAGTTTAGTTTTGAACAGATGGTGGTAGATCAATCAAGTAATGATTTCTTTTCCATTTGTCGTTTGCAGGAGTGGAGGTGCTACTTAAACAATGGCGAAGTGTCAGCCAAACGATATCTACTACAGCTGACGAAATAAAAACAAGAATCTCAGACGACTGCTCCTTTCTACTTAAAAAATGAAGTGAAAAAAAAAAGATTACGAGATGGTTAATAAATGAGACACCGAGTCATAAGTTGATCATCCAAACAAACATAAAGCAAAACGCTTCATTTTGAAGGGGAGAGGAAATGATTACGTGTTCAGCCACAGTAAGAAATTACATTGACGCTGGTATACCTGATAATTCCACTCATTGGACTTTTTAAAAGCGCAGTGGCATGATATTATTTATTATTATTTATTTTCTATTTATTTTACGACTATTAATAAAGGATGAAAATAAAAAATTGAAGAAACTTGCCAAATGAAAAAATTAGGTTGTTTTTATGATAACATCAAAGTTGGTTGAATGCAGGCTTAAGTATATTAAGGTGCTCATACATACAAAAACAATGGAAATTAAATGGTGTTAAATTATGCTTCTTCCCGCACGAAAACGCAGTAGATGCTCCAGCGCAGTAGACTACTGCAATCATACTGCAAATATGCCTCAAATCTGCTTCGCATTGGGAGCTAATTAGCATATTTGAAACATGCTTCTATCATGCTGCTAATCTACTGCATTAATGCTCCTCCTCTGTACAACCCTATGTAATTTTTGAAGTAGAATTGCAGTAGGCTATACTGCATTTCTACTGCAAATATGCTCCACACCACTACTGCGTTAATGCTTCTTTGCTACTTCGATACTACTGCATTTTCGTGCGGGTTGCTACAAGCCTTAAATTTGGAGATTTATTTATTTATTTATTTAAATAGATTTAATGGTTTCGCTGTAAAAGGCCATAGATTTGTTATTTTATTTATTTATTGTTATTATTATTTTTGCAATAGAAAGCAGTGAAATTGTACACAAAACACAAAACACGTGTGCAAGCAATTATGGACAAGAACTAACCTCAAGTGAACATTCACTGGGCCTCATATGACTATATTATTCCACACAGACAATATTTGCTGCAATGAAAATGATATTCGATATACATCATTAAACAATGATAAACTACATGTATTTGAGTAACGCCAGATCTTGGAACAATGAAGCCTTGATAGGTCTTTGTCATACAAATTACGCACTGTGCCTTTTAATTGCTGTATCTATATAGTTTCATTTAACGTTGAAATAATCAATAATTGAAAGGAAATCTGACAAAGACCAGCAGCATTTGTTTACTTTCACGTTTGTACATGCCTTTGATCAAACATCATTTGGCACATTGAAAACATCCGACAGTTTTATGGCTTTGCGTCGTCAGATTTAGTTTACATTAAACAAAAACGAAAGAATATTCGAAAAATTTTGAAAAAAGTCATTACGCTGTCAGTTGCACGAAAAAAAAACTGCAAATCACGCTCTGATAACAGGGGAGTGGTCAGCCCCATGCTTGGTCATAGGACGGTGATGGCATAGATATTTAAGGAAATATGACATCAGCAAGATTATCTTGAACCCAGTGCAAGGATTATCACATAAATTCTATCTTGTCAAAATATGCCCTTGATACAACATGTACAAGAACGTCAAGTTGATTCAAAATCATGTGAGATTCCATAATCTTAGTTATCAAAAACCATTCTGCGACAGTGTTGACTGGTTGGAAATTGGGTGCAATAACTAGAGCATAGTTTGAGATGTAACATCTCGACATCATGAACCAATTATGTCGATTTTACGCGGATTTTTGCATTAATCTGTACGAAATAAATAAACCCATTCACAAGCAAGTTCTCTGGAAAAGCAACCATACATAAAAAAAATTCATATGAATGGTAAAGGCATCAAAAATATAGAAAGTACTATACGAAAACGAGTTTTAAATGCACGTATATTCAACCTGGTACCCGGGTGTCGGAGGACACTGGAAACTCGGCTCTCTACTACATGCAATTGGAAACAGCACATGTTTCATTTGAAACTCGGGAGTGAATTCCAGTCATCTTCTTTTGAATATCTAAATGCGTCGCAGGAGTCTCAGGGCGCTTAATGTTTTTTTTTCGGAGTCAATAAGTTTAAGTAGACAAAAACCAAATGAAAAGCAATCTAAATCACCTTTGGTAATTCTTTTCCGTATAGGAGCCTGAAAAGATTACTTTTGAAAGCTTCTTGTCTGATAACAACACACTTCAAGCCCAAGTGGACTAGTAAAGCCCCAGTTGTAAAATTACTTCTAAGAAACTGAAAGAGGTATTAGTCATGGTTTTCTTGCTAATAATTATATTTTCACTGATTATGTTAGAGGGTTTCCTGGAATTCTACCAGCCAAAATAATTTAGACAGCAGACCTTGCAAATATACAAGCAAGGGACGATGGCAGCACAAAAACAAGAGGCAAGGCTAAACTATATGACAATTAAAAAAAGGATTGTACCGGGTAACTTTGGAGAAAATGTTCGGACTTGGTTTATACTATAAAACACACCATTCATACATGGATCAAGTGTATTTACTATTTACAAATGAGAGTCAATAAGGGACAATAAGTGTTATTATGCCACACATAGGAATAGACCGTTGAGCAGAGACGCGTACGAGCGAACTGGAGATTGATATTTTAGTATATTTCAAACCATACATTTTGGTCTAGTTTGAGCCAAGACAAACCAGTTGTAGTGCACTGAAATGTAGCACTGTCCGTCTCTTAAAATCTCAAAGTTAGGACAAATTTCTGGTTTAATATTCTTTAGTGGACTGTCTCTTCCAGTCTCACTAAATTTACAGTGAAAAAATGTGTCAACAAGCATGACGAGGGAGATGCAAGCGAGCACTTCACGGTGTTATTACATTTCTGAAGCAAACAGGTCAGATATAACATTACTGCTCAGACATCAAAGTCCCTGGGCAAAAAAGAATGGAATTAATTCAGAATTCAAAAAGACAAGTAACATGTGTGTGGGTGTTAACATCTTTTTTTAATTATATTATCATTCATTATGGGCTTCATTTCCTTGTGTAAATACTAATATTTCAATCCCAATTAAATCTTTTGGAATTAACAAACAAGATCACAATCATTAACATGTGATAACATTAATTAACAGAGGGCCCACAGAGTATCTGCTGTTAAAATAACCCAATCAATGCATGTTGTACTCATGGAGCAAACAAATGATAGAAGAACATGCATGGGATTAACCCCATGGCATATAAAATACAACACAATACAATACAATGAGGACAAACTACAATTCAAATGTTACAACAATACTGGAATTGGTATGAAATAAGAAAGCCAAAGCAGCTACATTTACATTGTACACCACCGACAGGCATAAAAGCTGGGCAAAAGTAAGAGAAAGAACATATAATACTGAATTAAATACAAATTTCAATATAACAAACCATTTAACTTATAGGAGTGCTTAAAATCCAGTTTTCAAATGCTTTGAAAGAACTTGACCGATAACCCAGCTATTGAAAAACAACAAAGAAAAATAAGAATGAACAGACCAAAACAAAATTATGGTTTTACCAACTTGGATTGACAGTTAAAAAATAATAATAAACTGCAAAACAACATAAACTGCTTATGTCACATTAAGACAGTTTACAATGAAAGTTCTTTAGGAATAAAAAATGTCATGAAATATACCAAACAAACTGGTAAAACTTTCCATTGCAACAAATCTCATTAGTTTAAATTTGGTACTGGACAACTGGAAGAGTGTAAGTCACTCAAACATGCAATTCACAAAAATAACAACAAGATAAATTCTCATATTAACTGTTATTAACTACTTATTTGGCACATTTTCTTCATAAAATGCCACATCTGTAAACCTTTTCAAAACAAACACTAACATACTAATGCACTGCCCCTTGGCATTATCTTTAACTACTAATCATAGTTTATAGAGACCATGAGGTAACTATGGAAACTACATTGTTATCAAAGGAGCAGCTATTGTCGATTTCACAAAAGTGCCTTTATTTTAACCATCAGATAAAGGTCACATCCTAAGGAGGTTTTGACATATTACTACTCTTGAGTCTACTGACCTATCTGAGTATCAAAACGGTGATTTTGTCCATAAAATAAAAATGTCCAACGTTAATTCATTAGATGCTTATCAGGTAACAATACAGCAATCACATGTGGGAAATCGGGTCAGATCTTCCAAAAAACAGATGGTGAGATAGGAAAAAAAAGCACTGCTAGCATTGCATAATTAAGTTCATTTAGTCTCTGAAATCCATCTTTTGACTTCAGAACCTAAATGTCAAATCCCTAGACCTTGGCTGAGTTTTTAAGTTGGGCACAATAACATTCCATAACAGAATGTAACTTATTTACCTCAAGCTCATTTTGTCTAATTGAAAGGCTACACAGTCTCTGTTTAGGCACTCTTTGGTAATATCTTATTGACTTCAAACTGTTACACGGTAAGCTTTAAAAACTTTGATGGAATGGAAAATGCTACAGGGTTATACTACCATATTTTAAGTACAGGTTACTATAGAGATACAGAAAATTAATATTAAAAATATTGCAAACACAAAAATCTAAAAAGCCTATTCCCCTGTGACATGATAAACAACCTTAAGACTTATGAATACTACCTTTAACCAACCCCACTTTATATATGATTTTCTTAAGTAGAAGAGATACTATCAATAAGCAAAAGTAATTCTTTCTGAATATAGAAACAACCTGAGGTGACTGGCCTATAAAGCAATTGTGTAACATTTTTTTCCTCATAATAAACATATGATGGTGGTATTCCCAAATAAAATAGAGCAGATGGGATACATACTAAAGACTATTTGTTGTCTTATCTAAAACAGTTTCAAAGTTTGTTTAAGTCGCATAATGATTATTGGACCTTTATATATATGAAAAGAGTCATTTTCCCATAAATTTCAACACTTTTTCCTTCTTCATCACCAAAATACATCATATCTAAAACTGTTGGCAAAAACAAGTGAGCAACTTTTTTTTAAATTTTGAGCCACTACAAACAGAGATGGAGACAGGTGAATTTCACTAATGCATGTAAAAAAAAATAATAATAAAAAAAAAGAAAAAAGAAAAATGCTCCTCAGTCACACCCAATTGTGCTATGTTAGAGCAAAACCTCTTTAGGACTTGCTTTTTCTTCGTTTCTGTGCCTTGGTGTCCATCTTCTCCAGATCATAGAGGACTTCCAGGACACAGGAGACACTCCATGCCTGGGCGGAGCTGCTGTGGCGACATGGCTGGAAGGTATAAAATAGTCAGGTTTACATATAACATGGTGATAGATCACCGCCCTGAGTTTCAGAGAATACTGGGAACTGTAGAGGTATGCTGAGAGTGGAGGTTAATTTCCAGTAAACTCAAAAACATAGGGTGTACACCACTTGGAAAACTGATATTAGAGCGCATTCAGAACAGGGGACTAACAGATCCCTGGATCAACTGTGTTGAAACAGAAAAACAAAACAGAAAAATCAACTGACACAATTCCCTTGTCCTTCTGAAAAATCTGTTCACCTTTTCACTTACATATACTCAATGCAAGCTGTCTTTACTTTATTATTCACCTACCTTGCCATTACTATTAGTGAGTTCTGGCAAGGACCTCCAGTGAGAACTGATAATCTCCTGGTGATGTTTGGACAAAATTCTCTTCACACATTTCACCGTGTCATCCAGCAAGCCTGGCTTACTCTTGTCCAGGATCTTGGCAAACAGCAGCTTGGCACGTAGAAAGTACCCTATTGGCCACAGCCATTCCTGTGAATTATAATATATATAAAAAAATCAAATCAAAGAAAAAAAAAATAAAAACAATGTGGAAAGCATTGTAAAATTCAAATATAAGTAAGTGCCAACTGACTTTTTGTTAGTACAATTCGAGTTATACCCATTTGTGCTAATACATCTGATACTTTCACTATTTATATTATTTATATTTACTTCTGTGTGTATCTTATTGCTGCACTGATCACACACATCTAACATTTCTAGTGTCTGGACCTGGACCTGGATACTTAGGACTACACGCGCGCAGACACACACATAAACACATACACAGACTGATAACCCAGGGTGTTACTCACAGGTCCCTGGTGGTAGTTGAATCCTTTGGCTCTCTTTGGGTTTCCAGAGTCATCATCATTGTCATAATCTCCATCATATGCCCAGTCACTGAAATACCAATAAAGTTATGCTTGATAATTTGGAGTCATTAAAAAAAAATCCAATATCAAAAGTATCAAACTTTCACCTTACTGACTGGGTTTCATGTGATTCTGAAGGGAATTATTTTTCATATATTATTCAATCAAACCAGCATATGTTCATGACAAGTACGACAAAAAAAAAAAAAAAAAAAAAATACTATCTTTACTGCTGGTAGTTAATATCTGTTAAATTAGTCTTGATTGCAGCCTAATGGTTCTGAGTTCTTAGCAATTCTAAATCTTATCAATTGTGTGTATTTTTACCTAGGATCCAATGTTTTCATACCCAGAGGTCCCAGAAGCACATTCTCTGCCAGGGATAGGGCACTCCAAGCATTTGTGGGAGTGAACAATTCTGGAGCCTTGAAAACACAAAAAGGAAGTTGGGTTGCAATCTTTAACAAATTAATCTTTCAATTGAAATTTCAAGTACAAAAAAGGCTTCTTCACATAATCATTGCAAAACTAAGGTTCAAAAGGAAATTTGCATAAACTGGAGACTAAAGTAAATTTCTTCAATTTGAAAAGAAAAAGTCACCCACAAACTAAGATTTTCATACTTAACCTCCCCAAAAAAACTAATATTATTAAAAAAATAATATATAAAAATTAAAAAATAAATAAATAAATAAAATTAAAACAAATGAATGGAATTAAAAAAAAAAAAAAAAAAAGCTACAAAAGCCCACACAATGCTAAATTATTTTAAATTCTACCACAGTAATTAGCCATTAACAAAACATGATCACCACTACAAAATGAAGTAAGTTAACCCTTAAACTGAATATTTCCATAGAGTTCTACACTACATACCACCACCATGGCCACACAGAAGTTGGGTCTCAGCTGGTAGTCAGCCCACTCATGGCTGGCACCATGGGAGTCCTTGTACATGCCTCGTTTGTTCACCAGGGAGGGGCGTGGTTCGTACTCTGGGACAGGACTGGTGTGGATCCAGAAATATCTCTCAAAACTAGCCTGGATTTTCTTGTCCCAGTCCTTGAAGGTAATGGTCACTTCCTGAGCTGATGTGAGAGAAATGTTTCTTCCATTATTCCCTTTTTTATACTTTATAAAACTGGACAGCAGAGTGGACAAAGTTTATATACTATGAACTGGTATAAAAGATACAAAATCTATGAATCCAGACTCATATTTGGAAAAGTTACAAGTAAAATTTGATATAAACTGACTCTCTCAAGTAGATAATGAGTCTGATTTCTTCTATTTATTAGTTCTTTAAATGTTAAAATTAAGTATTGTTAACCAATCAAAAAAATTACATGCAAAGCAGCCTGCATCAACACCATGTAAAACAATTCCAACTGTATGTAGTATTCTTACATTTTGTCTTTGCTTTCACTCCACTGTAAGGATAAGCTCCCTCTTCATTCATCCTTATCAACCACCTTAACACCGACTTACTGAGACCAATAAGTTCAACAGCTGAGCCATCTCTGTGAAAAAAAAGTCTAAAGTATACAAACAGAATAGTGCACAGCAAGAAGTTTAAATTATCTGCTTTTAAAAATATACAGCAACCAAACCTACGGTTGTTTTGATTTACAAAGTTCATTTTTATAGATTTCCCCCCTAACACTTTTCCAGCATATCAATACAAACACTTAAAAATATTTTTTAAACAAATAAAATACAACTAAATTAATATTTGTTTTCACCTTGGAGTGGCAGGTTTTCCTTTATTCCCTGCCCGGTTTGAGCTGCCCATCTTGTCCATCCAGGTGCCACAGTTGTGGACATTACCTCCAGATATGAACCCTGTCTGCATGTCCACACTGGCCTGGACAGTGAAACCTGACCACAAAGATTAAAGCTAAAATATCCAGATTTTAAAATGTCTCAAAGTCATATTTTCTATGTCTGCATATTCTACAAAGCTATATAGTTTCCCCAACACAGACCGTGAAAACAATTTAAGTACCTGGTGTTGATATTTCCTTCTGAAATGTGCATGGAAACAAGGCTGTGTAAGTCCCTGTCCAGTTTCATTAGATCTACACTGTTTAATTAAAAATGGTACAAGACATCAAATCCAAGTGCATGGACAATATATATATATATATATATATATATATATATATATATATATATATATATATGGTGTAAATAAAAAGAGAGATATCCAACCTGCATCTGTCATATCCATGTCAAGCTTTGGCCCAGCATTTCTTTCCTTAAATGATATTCCATCAATATGTTTTTGTAGAGCCTCTTGAATGACATCATACAATGGACAATTCTGTAAAAAGATAAACATATACTATGAAGGCTAATTAGCTCCTCAATTTATATCTCATGGCGAATATTTACACAGAAGAGTATTTTTCTGGTCCCAGTGTTAGTTTTGACTTTAAAGAAGGTGCAGACAAGTCACTGTAATTTTGGAAACAAACAAAAAAATTTGTGACCCAACAAAAAATTTGTGTACAGATCATTGAAAACATCTCCTTAAAAATGTACTGCATTGCATATGATACTTACATGTGCTCCAGGCTTCTGAGGTTCAGAGTCATCAGTAGGGTACATCCTGGACACAAACTCCTGCAGAAGTAAGCTCCCGTCTGGCACCATCTTGGTGTAGTCTTTAATAGACTGCATCCACCACCACACCGCATCACGGCAGTTGTAGCGGGCATGAGTCCCGTCTCCAAGCAGATTAGGGATCAAGCCATGACGCATGCAAGATCCATAAGCAAGAATAAGGTTTCTGAAAATGAAGAAAATAATCTTATTACATGATGTAAAAATATGGGCAGTTTCGATATGCATGCCCCCCTATTTCCAATAGCACCTTAAGTTTTGTTACTTTTCAATACCAGTACTTAAATACTGGCCCTGTGCAAAATGCCAATATAAATAAAGCCAGGCCAGTCAAATTTTGTAAACTTGTCTAGTTACTGGTCTGTGTTTCCACGTTAAGCCAATAGATTTTTAGACCCTAATGGCTCAAAGGGCCAGAAACCCAAAATATTTTAGGGACAGAATGCACTACTGTACTGGCAAGAAAAGCTCTGTCACTTAAGCTAAAAAGGTACAATTATGGAGACAAAGAAACTATCATGACATACAAAGAAGAAAAAAACTTACGTATTTACAAAAACACATACAGAGTTGATAACTACACTATACTACACTATATATCACTACACAACAACATCACATACCAAAATACACTATACTAGGCCTCTTGCATAAATGACAATATCTATAAAGAAATTCAGACAAAAAAATGTATATATAAAAATCAGTACAGACTCTCACCTGGCCACATCATGGCGCCCAGGTATAAGGAGAAGTCCTCTCAGTGCAATGAAGGTATCTCTGCCCCAGTTTCTCCATATACCACTGGAAAAGTGAGGAAGACCTGCAATAATAAAGTGGAAAAAATTAAATCAAAATTGTGGTTTGAATTATAAATATGAGAACTTTGCTTGCAAACTATTAGGAATTTCCATGATACAGGTCTTGACAACCTAATTACATGAATTCTCCAATATGATGAAAAATCCAGTATGAAATTCATATGCACATTTGAAAAATCCACAAAACAGATTGTGCCTCTGACAGGGACAAATTATCATGGTAGAAGTACTCAGAATTTCACAGTTAGACAACCGGTTGAAAAAAATCCAATAAAACAACATTATATAAGAACTCATTCATTTGTTTGAAAGTCAAAACATAGAGTTGTTGGATTAAATCAAAGAATCACCTTGATACTAAAATTAAAATACTTCGTTGCTATCTATATCACCTGCAGACAGAGTATCATGGCAGACCTCCTCCTTGTCTTCCCCATCATCAGTCTGTGCATTCTGCACGCTGGTTGTGGTACCTGGGGAGTAATCTGGTAGCCTGGCTGTCTTCACATAACCACACATCTGCACTGAGCCCAGGGAGAGGGCCTTCACAAATGTGGACCCCGTCTTGATGAAACTACACAGAGATAACAATAAGGCTATAGGAGAGTATGTTTTTCATGCCATGGTTATATCTTTCAAAATTGTGGAGTAACTGTTCAAAGACAAGTGAATCCTAATGATAAAAAGAAGCTCTCTCTAATTTTCCATCAATAAGGATATGCAATTTTAAAGAAACAAATAGATGAGAAAATACATTAAATCTTCCTTTAAAGCCCTTATTTCATCATTCACTACATGTAAACAGACTTCAAGTCAAAGTGAAAGTTTACGTTGACATTTGACACCAGGCTGCATCATGGATTATGGAGGAAGTCTGAGTGAGGATGGCATCAAAGTAGCTAGGGATCAGATAGCGAGGGAGCTTGCTTAATTGTTCAAACACAGCTTCAAACCATTCACCGAGCTGAAATAAAAATGACAATTATAAGCACTTAATACTATGCAAATCAAAATTATCAGTAGTTTATTATGCTGTTTGAGTTTTAGGGATTTGACTCTTCAAATAGCGCAATATTATTTTATTCATCATTTTCCTTTCGAAGCAGATAATACCATCATGTTAGCACATTTTACTGTTTTACAAATCATAAATTGTAAAAGTAATTTTCAATAATATTATTACAAATAATATATAACAATCAAAAATATTTGGTACATAAGAAACTGCATCCCTTAGTACATCTCCATTGTTAATATACTGAATCTGTCTAAGAGCACATTCAGTACAGCAGACTAACAGCTCCGCGGATCAAATATGCCAACCCACTATAAGTAAAAAGCTTGCTGCTTAATTTCCAATTAGACACTGAATAGATTCCCAGCAGCATTCAAGTGGGTCAGCCATATTTCATCTGCTGACTAGTTAGTACGCCATTCTGAATACGCTCTAACCACCCTGAGTTTCAGAAGTCACGGAGAATTGCCTCTATTATCCACAGACCTATGCTATACCAGAAATGAGATCTCACAAGCTACATGAATATTCTATGACCATACCTGTTGAGTACTGGGCTGTGCCTTGAGCCTGGCAGCTATGTAGCCAGGCAACCAGTCTCCGTCTCTAAGATTACAGCACAGAGGATGGCCCAGGTCATTGCTTAAACTGATAGGACCCATCACACTCATCACACCTGAAACAATGAAGGGAATCCTATGTAAAATATGTTCATTTAACAAATTCATTCAGCTGTTTAAAATCTCAATTAAATCATTAATATAAACCATTGACAAAAGCCAAGCCTGTATTAAGCATTTTCAAAGGGGCGTGTGTGGGTTACTTTGTTGAAAAAGTGGACGTCTTTTACTGCCTTAGTTCACCAACTTTGGAAATGGCATACAACCTAGATCAAATTTTGATTCAGAGTGAACCTTTTCTGCCTAAAGGGTGGTTTGGTCCCGCCCCCCCCCTCCCCCTCCCCAATTGCCTATGGGCCTGAAGGTTGTCACTGAAAATAACAACTAGAAAAAAAAATACTTTTCATATCATACCTAATAATATTCTAGACCCAGAGCTGACATATATTTATCACATTAAATTACAGCGCAGCTATCACTTCATATTTCTTACCCTGTAATCCACAGTACACCAGGCTGCCATATCTGGGCACATTATAGGCGCCAAACCCCTTCCCATCATCCCTTTCTTCGTTATCGCAGCGGTATAGCACCCTGTTCAGGTCAGACAGTGTTAACTTGGAGACAATAGAGTGGAAAGGACTGGTCTCACTGAACTGGCCGTCTTTGATGGGGGGCAGCTGTGAGAAGGTGGTTGCAATGGAGGTGAGGGCTGCTGTGGAGACTGGATCTAGTGCAATCCTGGAATGGAAAGAAAAGAAAAGAACTAGATCATGACTTAAAGTCAAATTAAAAGAAGCTTTCAATATATTTATTTTCCCCTAGTACACCATATATGGATACTGTAAGGCTCAACATGTTATCAGCCTAATTACTTAGTCTGCACCAGTGTCTTAAAGAAGATTGATTCAGTTCACGTAAACATGAGCATGCACACACATCACAAACAGATACAGCCACCATCTACATGTACCTATCCACATACATAATAAGATTCTCACATACCTGAATGCTATAACACTTCCAGGGGGGAAATGGTGGAAATGGACCACGTTTATGTGGCTGTTCTCCGTGTGTTCTATGTGAACCATCTGGCTCTGATCTGGGGAAACGTCCTCTCGGATGTGGCAGTGGAAGTCCGGGAGACCATTGATAAACTGTGGGTCCTTCTTGTGAGCGTGGTGCCCTCTATGCTGCAGGTGAGACTCCAGGACCACAGTCTCTATTACACCTGTGAAAATAAATTTGCTTTGTTGTTTTTGATTTCGATTTTAGAAATTTTGACATTACAATATCCCATATATGATTTCATATGATATTTATCATAAATTGATGAACCCTGCCCTGAGTGTCAGAGCAACGTAAAAGCTAACTAGCTTAAATATACCTTGTGATGGAGTCGCTTTTACTAGCTCTGACGAACAGCGACAATCTGAGGGCGTTCTTCTTCAAAATTTTGCCTGGGGCGCTTCCATATTTGGAAGTCACACGTCACAGCTGTGTTCGCCTGGATCCATATTTGGAAGTCATAAGTCTCGTACGTCACAGGTTTGGCCGCCTGGAGCTGCCTTTCCCGCCTCGCACTGATGTTATCTCGTGCAGACGAGACAAGAAGCAAAGTGCCTGACGAAGTTTGAATTGAAAATATCTTGCAGTCGAAGGTCAGTGCCACAATAGAAGCAACATTCTGCTTTAAAAACTGATTTTGGTGTAGCCATCGCGCAGCCCTTATAGTGGTATCGGGCATACAGTGTAGCTGTCAAATTTGGCACACGGCAAGCACATGTATTGCGCACGTGTACATCTCAGGACTAAATGTTCTTTGATAAGCAAAAAATACAAAACCATTGGATATATCTTTTCTGTTCGAAGAATATTGTTTATTTTTTCACTTTACATCTTAAATACAGCAAATAAAATTAAATAAAGCAGAATTAAATCTGCTTTACGTTTCATTTTGGTCTGATGACATTCAACTGCAGATTCACTGCGGAGCCATTCTATTTGATTGACGGGAGCCTAACATGGTCGCTGTGCACTAGAGCCTGGTATTGCGACAAGGGTTATATATGAAATCAAGATCGAGCTGGCAAAATCGGAATCTAGAACCTAGGGTAATGAACCCCAACCCCAAAAGACTATCAATTAAAAAAGCAACACAGAAAATAACTGTCACACAAGTTCAGAGCCTTTTGTTAGACTTTGGCATAAATCCTGCAAATTTCATAAGCTTAAAATGTTTACATTGAATTTTTTCCCTTTTGAAATCAAATTTTATTTAATGATTAGTTCACACACAAGTGCAAACTAATATCTTTTCATATGCCACCACTAGTCAAAATACTGATATAAAGTTATTTTTAAGCAATTTTTTATAAAGAGAAAACCAAGCAAACCCCAGGATGGAAAATGTAATGAAAAGTCCTTTACATCTCTTAGAGTTATAATTTTTAATTTCATAATAGTAAAGTCCAACTTTTATTTGAATTTGTTTTTTTAATAAATTTGAATATTCTTCTTTCAAAGATACATTTGTATACACATTACAGGGCTGATACTGCATTATAATAATGGAATATCACACTGAACCAAAAGCAATTTAATGTTATTTTTGGGTATAATAATGAGTAAACATTCAGGTGGACTCATGCATGAAAGGCAGGTGGGGCAGGCCACTCACAAACCATGTTACCTAAATGTCCCTCTAAAACAATTGTCTCAATTCTACCTATAAAATAAAAAGAAAAATTCCACTGTTTCATAACTCACAATTTCTACACAATAGCACCAGGTCAAATATTAGGTTGTTTTAGAAAGCTAAAAGGCATTTTTCCAATCAAATTTCATCATGGCAAATGCCAATGATAGAAAGTGGATCAATAAAATGTTTATGGTTTGTTTAGTCATGGCCATTGTTTCTGTTTTGCAGCTGGGCCTGTATATTCTTGGATCCCAGTGCTAGATGGCTAAAAAGATTTTGGTATTGACAGCTATACCTGCAAAGGAAAGTATTAATTAACCAACATGTAATGTGTAGGGGATATTAAATAACCCACCTGCAATGTGTAGAGGCGGTATATAACCAGTGTCTAGACTGTGAGGATGTTTGAAGGCTGTCCTGGCCACTAACACCACAGACATGTGATTGTGTGGGTTATGTCTGGTCACAGCCACAGTGTCATAGTCTCTCTGGTCTACAAATACCTGCAGCAAGAAATGGAACATTTCAATGAAAATAACATCTGTTATTGACTATCCTGTGCTTCAGTTTTTTTACCTTTAAATCTCTATATGAGCACACTTATCAGGCATATGTGGAAAAGTAAGGAAAATGAAGAAGTGGTTCTATTTCTGACCTTCAACTCTAAGCTTTTATGAACTTTAATGATATATCTCATATATATTACTATTCATACATATATAAATTAGATTAATTCAGCTTTAGCATCACATTATAACTTATATGCTCTAATGTTATAAGAGATTTTAAATAACATATGGAATGCACACAGACCAGAACAGAGGACAGAATGGAATGGTACATACTTGGTTAAACCCTTTCTTTCCTAGTTCAAAGTGCAGCCTGTTGAGAGCTCTTTTTCCTGCAACAATTCCATTGCACATATTGATGGTAGCGTGGCACACATGGGTCTGATCTGTCCAAGAAGCATATGGCCGACCTTCCTCTACTACATGAATCTGTGATGAGATGATCAATGAAAGTAGCATGTCATCACATCAAGTCAAAATATATGTATGTACTGAGTATTTCAAATTTTTTAAACACCTCGATTTTTCTAATATCTTCCTTTTCCAACAATCATTTTTTAGACACAAAAATAGTTTATGATATCAAGCAACCAATTTTTTCCAAACGAAGGAACATAGCAAACTCCTTTTTTTTTTTTTTTTGGGGGGGGGGGGGGAATAGATAATTAATTTATGTTGTTCAAATTTATTGAATTAACACCATGAGTAACAACTGCCACATATATTAACAATACTGTGTCATTCACTTTAATGTGGTATGCCCCTACCCTCTATTATAGACACATTTTCCACAAAACCAAATAACTGTCAATTTATCTAAAGACATATCTGCGAATATCTTGTGTAAAATAAATCTGCAGCCCTGGTAGAGGGTAGTATGCCCCTTTAGCATATCAGTATTTGTTTACTATGCTGCACAAATGTAATATAGTGAATTAAAAATTTTGAACAGTTATATGTCTGTTAATGTCGATTTATTACTGCTTTTTTCTTTATGATGTTTACACCATGCTATGATGATATTAAGTATCAACTGTCGCTAACAATACTTTTTATTTAACTCATTTGCAAAATGGACTCATAGAAATTGTGGGAACTGAGTCTTGTGCAACCTTATTGTGCAATCTTATTGAAAGCAACTACAAGTTTTTATATTTCAACATCCATAACTTACATGGTGAGGCACCAGTTCATCATATCCCCTATTACTTCCAGTGGCACAGCATGCCATGGAGACCAGAGCTGCTGTGGGCAGCATGTCATACACTGAACGTCTCTACAATATACAACATATCAAATAAAATTAAAACATATTAAAATAATAGACAGAGAGACAGACAGACAGACAGACACACACATACAACATAAGCATGTATTTCATCAAGATATATTGTTTTGTTACATGTGTGTCACCCTACTATATTACCTGAGGCTCTTGTGGAGACATCATTTGTCATATTACATAGAACTGCTGAATTACCTGCACTGGTGACATATCACCATGTGTCACATAACATATTACTGTGCCACATTACCTGTACTGGGGACATATCATGTGTCATATTACATATTACTGTGCCACATAGCCTGTACTGGGGACATATCATCATGTATGTATCATGTTACATATTACTATGCCATATTACCTGCACTGGAGACATATTATCGTGTGTGAGATCATAGAAGAGGGCATGTGCCACAGCAGGCACTAAAGGTCTGACTGCAGGCTTCATGAAAGCCCCCACTGGTTCTCCTCCATAGCGATACACCAGGCGGCCTTCCTCGTGGGAGTCCCATGCACTCTGGGCCTCTGAAAGATATATTGATATCTTTCTGCATTACATTCCCATTTCTTTAAATTTTTGAAAAAAAATCATTTATGCTGGATTTATTTTTTTCTTTTTCTGCACTCTGGCATTGAAAGTGTTTGATGCCCATGTCCAAATTCTTTAACCATTCTATTTAAGTCCATGAGGTTAGCACTGGTTCCATGCAAAATGCCAGTTGAACTGAAGTAAGGCCTGTAAATTTTGTAAATGCGTTCAAGTTCTGTCCAATTTTGTGTAAATAACTTCAATAACACCAGTCTTACCTCTGATGAGAGAGTTAATGCCCAGGTGGTTCATGAAGATATTGTCTGTATGTTCACTCCTTGTGAACAACTCTGCCACCACATAAAGATCAGGACGAATCTTCCTGGCAGCATCCAACATATACTGGAAAAAATGAAGAAGACATATATATTTACTTATCTGTCTTATGTAACTGTCATTAATCGTAATTATCTGTCATCAAACTGGCTTTAAACAGCCATGTAAACAGCTATGTAACTGTGGTTTTAAGTTTAAACATATCCTTTTGTGTAACATGTTTATAGTATGTTTATGGTAAATTTATAATCACACCAAGGTTTATCTCACTGCTTAGATAGAATATTTTATGAGTAATTTTACTAGTACGTATGTTCATTATATAAAGATTATTTTTTCATTCACAAATGGCTAGGCAACATAATAACAACTAGAGAAATGGTAATGCACTAATTGTATTGTATCGTCATTAGTATATCATATTGTACAAGGTCATGACAATCTATGTACCAGTACAGAAATAAATTGAATTGAATTGAATTATATAAACTGACAACATGTTAAAGTAAATATTGTATTAAAGCATGATACAATTAAAACTTTTAGGTACTTGAAAATCTTGATACATTCTGAACCATTAATACATGGCACTATGATTTATGGATCAGAAAGTTAATCTCCTTCTTAATCTTCTAATATTCTCTGATTTTCAAATGTTTTTTTTTTCTTTTTCAAGCATGGTCAGATACATAACCCAACAGGCAGGCCATGAATTTTTTTCTAGTTTGTCCAAAAATGTTCCCTTTATCTGACTTCTAGATATATCTCTGCATAATTAAATTCTCTCCAATACGAACAAGTTTGCCACGAAACCATCTGCTTTAATAACTTGAAAGATTTAGCTCTGAAAGCTATGTGGTAATTGTCTAGTTTACACAAGTGAAATGTTTCTTTTAGTTTTTGAATGTATATTGACAATACTTACTTCTGCTACATGGAGTGGTGTGCTATGACAATTGTCTAGTCTAACAGCGTGGAAGATTTCTACAGTCTGAACTGTGTACTGGCGCATATGATCCCACAGAAATGGACAGTCCTCATATTTCTCTCCATATCTTAACTTGACACTGTCTCCCCACACTATGAGCTCTCTTCTTAGGTATACATTAGATCCTGTAACAAAATGCAAAATGCAGTGTTTTTTAAGTATTCAGAATGGTTATCAAAATATATCTTTAACAATTTAACAAATTCAGGAAATAGGACACAAAAATGTAATAAAATTTAAATAAAAAAAATACTAATCAAAAGCCTTTACCTGGCTCAGCAAAGTTCCTGAGAGGATCATCACCCATAACCCAGCCATTGTGTGCAAACATCACATTTGCCTTGTCAGTATNGCAAACTTCCGTTTTTTTTTTTTTTGGGGGGGGGGGGGAATAGATAATTAATTTATGTTGTTCAAATTTATTGAATTAACACCATGAGTAACAACTGCCACATATATTAACAATACTGTGTCATTCACTTTAATGTGGTATGCCCCTACCCTCTATTATAGACACATTTTCCACAAAACCAAATAACTGTCAATTTATCTAAAGACATATCTGCGAATATCTTGTGTAAAATAAATCTGCAGCCCTGGTAGAGGGTAGTATGCCCCTTTAGCATATCAGTATTTGTTTACTATGCTGCACAAATGTAATATAGTGAATTAAAAATTTTGAACAGTTATATGTCTGTTAATGTCGATTTATTACTGCTTTTTTCTTTATGATGTTTACACCATGCTATGATGATATTAAGTATCAACTGTCGCTAACAATACTTTTTATTTAACTCATTTGCAAAATGGACTCATAGAAATTGTGGGAACTGAGTCTTGTGCAACCTTATTGTGCAATCTTATTGAAAGCAACTACAAGTTATTATATTTCAACATCCATAACTTACATGGTGAGGCACCAGTTCATCATATCCCCTATTACTTCCAGTGGCACAGCATGCCATGGAGACCAGAGCTGCTGTGGGCAGCATGTCATACACTGAACGTCTCTACAATATACAACATATCAAATAAAATTAAAACATATTAAAATAATAGACAGAGAGGCAGACAGACAGACACACACGTACAACATAAGCATGTATTTCATCAAGATATATTGTTTTGTTACACGTGTGTCACCCTACTATATTACCTGAGGCTCTAGTGGAGACATCATTTGTCATATTACATATAACTGCTGAATTACCTGCACTGGTGACATATCACCATGTGTCACACAACATATTACTGTGCTACATTACCTGTACTGGGGACATATCATGTGTCATATTACATATTACTGTGCCACATAGCCTGTACTGGAGACATATCATCATGTATGTATCATGTTACATATTACTATGCCATATTACCTGTACTGGAGACATATTATCATGTATGTATCATGTTACATATTACTATGCCATATTACCTGTACTGGAGACATATTATCGTGTGTGAGATCATAGAAGAGGGCATGTGCCACAGCAGGCACTAAAGGTCTGACTGCAGGCTTCATGAAAGCCCCCACTGGTTCTCCTCCATAACGATACACCAGGCGGCCTTCCTCGTGGGAGTCCCATGCACTCTGTGCCTCTGAAAGAAAATTGAAACCTTGATAAATCATGTCAGACCTCCATTTCTTTAACTTCCTCAAAATATTTAGTTTAAATTGGATTTATTTTTTTCCTTTTTTTTTTTTTTTTTTTTGTTTTGTTTTTGAAGTGAAGATGTTTTCTGTCTGGTGTTTGTCTAAGCTCTTTAATCATTCAATTTAGTCTGGGAGATTAGCTCTGGCCCCATGCAGAATGCCAGTTGAATTGAAGCCACACCTGTAAATTTTGTAAATGTGTTCAAGTTCTCTCCACTTTTGTGTAAATAACTTCAATTATACCAGTCTTACCTCTGATGAGAGAGTTAATGCCCAGGTGGTTCATGAAGATATTATCTGTATGTTCACTCCTTGTGAACAACTCTGCCACCACATAAAGATCAGGACGAATCTTCCTGGCAGCATCCAACATATACTGAAAAAAATGAATAAGACATTTATAAACTAACATGTGAAAGTAATGATTGTATTAAAGCAATTAAAACTTTTAGGTAAAATCTTTGAAAATCTTGATACATTCTGAACCATTAATACATGGCACTATTATTTATGGATCAGAAAGTTAATCTCCTTCTTAATCTTCTAATATTTTCTGATTTTTCAAATGTTTTTTTTTCATGCATGGTCAGATACATAACCCAACCGCCAGGCCATGAATTTTTTCTAACTCGTCTAAAAATGTTCCCTTTATCTGACTTCTAGATGTATCTCTACATAATTGGATTCTCTCCTATACAAACAAGTTTGCCACGAAACCATCTGGTTTAAATACTTGAAAGATTTAACTCTGAAAGCTATATGGTAATTGTCTAGTTTACACAAGTGAAACGTTTCTTTTAGTTTTTGAATGTATATTGACAATACTAACTTCTGCTACATGGAGTGGTGTGCTATGACAATTGTCTAGTCTAACAGCGTGGAAGATTTCTACAGTCTGAACTGTGTACTGGCGCATATGATCCCACAGAAATGGACAGTCCTCATATTTTTCTCCATATCTTAACTTGACACTGTCTCCCCACACTATGAGCTCTCTTCTTAGGTATACATTAGATCCTGTAACAAAATGCAAAATGCAGTGTTTTTTAAGTATTCAGAATGGTTATCAAAATATATCTTTAACAATTTAACAAATTCAGGAAACAGGACACAAAAATGTAATAAAATTTAAGTGAAAAAATACTAATCAAAAGCCTTTACCTGGCTCAGCAAAGTTCCTGAGAGGATCATCACCCATAACCCAGCCATTGTGTGCAAACATCACATTTGCCTTGTCAGTGTGCATCAGCTGTTCTTCCTTCTCTAGGGTGAATTCTGGTCCAGGGGGAGGCAAGAAGTAACTGAAACATCAAAGAATAACAATCAGTGCACATTACCGTCACAAAAAGCAAGGTGGTAATCATCTTTTTTTAACTGCCAGTTTGCGCAAGATATCTTTCCATCTTTTGTTAATTTTTTTTACATTATGAATGGTGAAGAGTATGTTTTAATGTGTACATTTAGTTCCCCATCTCTTGTATGAATTCTGGATAAAAAAGGGACGAAACTGCTAATAAGTCTGTCAGAGTAAATCTACTGACATAATAACTTTCAAGTGGATCAAGTGAGGTAGGTATATGATAAAGGTATCTTATTTTTAATAGAATGATAAGTTAATGACATATAAACTGTTTTTTAGTTTAAATTTTCCATTTTTGATTGAAATTGGTCAATTTTCCTCATAAAAATTAACACTAAAAATTTAAAATATAGGATAGGGTAAACTTAGGAGACAAAGGGCAAACTGCAGACATTTCCTTGAAAAAATTTGTTGGACATATAAAGGACTAATGCATAATGTATTTCTGTAGTAATAACTGTCATTTTCATTAACTGCAATGTTTTTCAATCAGTGTCTCGAGTACCATACAGTACTGTGCACTCTTATCTGATTCTGAGATACACGTGATAATAAAAGTTGTATGTCTTGAGGTCAACCATAAATCTACGTAGTCATGATCTTCAAAACCACAGACGTGAACTTGCTGACATCATTGAAGTTATTAACTTGTATACAATGCAATGGCACATGAACATACACACCACACACCCCCTTACATATAAACCACAGGCTCATGATCCTTGAAATATAAAAAGAAAAGAAAGAAATATTGTTTTTAAAAACTTTGAAAATAAAATACATTTTTTAAATAAGTGAGACATTTTCTCTTTGTTAAAAAGTAAAAGTCATAATAAGCCCTTTTTAATATTCAATATGTATGCAATTTATATTGTACCTGAACATAAGAGGCTGCTTTCTGGTTACCTTGTCATACTTGGGCCCTCCATCTTGAAGAAACCTATACCTGAATAACAAAAAGTAGGATGAATAACTAGCTTTTTAATATACAACTATCATTAAAAATGCTCAATATCATCTTTCTCAACAAAAATGATGCTCTTGAAATGAAAATCAAGACAAGCAAGAAATCTAAATTCAAATGTGGTGCATTAAAAATAGTAATGTAATTTACAAACAGAATTATTTTTACAAAACATACGCAGTTATTAACATTTTATGCAACTTTTTATTTGTGTTTTATTTCATTATCTTTGTAATGAGCTGTATTAATGTATTTGCAGTACATACATTTATTAAAAGAAAGGAAGTGATTGTTCAGATACACTTCATAAATAAACACTTATACCTGATGTTGGCAAGAAAGTTTGTGACAGCCTGCTGTAGATGACCATGAATCTCATCGACTTTCTCCTGATTAAGTTCTTCTAATTTCACTCGTAAATCTTCACAGCACAGCCGGATCCTTTCATCTCTCGTACGGATACCAGGTCTGGGAAAACAATGACACTTATAAAAGGTACACGCAACACTTGGTTAAAATTTAGATGTTTTGAATATCATGTAATTTTTTAGGATGAATTCAGTTTGTGGTCAACAACTTAGTAAGTACTATATTCATCATGCATATTTAAAATAAGATTTTCATAAAATGAGTAAATGAATAAATAAATAAAACATTAGAAGATATATCTATGTTTTGGTAAATAAAAAGCGGTCTCACTTGTCCACATTAAATAGTTTCATGGCTATAGCCATATCCACTGTACTCCCTAATCTCTTGAACTGAGGATCCTGGACAATTTGTAAATCCCCTTTGGTGTGGTAAAGGTCTGTGTATAATCCTTCTGGAAACAGCAACAAAAAAAATATGACAAATAACTTGTAAATACAGATACGAAACATCATAATTCATATACAAATGTTTTAACTAGCAGCGTGACAATGTGCAACATGTTTGTTACTTTATTACTGTAAAAAAACTATAGAAAATATCTGACTCATTTAGAAAATATGCCATTATCCTAATAAGAACATATGGTTTTATTAATTTTGACACTTTTTGTGTTAAATCACACAATATGACTAAACTATTGTTTTTCTAGTACAATGGAAAGTTCGTGTTAATAATTTTTTTTACCTCCTAACTGACTTTTGAAAGATTTAATAACCTGGTCCACATCTACAGTGTAGAATTCATGCAATTTGTACTTAGGCAGCAGCTCATCATTCAAGTAACTTCTAATGTGCTAAAAAGCAAGATAAAGCTCGGAACTGATTTGTACATGAAGTTTTAATAGATAGTTTCATACACCAGTTCAGAAAAACAAAGGTATGACAGATAATGACATAAAAATAATGGTTTCAACTGGCAGAAAAAAAGAACACAGCAAAATAGTGACCTTATTTGAGTTAATGAAGTTTTTGCATTTTGTAAAAAAAAAAAGATTGCTTTACAGGACAGAAAAATGGCATTCTGTCTCACCTCTAGGTCTGTTTCACTTTTAATGACTGGAGTTATTCCTCTATACTCTAATTTGCCACCAGCAACATCTAGTGTCACATGCCAGAGCATCCTATCCAGGAAATAGGATGGCTTAAGGTGTGGAGAGTTGACTAGATTATACACACACTCAGGGTGCTCTTGTATCCAGGGGCTGTCATTGGCCGTGTGGTTGTACACAAGGTCTGTCATAGACAACACTTTCCACTCATTCTTCATCAGTTTAATAAGCTCTGCCACGTCATCCATGGTGTACTGCTTGTTCTTGCAGAAAAGCGGGTTAAGTTTCAGCTGATCTCTGAGCGAGTAGGAAGAGTTGGAGTAGCCCAGTTCTTGCAGTGGGGTAAAGTGCACCATGTTGTAGCCAGACTCTTTGGCTACTTTCAGCTTGTCTTTCCATCCTTCGAAGGGCCCCAGACACTTGGTGAGGACAGACTGGACCTGGACACAGTCCATAGGGAGAGGTTCATTTTCCAAACCAACATGCATGACAGGATCCACAAGGAAACTTCCGCGTCCATTTGGGGAGAGTTCATTATTGCTAACAAAATATGACCAAAAAAGTAATATAAAATTCAGCTATGTGATATTTGATATCAAGAGAGAAAATTAAAAGTCAATAGTTTAAGAACATAACACAATCTATGCCCAAAATTTTTTAGCACACTGATCCTAAAGAGACAAAATGGTCCAAGAGTCTAATAGAAAAAAATGTACAAAATTTTATTGGCCTGTCTTCAATTTTAATACTTTTGTGTATGTGACCAGTGTTAACATAATCATTGCAGACTAAAACATACAGCACAATAACATACTTTTAAAAATATTTAGTTTCCTTTTACCTCAACTAATAAAAGGTACATGTAATGCTAATATCACACTGACAAATATAACCACTGCACATATATTTATACAACTTGACCCATCATCACACGTACCCTCCATCAATGGTGAAATAATAATTGAATGACCCAGCACACACAATGTTGACCTCTACAAACATATCAATAACATCAGACTTCATAGAGCTTGGATTCTGCCACAAGAGTTCTGTGTACTTCTCGCGACTAAATGGGACATCTGCACATGTAGGATGGTTACAAAACACTCGAACATTCTCTACCTGAAGGGAGGGACCTTGGACAAAATGAAGTTTCCAGCCTGCAAAGAAAAATAAATAGATAAATGAATAATACAACTTAATAAGGTAGCAATAGTAATATCTGACAGAAAAACAATTACAATCCCACTTTAAAAAATAACAAATAAAAATAAAAGTATTCAATACAATCCAAAACAATTTGATTTGGGTCACCTTTTTCCAATCTATACAGGGTTGATTCCTTGTTCTCTCCCTTCTCCAGCACTAAGACTCTGACCTGTTCCGCCATGTTGACTTCACCCTGAATTTATCTGAAATGTAAAAATAACTACAGCTACAACTATCACAACTTTCCTCAAGACAACTTTGTGCCTACTCAGCCATTTAATATTTTGCAAATGCTAAGAGGATTCACTTTGACTTAAGAAAATAGAAATCTTTTTTTCCGCTGTTATTCTGAAACTGTTTTAGACAGTTTTCACATTGCCCATGACTGACAGTTCTTATACTACTTCAGTAACATCTGCATGACTGATAAAATTTTTTAAGAATGAATAGAAAGAAGTGTTCACTCAGTCCAAGGGACCAGCAACAATTTTAAGTGCTGCCAATGTTAATTTACAGACTGCCAGTGCTATGGTAAAGCAATGCATTCAACACTACTGGTCCATATATTGGATATTCTGAAAAGTCTGCATGTCTGCTATTCCATTCACATGTCCCAGTGTCTGTATGTTATTCAACAGAAAATTGCATTCAGTGAGATGATAAAGAAAGTTACATGAATATAAATTAATAGTTATCTCACTTTGTCAGATTTCACTTTGTGGCTAATGAATACATTGTCACTTCACAACACTGGCCATCACCTTTGCTACTTGGTTACAAACCTTCTTTATGTGCATGTGTAAAGACTACTAAGTTTATTCATATAAAAGGCTCCTGACTAGAAAGACAAGGCCGGAAAATACAAATTATAATTCTCATGTCCTTGAAAAGCTATTAAAACAATTATGTAGACTTCATTCATCAACAAACCCAAATATGTGACTCCAAGGCCAAACAAAATTGATGATTCAGTTAGTTAACAAGCAGGGACTCTCTGTAAACAGGATCAGCTTATAGACATAATTTTTGTTTTTGTTTTTAAACAAACATGATGCTAAGCAGCTCGCTATGTTTGAGGGTTGGCAGTTTTATTTTTTCTGTGGGAGAAGAAATGTCACTCTTAAGTGAAGGTGGTTTCTAAGCATTAAACATCGTTAAGGTTTTTTCCTAGAGTCAACAGCAATTTTTCCAACTTACCAAAACAATACAGTACAGTAGCATTTTTTCATTTGAAAAAAAATTGATTACCAGCTAATCAACTCTACAAAATTCTTGCAATTATTAACATGTTAATAGTTTTTTAATTTGACTTAAGCAAAATGGAAGGAAAAGACTATTGTTCCACAAATTTCTCAGTTGGAGTAGCCAAAAAACTTATGCGCTATTAAGTTTTTTGGCTTTTTTTCACATGCTTGTGAGAAAAAAATGGATGAGGTGAAGTTATTTTGTTTTTTCTCATAATAATAATTGTGTGCGTTCACTTTAACACCAGTCCCCAAAAGTGTCATTAGTTTCAAACACCGATTAACATGAACGCCAGACACCGGGTTTTGTCGCCAAAGTGACATTCACTTGACCTCCAGCCTTTCCAACTCGGCGGAGGGGACCCAAGCACGACCGCAATACTCACCGTTCAACGGATCATAATGCAACGTTAATAGAGTGCATTTTTCACAGTTTAGTTAGGTTTTTGCATTGAAGCATGTCACTCACCTTGCCCCGAAAATGTTCATCAGAATTTCGCAATTTCTTGACAGGGATAGCAAAACGCACACACAACACACTTGTAGAAAGATGGCACAGAGTCAGTTTTATATTATTACTGAAGTTTAAGTTAAAGACAAATCGACATATTCCTGAAAATAACATAAACTACTCATATAACAAAACATCATAAAAATTTACATAATCATAAGTATATCAGTTATTACTATGATATCAGATACATATATGTGCAGTTAAGAATATTACAAAACTAAGTATAAGACTGAAAGCTGGCTTTGCTTGTAGATGGATGTCAGGAAGATTTTCAGCTTAGAACTACGTTAACCTCGCTGCTAAACGTGTACTTAGGTTTCTTTTGAAGCAATTGGTGTCACTGTTGCTTATCTTCTGACGAAAAAATGGTGAGGCTTACTCAGTCAATGATTTCAATCTTAATTCGACAATACACACTGGATAACTTGTGGTTGAAAATGTGACCCCAACTTCGAGTTCAGTACATTGCATTGCGATGGCTAAAGCTTGGACATATGTCCAAAGATGAAGTGATGCTACCCACTGCACTAGTAACTCAGTATATTGTAGTGCCAAAAGGTAGCGTCATATAATATATACAATTATCACGAGTTTTTGCTTTTCCTATGCTTTATCTTATTTCTGTCTAAGTTAAACATTGAGTAGGTATATATCAGAAAAATTTTCAAACTGATCAGAAAATTATAATACTTATATCATCTGAAAGGTAATGTAAAAACCGGATGAAATCACTTGGAATTTTTTAAATATTCCTACAAGCAACAAAGATATTGAAGTTTTTTAACTGCAAAAATGCACCAAAAGTGTCCACACTTTTCAGCTTAAAACCTGTCACTACTGACCAGCGGTGATCACTCAGCTGTAGCTGCAGCTCAAATTGCTTGTGACCTATTAGGGCAATTATGGCTGTATGTTAATCTAATGACCCGGAAACAAACCCAAATTGGCGACCGCACAAGCACATGGCTGGGATGGCTTCCGTGCAGATCAAGTACTATAAATATTGCGCATCAAATAAACTATACTTCGCATGGTTTAATTTTCATGATTTTTTTACATAATATTGCAAATTTCATAAACTTTATTCGATATAAATTTTAAAAAACTGAAACCAGTACTTCCCTGACATTTTTGAGCATTTTGTCGAGGCAAAACTTCAAACACCCTGAACTGAAACTTCTCAAAGACTGCAACACGGGAAAATCACGTGACCGGATTTTACTCTTTGATTTACAGCTTATTTAGTTAATGGCTTGTATTAGTTTTTTTTACGCGGCGCTAAAAGAGAGATTTAAAAAAGGGGTGCCATAGGCGAGCTGTCAGCAGGCCGACTTCAGTTTTACACTTCACTGCCACTGGACAGTTACGACTGTAGCGCCCCTAGCGGATTGTGATATACCTACATTGAGAATTTGAACAGTTTCACTTTTACACTTCACTTTTTTCCTCTAAATTCAGGGTGAAAGGAAGGGCACCAACCATTATTACCCCCCAGATTTTGACCCAGCAAAACACAGGAACTTAAATGCATACCATGGCACTCATGCATTGCGGGAAAGAGCCAGAAAACTACATAAGGGGATTATGATAATAAGGTACTATAATTCTCTGTTTAATACGAGTTGTTTTTATGAAATTTCTGACACATGATAGATGATTTCATTGTTATTATAACTTTAAGAATAGAAGTACGACTTAAAATGTGGTTTATTAAAATAATTTCTTAAAAGTAAAAAATGACTTCAATTGCATATTGTTGTTATTATTACATTAAGATTAGAAATATGACTTTAAATGTGGTTTATTAAAATATTTTTATTATTGCTATTAAGAATTATTGATTGTAATGTGCAGTATATTGATGTATTGTTTTAATGGCAAAACTCCCCAATCCTTGCCATGTAACTCATTTTTCCTGCATTTTGTATCTTTCCTTATCTCACATATCATCCATTTCTCCTTTTAAATTCCAGGTTTGAAATGCCATACAACATTTGGTGTGATGGCTGTAAGAATCACATTGGTATGGGTGTCAGATACAATGCAGAAAAGAGTAAAATAGGAATGTACTACACAACACCACTGTACAAATTCAGGATGAAGTGTCATTTGTGTGACAATCACTTTGAAATAAAAACGGATCCAGCGGTATGGGTTGTTGATTATTTTATCAGCATTATTATTTATAATAGATGTTGTGCACTCATGTTATAAAAACAGCCATAATATATATGTCATCATCTAGCACTGACCAATAAAAGTTGCTTTGCAAAAATTGTTTCTAAAAATGATCTTTGAACATATATATATATATGACTAAATCCTGCTTTAGTGAAATTGTTAGTGTTTCGTGACATTATAGAAATGTAATTAAAGATGATATAATTGAATGGTAATTATATAATTGAATGGTAAATATATTTTACTTTGTATTACAGAATCATGACTATGTTATTATCAGTGGTGCAAGAAGAAAAGAACAGAGATATGACCCTAAGGATAATGAACAAATAGAGACTGAGGGTAAGGATTATCTGTTGAGACACATACCTGACATAGTACTTTATTTCACTACTAAAGAAGATCAGGCCTTGTTTTGGAAACCAGATATTTGCTAGCCATGAAGATCAAGTCCACATGCATTTGCTTCAATATTTGGTTTATTTTTTGCCTAAAGTACTGCAGCTTCATGCTCGTCCTTAATTAGCTTCTTTCTGTAGAAATGACATGCTAGCTTACAAGCCTAACAATACAATGATGTTTTTTTGTACTGATTTATGTAAGTGATGCTGATGGATCATTTAGCCCATAGCTAAGATATAAAATATAAAGCATTTACCATCATTATCAAAAGTATTTAACCTGTATCAGTCATGGTATCAGTATGCCTGTTTATTTGCCAGCTTTGTGTACAGATTATAATTTCAACAAAATGATTAAGACTTCATAATTTAATTTCTATCAGAATATTGCACCTTTTGTAAAAATAAATACATAAATTTTTTATGTTTGTAACATTTTTTTACTTTATTAATTTTGCCGTTTTAGATAAATCAGTGAAAAAGAAATTGGCCACTGATGCTATGTTCAAACTTGAACATGGTGTGGATGATAAAGCTAAAGTGCAGTCAGTGGCTTACACTTTAGATCAACTAGAAGAAATAAAGGCAGAGAAAAGAGATGACTATATGTTGAACAGACGAGCAAGGGATATGTTTCGGGTATGTAAAAAACAGAACATAAGCCAAAAAAATCTATATGATGCTTAAAAAGTTTAGGATTTTTCACTTAAGAGAACAGTAAACTTGTGTTACAGTATTAGTACTTTGTAGGTCATTGCACATTTATTTGTGTTCATCCTTAGTCCTAACATTTTTTAGAAGGAAAAAAGAGCCCTGAAAGACTCCCTTGAAGCTGACAATGCATTGATTGCTCGTTCATCCTTGGGTGTTTCTTTGGTGCCTGAAAAGGAAGAAGACGTGAAACTGGCTGGACTTATGAAATATGCATCAGCTAAATGTAAGTTCATTTACGACTAATTTGTCATTGAAGTTGTCATGATGGCATTTAGTGTTTTCCCGGACACAACTTAATTTGGTGAAATTTGATGCAGAAATGTAATATATTCCTGTGATATGTAGCTTTAATGCATTGACAGTGTCTTGTGAAAATATTACAGTCTTCAGGAAAGGAACAAATTTAAATAGATTATAAAATCGTGTCTCTATGTCAAAACCTATAGATCATAATGCCTAAAATCTTCTTGCTGTACTCTACTCTAAATTATAACTGACTTCAAACAGTATTTGGAATCTGATTCACCTCAACTTATGATGGGTCTCTTTCAGCTTATGATGAAAAGCAACAAGAAAAAAGACAACAGATAGAATCCAGACCTCTTTTCCAGTCAAAAACGGAAGAAAAATTGAAGAAGAACAAAGCTTTGCAAATTTTACATTCCAAAGGGAAACTGGGACATCAAGAAAGTCCATTTTCCTTGAATTCTGTGACTATCAGTCCTTTAACTGGTATTGTTAAACAGAAAAATAAGGGTGAGAGTAAGAGCCGTACTGCTTCAAAAGAGACAGTTATAAACAATAAAAATAGTCAAAATAATCACGAACCCCATACTGCAGATTGTAAAATTTCAGGAAAGGAAGCCCAGAAAAATGCTTTAGGAAGTTTGATGGACAACTATGATGATAGTGAAAGCGATACCAATACATAGTACAACATAAAGATTTCATGAAGCTTTTCACATTGCAATGACATAGCATGTGGTACATTTTATTAATCATGTTCGGGTATTTTGATAAAAGTTAACTGCAAAACTGTGTCTTGGGTCAATTTTATCATTTTACCTCTTTTGCTTTTATGGGGCACTGTTTTATCTATTATTTATATTTGGATTTGGGCCGTTTTATTTTTAAACCTGATCCCCATCCCACTCCATGCTCACACTAGTTTGCCAGTAATAAATCAGTAGAACTTTAAATCTAGGTCCCCCTAAACAGCAGCTGTCAGCTCATCATATTCATTCTCTGGCCCTGAAGGAATTTCATCAGCCTGGGAAAGGGGTTGAAGTTGCTGGTGCTAGGTCAGGAGAATAGTTGGGTGATAATATCAATTCCTTACATAAATTATTTTGAAAAGTACACAGAATTATCCAGAGACATATCTGTGAATATCTAGTGATATATCAATCTGTGGCCCTGGTTGAGGGTAGGGTAGGTTTGGGGTCTGTTAAAATAAATATTGTCCACAGCATTTGTAAGAAAACTATCATTTTGAAAACAGGAAATTTATCTATGCTCAAATCCGTTTCTTTTTTGAAGTTGTAAATTCAAGACTGGTTCACAATCAGCTGATCAAGAGGACTTGGGGACCATTTGTTGCGTAATACCTGATGATGGGAGAATTATTAAACTATTAAATGGCTCTTGAACTGTTTTTGTCTCAAATTTTCCATTTTGCTATTTTTAAAATAGACTGGTCCTTTTCAGACTTGTTTACCCCCACAGGGCCCACACCAACAGCTAATGATTCAACTTATGTACAAAGTTGTATTTCACTCGACTTATCCACATAAATAATATTTCCAAGATTGGAGCACAAATCAAAAAATGACAAAATGTTCTTTTCTGGCTTTAAAATGCCAGTGTTTGGTCCCTTTCAGGCATTGTTTATACAAATACAATAACAAAAAGAAAACGTGGAAATATATTTTAACTTTTTAGTTTATTACTCAATTTGTTTTTAACCGTCAAACCTGTATAATTCACATTTCACTTCAACAGTACATGTAACCCGTGCATTCTCTAAAGTTACTAATGAAGTGATAATAAGGGTATGTCAAAAGTGTAAACTTCTGAAAATGAATTCTATATGAACCATCTACAAATGCAAAATACCTTTATGTGCAATCACATTTCAAGTCCTTACAGCATAACTTACATTATTTCTCATAAATATCATTAGACACTCAAAAAGCATGAACAAAGGAAAGTTTTAAGTCTGTTGGGTCCCTGATCACATCCAGGAATGAGTGGTGTTGTCAAAAAAACACTAACACTGATCTTCGTAATTACGCATATCATTAAGTCTTAGTACCAGTACATCAGATATGATTTAGTGATAAAAACATCTTGGTTTATGGTAAGTGTCTGTACAATCAGGTATGCCAATGTCAATTCACAGATGATGCTAAGGGAAAGAAAGGAATTACAGCCTAAACATTTTTGTCATTAAGCTTCTCCAAGACGGAATTTTATGTATACTGCCTTGAATTTATCAAAACCAGCCAACACACCAGCTCCTGCAACACCTCTAAGGATGTTAGCACCTGCTCCTTTCATGAGAGACATGAAGCCTTCATTTGCGATGATCTGTCTACCGCAATCTATGGAGCCCTTGTACTTCACAGCTTGGCCAGAGGTCATCATCATACGTCTCCTGATGGTATCAATTGGGTATGACAATAGACCAGAAGTGACGGTCACCACGTAGCCCAAGAGAAAAGAAATGAACACTCCAGCATCTTTACCAAGAAGCAAGGGTTTGAGGGAATCATACAAGCCAAAATAGAATCCTCTGTACACAATGATGCCCACACAGGAGATGACAAAGCCTCTGTATAGACCAACAATGCCATCGGACTTCAAGGTCTTGGCGTACACATCAATAAGACCATTGAACTGACGCTCACCACCTCCTTTGGCAGATCCTTTTGCATCATTGGCCAACCTGGTTCTAGCATAGTCGAGGGAATAGACAAACATCAGAGACATAGCTCCTGCTGCACCTCCAGAAAAAATGTTCTTGGTAAACTTCATAGCTTGGCCTTCATCAGGGCTAGATTTGAACAGTGCCTTAACCTTGTCTTTAAAGGCAAAGTTCAGGGCCTGGGTTGGGAAATATCGAAGACAGTTGGCAAGGTTTCCTCTCCAAAATGGCAAGAGACCTAGAAAATTTAGGTTGAAATAAAATAAAATTAATACAGCAAGGTATAAATCAGCTTCTTGCACAAGAGGGTTTATCTAACTGACATCCTCAAAAATACTGTACATTTGAAGAAAGAATTCTCTGAAATCAACTTAGCTTATTTAGAATGCATGTTATAGGGATAACAACTGTCCGTAAGATATCCATATTTCACAATATATTCATCATTAACAACTCAAAGAAATATAATAATTTCTATTTTACCCCCAAAATGGCAGTTAATGCAATTATTCTGGAATTTGTGCTTGCCATCACATCACGCGACCTCCATAGATGGCTATACTCTGTAATAAGCTCTTAACAGAATATAACAAAAAACCAAATTTTTTATTAAAAAAATCTGGGACTAACTTTGAATGTGGAATGGATTCATTAACCATTGGTAAATATGGGGAAATTACCCTTTACCCCAGTAAAATTCATTTTTATGGCCAAAATGAACAGTTGTTATCCCTAGCAACATAATTTGATTTAACATCAGTGACAAGTTCTTCAATTAAAAATATCTAACATCTTAAAAATATTACTTCATAGTACTTAACCAAAATCAAGTATATTGGTAAGATTAAAAAAAAATACACAATCTGTTGCTATGAATTCGACTATAAATGACCTAATTCAAATCTTTACCACAATCCTGCAGACAATGCTTTTTAATACCCCCCCCCCTCTCCATTTTTTACAGATGTCAAGTACCAAAAAAAAAAGATGTTTTTGTTGATGAGATAGAATGAATACCTTCTGTTCTAAAAGTTCTGACAGTGCAGTCTATGACACCCTTGTATGGTTCTGAAAGACGCCCAGCCTTGATCATCTCATCCTGATTCTGGACAAGGAGCTTGATGCGCTCAATGGGAGCAGCAGCTGTCTTAGAAATGACGGCAGCAGCGCCACTGAGAGCAAAGTTTTCAGCAAACCCCAACTTCTTGGCCATCTGAAAGTATTAAAGAAATGACATTCTGTTTACTTTCAGTGCACTTTTAACATGAACTACATTAGAAGATCAAGACACCACACCCTCCATATTTGACTGGATGTTCATTTAATACAAACATTCTAAGCAAAGCATTTCAAAACGTGTGAAACCCAGTAAGTGTAATGCCCTTCATACTTAAATACGACTTCTTTCTTCATTCTCAACATAATCACATTTATAACATCACGAGTCTTGACGTAACTTATATGCTAAAGACTATATAGGAAAACAATGTTTCATTTAAAAAAAGATATTTAAACACGATAATTTCTCAATTTTTCAATGGCCAAATCTGTAAAATGCACAACTCCCCCCTCCCCTATTGAAAAGATTGAGTTATTACTGTAAATCAAGTACATGAGCATCACATTTTAAAAATCAAGTTTTTTCTCGATATCCATCATATTCACTTTCCATAATTTTATGTAATTCACTATTGGTTTCTGATGTGACAAAGACTGGATGACATCTATTTATCACACCAAACAACACAAATACACAACCTATTGGGAATCTAGAAAAACAGTTTATGAGACAAATAGGCAGATCTGTGAAATGAAAATTAAGAACAGTCATAGGAATAATTACACACAATTCAAGTCTTCTTACCTATGCTTGTTAAAAGGATACATTAACTTGTCTGAATTCTTAAAATCAAAATCAGTTTTCACCATGAAAATATTAGCAGAAAAATGCAAAGATCTATCTAATGATCAAGTAATTATTACTTGTGGCAGCTTGTAGTCAACTAGGCTGAAGCTATATTTCCTTCATTGTCAATGTACTGGATGCAACAGTGACTGCTGTGAATTCAAAATCTGTTGAGCACAAGTTGGTTTTAGTTCAGCTGGTTTAGGGAAACATGATAGCTCTTCGTGGTGAGAGACCCCTGCCCACCCCTAATTATCCAATAATTTCTAAAGCACCTTGAGCACAAAATATTGAAAGGAGAGATTCTGCCAAAAGGAAGATTCTCGCCTTTGGGCCACAAATGCCATGTTACTTGTGGACCATATATCTCCTGGGGACACATCTGTTAGTTACCAAAATCATGGAGAAGTCACCAATGTAAAAATACGAACAATACGACATGTAATTTGGAAAGGTATTGTAATTTTCAGTATCAATCTAAACTAGGTTTCACAAGATATGCCTAGGATTCCCACAAGTTGTCTTTTTGACAATCTGACTTTTTCATTGTTTTTTAATTAAGTCAGTCTAATGTAGTATTATAAGGATTTCCTTTTGTACTTATTAAATGCATCAACCGGCATAACGGGATTGCTCTGCCATTTAGTGAAAAAGTCGGCAAATATGCCATTGGGGCCAGGGGACGGCCCAGGGCAATCAAATTTTTGGCTTCAAAAAAGTCGGAATTCCACAGATAGTCGGAAAATTCTCATCCCTGCATAAGGAATTGCCAAGACTCAGGAGTGGCCTTACTAATACCTGTTCTTTGGACGTGCGATTTCGCAATAAGCAATATTTAGAAAGGTCCAATTTGTAAATATATAATTCAGGATTCGCAGCACACGTGAAAAAACTCATGAAACATGTTTTCATTCCAACGACAAACCCTAGAGGTATTGAACATTTTTCCCACGACTTATCACATGCCGCCGGCGAGGCACGTTTTTTGACACAAGTAGCACTTAGTCAGGTTAGTTCATGATGGCAAGTTACAAAAAACTGAGATCAAACTTAAGTATTATATTGTTAATGTGACATATACTTCTTCGTTCAGCAAACGACACCTTCTGAAGACTGTGTCGTCTTTTACTTTTTTAGATATCACGCACCTTGGTTCTTCAGGTCCGTCACGCTGGATGTCCGGCGACAAAATGGCCGACTGAGTCCGGGTACTTGCGCGTGGCGTGCATACGTCACGCAGTCTCAAACATGGACCAATCACTTTCCAGGCTCGATTGACCTTTTTACGTCACAGAAGAGGTCAGTTTGTACGGATGCAGCGACTGTCAAAGGCGAACGGACGCTTTTTTGGTGCATGGTATGTAAAAAATTGAAAGTGGCAAATAAAGCCGTACGTTAACCCCACAGTTAATTCTACAAATGAAATACGCCTTTATTTATATTTACTCTTGTGTTATTTTTTTTTAAAAAAAAGTTTTCGGATCTTAGATGTTCTTTTGTTTTAGAATCACAGAATAAAGTAGGTTCAGTTAGAAACTAAGATAACTTATCTGAGATTTTTATCGTTTCTGATTGATTTATTTGCCTACGGGGAAGAGGTAACTAAGCTTACGTTACTTAAATAGCCCACAGTGATGGTAATAGAGAATTTATTAATGGAGTTCTCAATTATTGTGATCCCATGATCTTAAAACTCACACTGGTCTGGATTTAGTATAATATTGCATCAAGAATTCTTGTTGTCAGTGGTATTTCAGATTATCTCTTGCGAAATATTATTCATTCTTTCATTCAAAATATACAATCACTATATAACGATTAATAATCATCATCATAAGAGTTCGTTTATGTTGCAGTTTATAAGTTCAGTTCCCCATGCAGCCTTTTCAAGAAAATTTCATTATTGTTAGAATCTATTTTTATTTATTGTTATCAGTTTGTTTTGACTGAAAAATGAAACTGCCTCGTAGTTTATATGCATAAATAGCAGCCAGAATATAAAAAAAATAAATTGTAATGGTTTTTATGTGACTGAAATGTAAGACAATTGAATTGTTATATCAAGCTAGTAAATAGGAATTGTTACTGCAAACTACAGTATTTGAGTATAATCTTTTCTTGTAGGTATACAATACATATTGGACATACTATTTTATATATATATATATATATATATATATATATATATATATATATATATATATATCCAGGAAATGTCAGCAATATTACCACAGTAAAAAAAAGTAAATAAGAGGAATATTTGTCCAAAATATAGAAAAATAGTCCCCCCTACAATTAACTATATTCATTTTTTCAGACAAAACTTCGGGTGTATTTCTAGTTTTTTCAAAGTTTGGAAATATTACAACCACGTTTAAATAATTTAGATAAAAGGAACTTTTCCAGATTCCTGAACAGCATAGGTAATTTGGAAAATTATAGGAGCATAATGTAGGAGCAATGGGAGGCTGCTTTATCACTTATTTATGATTAAACTAGATACCTCTCCAGAACCATTGAGGAGTTTTTTGATTCAGAAAAGTTTTAATTTTTAATCTTTACAGTCATGTATAGAGTTAACTGGTCTTTCTCTAGAATGACCCCAGAAATGATAACTAAACATTCAAAAACTGGCTTTTCAATCATAATTGTGTGAATTGTTTGACGTATGACATACCTGGACGTTCGGCATACCTGAACCTCTAACCTCTAACCCTAAGGGAAAAGGGTTGAAATTGTCTGTAACCTGGATGCTCTCTTATAAATCCTGTTGGTATATATATTGTGGAATAATATGGTAAGTTGCAAGAAGAACGGAATACTGGTAATTGTGAAAAAAAAAGACATAAATAATCAGTATATTATAATTTATTTTACCATTTCAGATGTCCAAAAAGTTAGGATTTGCCGAAAACTTTGCTCTCAGTGGCGCTGCTGCCGTCATTTCTAAGACAGCTGCTGCTCCCATTGAGCGCATCAAGCTCCTTGTCCAGAATCAGGATGAGATGATCAAGGCTGGGCGTCTTTCAGAACCATACAAGGGTGTCATAGACTGCACTGTCAGAACTTTTAGGACAGAAGGTATTCATTCTATTTCAACAAACAGTTGTTATTTCCTCTCATTTACACTTGACATATTTTTAAGTAATGAGTATAAAAATCAAGAATATTGAAAAAGCTTTGGCCTTTTTTTTTTGGGGGGGGGGGGGGGGTTACAGTTTTTTTTTTTACCTTATCCATATTTTCTACTTTTCAACAGCCCATACTAACATTTCCAAAACATTTTAAATTATTTCAAGTGATAAATGAACTTAATAGAGATCCAAAATTAATTATTTTGAAAATAAAAGGAACATTTGTACACACTTAATTGATTACAGCAAACTTTAGAGGAAAAGAACTTCAAGTATACGCTACTAGCGCTACTAGGGGGGGATAGCAAGTCAAATTGTAATGGTTTGTCCTGGAGCCTTGTTGAAGTTTGTAATGCATTTATTTAAACTGATATATGAATAGCCTTAGATCGCATTCAAACGAGTTGGGCCATGGCTTTACAAATCCTGGAACTAAATATGGCGGACGTACATGAAAGAAAAACCTCTCCGCCTCTCACGCCTCCCCACACGTCGTCCCTGCGGGGGTACAGTTATTAAATCTCGCCTCCGTTCGCCATGCGGAAGCTACCTGAGAAACATTAAGTGTGCATGCTCATTGGTCTTGGGTCAGCTGATCAGCTAGTTCCCCTTCTTCAGTTGAAAGAATACACCCAATGAAACAGTAACGACATCAGCTATCAGAAATTATCTTTAAACATGCCTGCCCAGCGGTCAGACAATTGGACTTGAATATCTCCGTGAATATTATCTCTGGTGACATTAACTCTGTAGATAGCCGATTCATTCCTGCTCTATGGGCCAATTCATTCCTTTTTCGTCTCTGTTTTGAAAGATAATTAAACAGAAGTTTTTTTCTTCGATCGCCTCCAGCCACCATGCTTTCTTCCCCTCGAGTTTAATTGATGAGCATGCGCACTTAATATTTCTCAGGAAGCTTCCGCATGGTGAACGGAGCCGTGATTTAATGACTGTACCCCTGCAGGGACGACGAGTGGGGAGGCGTGTGAGAGGCGGAGAGACTATTAAAAGATTAGGCGGTTTTTCTTTCATGTACATCCGCCATATTTAGTTCCAGGACTTGTAAAGCCATGGCTCAACTCGTTGTGAATGCGATCTTATAATCAGCAGTTAATAAAAATCAGCACAAAGTCACTGAAGTGGAAATTTTAAACATTCGCGTAGTCAGCCCACTCTCTTATGACCAAACAAGTGCATTTGTATGGTTGGAATCGTTTCTCGGTAAAAAAATACAAGAAAGTTTTCTGATGCGTTTTCATTGACTGTCAGTATATCTAGCTAGGAAATAGGAATTGTTACTGCAAACTATTTTGAGTATATTTCTTGCAGGTATACAATACATAATGGACATACTATTATATATATATATAAGTAATCTCCCCTGCTCACATTAGTTAGGATAGGTTAATAATTGTAATTTTAAATACAACTTCTAGGTCTTTTGCCATTTTGGAGAGGAAACCTTGCCAACTGTCTTCGATATTTCCCAACCCAGGCCCTGAACTTTGCCTTTAAAGACAAGGTTAAGGCACTGTTCAAATCTAGCCCTGATGAAGGCCAAGCTATGAAGTTTACCAAGAACATTTTTTCTGGAGGTGCAGCAGGAGCTATGTCTCTGATGTTTGTCTATTCCCTCGACTATGCTAGAACCAGGTTGGCCAATGATGCTAAAGGATGTGCCAAAGAAGGTGGTGAGCGTCAGTTCAATGGTCTTATTGATGTGTACGCCAAGACCTTGAAGTCCGATGGCATTGTTGGTCTATACAGAGGCTTTGTCATCTCCTGTGTGGGCATCATTGTGTACAGAGGATTCTATTTTGGCTTGTATGATTCCCTCAAACCCTTGCTTCTTGGTAAAGATGCTGGAGTGTTCATTTCTTTTCTCTTGGGCTACGTGGTGACCGTCACTTCTGGTCTATTGTCATACCCAATTGATACCATCAGGAGACGTATGATGATGACCTCTGGCCAAGCTGTGAAGTACAAGGGCTCCATAGATTGCGGTAGACAGATCATTGCAAATGAAGGCTTCATGTCACTCATGAAAGGAGCAGGTGCTAACATCCTTAGAGGTGTTGCAGGAGCTGGTGTGTTGGCTGGTTTTGATAAATTCAAGGCAGTATACATCAAATTCCGTCTTGGTTAATTTTTTTGATTCAAGCCATTTGATCTAGATTTTATCTCTTTCTTACATAGGCTAGTTTTAAAGTGCAAGACTTCAATTATACAGAAGGGCTTCTAGATATAGAACTGTCCAAAATCTTGTATCACAACATGGTTTTTGATGAAACTGAAACTGACTAGTTTCATCTAGATTTTATCTCTTTCTTACAAAGGCTAGTTTTAAAGTGCATATCTTTCAATTATACAGAAGGGCTTCTAGATAAAGAACTGTCCAAAATCTTGTATCACATGGTTTTTGATGAAATTGAACTGACTAGAAGGAAACGGTGTCTTTTGCATAGCTGGTGGACACAAGAATTAGAATGAAATGATGCTAAACTGACAAAACTCTACAACCAAATAAGAAAATAAATATTTATTGAACATACCTTTTTGTCTGTAGCATTTTAATTTTATTCTACCTGATGTACAAAGTAAGATGCGAAATAATGTTGCAAAAAATCTTAATATATCTTCATTACAGTTCATGTGGGCCCCCAAGTTGAGAGGTTTGAAAATACCAGAGTACCGCCATATGATATCATGGATAAAATGCTTGCAGTTTTGAGTAAACTGAAATAAATGAACTTTATAATATCTACATATAATAGCATGTGTTTACAGACTGTAATAAAAACAATGGTATCTAGTTATTCAGAAAGAATTTGGCACTCTTTCTACTCAACTGCTCCTCTTCATTTAATCCCACAAGTTTGTAAAATGTACAAATTCATTTTGAGTAAAAAGCTGTTAGACAGCATTTCAATATGGCCTAGGAAATCTTAGATAAAACTGAATATCATTAACTACGTAGCTATCCACTGTTCACAGAAGAAAAGAAAATAATACCACTCATTCTGTTGTATAAATATCCAACCATACGTGATTCAGCTTCCAAAATGCTTGTTATCTATAAATATCATGATGTAACAATCTAAAATCAATGATTATTGACAAAACCATACCTGGAACACAATATCAACATTTATATTCTTTAAATAGCAAAGTGAGATATTTCACGAAGTTCTGCATGTATGTTACTGCAAAAGAGCATAGAATACAGAATTGTATCCATGCTGTGAGGTTATGGTATGACATGACATATAATAAGTGCATTAGGTTAATAATACAGAAGTACTGGGCATTTTAAGTTTAATTATTTTGTTATTTTCTCAACATTGAGGTACTTCATACATCCAAAGTTATCCCAAGAGAATAAGTATCTGAAGAAAAAACTTCCATACAATGCTGCCAGTGATTTTGAGTTAAGTATGTTTTATCATATAAACCCATGGGTATAATTTCCTGGCAAATGCTTGGCCAATACTTAAAATATAATGAGGTGACAGATCATAAATGAAATAATCAAAGGTGTTGTAATGACCTTCCAGCATGGTGGACATGTAGATATATTCCACCATTGTTTATCTGATGGTTCAGTCGATCATTGTCTCTTGCAACAGTTTCTGAGGTAAATTCCTTTCCTAAGTCTAACACATGTGTATGCTGATCGAGAAGAAGGTTATGACCTGTGTAAGTTCTTGGTAATTTGTAATGATTTTGTGTAAGATCTACTTGACTTCTCACCAGTGGCAATGTTTTCTCTCTCATCTTAGCCCTATGCATGTCAAATTTGGCCTGAAATTAAAAAAAAAAGTACAATTTAAAAAAAGGCACCAATTTCCAATCATTACCATAAATTTCATATGATCACAACTAATAATAATAATAATAGTGTATTAAACAGTTTCAGCAAAACTGTAAATATGTACCAGTTCCAAACAAATTCTATTTTTTATATCAAAATAAGTTTTGATTAAAAGAAAACCAAAAAAAAAAAAAAAAAACTAACCTTATTATACGCCAAAACTCCTAGGACTGCACAAAGCATTCCTATTACATTTAGTAATGTGACTGGATTTCTCAAGAGTGCAAGGGAAACAAAAATGATCACAATTCTCTTAGTTGCATTGGCCACAGCATAACTAAGTGGGGTCAGCATAGCCAGTACAGTGAATGCTATAACATTTTGGGCAAAGTTGCAGAACCCATCTATGAGAAGTAATATCACAGCACGTAACCAGTGGTCATGTTTGACCTAAAAACAAATATACTTCATTAAATCAAGTGCATTTATTGCACAACATTGTTTGCTTTCTGGGGCTGTTCTGAATGAGTTAAGTCACAACAGCTACTCAGCACCAATTCCATGGGGATTCTTGCTGAATGCAATCAGATTAACATGCCTCCTCTTGTTTCCAATATGCTCATGTAATCACCAGCTTCTCTCAAGGTATATTCAACTCAACTCAAAGAAGAGGAATCTTAGTCTGTTAAGCTGACTGCATTCAGCGAGAGTCCCCATGGAGTTTGTGCGCAGTAGCTATTGCTACCTATCTCATTTAGATCAGCACTTATGTTGGAAAACTGCATTTCAGGATGTCTGAAACATGTCCCAGCATTAAGAGAATAACTATAAAAAAAATATAATGTCTTCTAAGACAACATCAAAAGGTACAACATCACTGAAATCTAATATTATTTATTGTGTGATTGATGATGGTTTTTCAACTATAACTGGTCAGTCACCTGATTGACAGTCTTTCCTTCACTCTAATTGGCCATTGGTTGATGTTATGTTTGATGATTATGTTAAAGGTAAAATATGAGTTATGTCAGACCTCAAATTCCAAGATATAGGACAGTATTCTAAACTTACCAAAGAATCATCCCTCATAATTCTCCTAATGTCATAAAACACCCAGACTGGGAAAAAGAACAGCATGGCAAGCCTTGCTAGCACCAGTAATAATCTGAGATGGTGTATACCTGTATCTTTTAAACACTGGAATGAGACGTGTAATATAATATTTAATGGATAAATTATGGTCTATAAAAATGAGGTGTGGCTTTTTAGCGAAGCACCTGTAAACCACACGTAAATACGTAAATTCTTTCTTTAAACTGAAGGAACAGTCTACTGAATTTCTACTGAAAATTATACAATAGCAACTTTTCTGTGAATAAACAATCATCCACTGGACACACATGAATTCAAAATAACATTGACATTGTTGGGTGAATGGACTACCAATCCCCAAGTGCCTCACTATAAAGGTCTAAGAAGTGATAGAAGCTATTGTAAACGCACTGCATATGGACCGCCATATGATCCCCACTTTTCTTACAAAAATTCTAGGATAATTATGATGTTATATGGCCAAGAACCTTGAAATGGAGCTAATTTTATATAGGCTAAGTATATTTACTGTTTATTCAGTATGTATTAACACCTGTTCTACTGGTACAATAGCACAGCTGGTTAAAAATTACAATATTACTTTCCTACTGCAAACAAAATTGTGTTGGTATTTACATTTAATAGATATTAATCAACTTGTTTGCACAATAATTTTAAAATGTTTCACTTCATTAACAAAAAGTTTGAAAACTTTCTTTATGGTTTGATAATAATGACATGTTTTTATCACTGAATAATATTTTGATACAGCCAGAGAGGCCCTAATGGACTACTGACAAAAAGGGATAAAATGAAATACTGATAGTAAATATCACATTTAAGGCTTTAAGTTCCATTAATTTGTCTCTTACTTTGCTTTTTTTAAACATATGGATAAAATTTAAGATTGATAAACAAGAAAAAACTTCCATACAGACAAAAAAAAGAAATAACCTCTCCAAAATGCTTTATCTGAAAACCAACAACCTTTTTATATAGAAAAAAGAAACACTGCCTGGCTTGATATTATCAGTTGTGTAAATGCTTTCCCAAAATTAGCATATATAACCATCTATAACCAAGTATTTGTTTTGAACATGCTCAAGTATTACACCATAGAACTGTTTATGGCAACCACAAATATAGCTTGTCGCAAATAAAACATATCCATCAACATTAACTGTGAACACTGCTTAACATGCACACACTGACCCAAGATTATGAAACACATACACAGGCCTACCCAACTACCAGACTCGGCACATAAGGATCCTGAATTAACCGGTATATTGGACCAAACTACCCGTTTTCAAGGTGTGTCAGATCACATTTCGAAGTATCATACCCCAGAACAAATTTTGTAAGACGACCGTGGGCTCATCTTGTCAGTGTTCTGACTGATACTCCGAAATGCGATCTGACACACACTTTGAAAACAGGTAGTGTGGTCCGATATACCAGTTAATTCAGGATCCTTATGTGCCGAGTCTGGTAGTTAAGTAGGCCTACAGAGATTTTACCAAGTTACACAAATAACTTACGAACATAACATCAAACCATGAAATATATATTTCATAAATTAACAAAAACTCCCACAAAATCAAGACAGGCAGCATTTCATTTTGTTGTACATACCTTTTTAGAAAATATATTTTGAATAGCAAATCCCAAAGTTGCAGCTAAGGCACTTATCAAACCAATAACATCAAATGAAATCTCAGTGACTGTAGCAATATAAACCCCAGTGATGATAGGTACTAGGGAGATATATACCTACAAATAGATGGAATACAGTTAATGCCCCTTTCCAAACCCCTGCACCAACACTGTTTTTAAGTGGTTAAGGTACTAGAATGCCTCTTTCATATCTTCAATGAAAAAAATTGAATACGTAACTTTCAGGGTCACACTCTAAAAATATTTGGCCCTCTTGTAGTTGACACAAAGTTTTCATAATCAGTTAAATTGCAGCTGCCCCCTACCTAATTCAATTTTAATCTAAAGATATAAAAGAGGCATAATAAGACTTCTACCACACCAATTAGTACATTAAAAAAAAAAAAACAAAACACCCAATGTCCACCGCTGAGGTCCACCTTCTGCTCTAGATATTCGTTCTTACCTTTTTACCAGCTATATTTTGAATAGTGGACACTAAAGTGGAGGCTAGGGCACTAATTAAACCAATCATATCAAATGAAAGTTCTGTAAATGTGGCTACCAATACTCCAGTCACTATAGGAAGCAATGATAAGTACACCTATAAAAACAAAAATGTGTCGAAAACAAAATTAATCAAAAAAAGGACCAAATGATTACTTGTATGAACCACGTCAAGATTGTTTTATAAAACCAATCTTTGAGATCAACATAAAAACAATATAAACAATATAAACCTATAATATATATTGTTATAGTCTTGTAAGAAAGATACATGCACAACTACATGTGCCAGACAAATAGACAATTCATTTAAAATGAATTCATTGACTTGCAAATAAAGCCACCAACAAGGCAAAATTCAAACAAAGAATAAGGAAATAAATATCTGCATTTAAAAGTAAACTGAAACAATTAATAATCCCACATCTTCAAAAACATTAACATATACTAGAAGTACCAATGAAAACCTGTGAAACAACATGCTCTTGGGTTTTCATTACAAGCTTTCTTATGAAAAATGCCGAAAATAACTATGATCCATTGAATTATATTAATCATAAAGCTGGTACTTATGTCAAATCATTTCCACTTTACCTGACCAGTGTTTAAAAAAGTTAACTATACCACACAGTTTCATTGCGTTATATCCAGGAAAATATCATTTGCACAGACATTTGCCGCTGACTTTCTGTGTCTCATGTACTAGACAAAAACATGGGTAAAATTTACTACCAAAAATTATGTGAAATTTTTTGTTATAAAGCTGGTACTAATATTCAATATGAAAGAGGGAGATGGAACCTGCATACATCATTACAAAGTTGCTTCTCCTGAAAATTAAAATGTCCATGCTGTTCATCATATTCCCAGTAACTTTTACCTTCAAACTTACCTTGGTGGTTTGCTTTTCATGCAATATTATTCTTGAAAGAACTACTGTGAACAATGGCATAGTAGCTTTTACTGGAAAAATAAATTAAGTCAATATATTAAACAATTTTGATTCAATATGAAAAAAAAAATTCTCATCCCCAGAATGTCTACTTTCTGCTTTACACACACACACTCACAATTAAAATTGATAAATAAATAACTAAACAAGAGACAGAATATACAGATTATATTTGAAACTCTGAGTTTCATATATATATATATATATATATATATATATATATATATATATATATATATATATATATATATATATATATTCTGTCTGTGGCCCAAAAACTAATGGCCTGTTACTGAAAATAAAATATAACTGAAAATAATTGTCAAGTCAAATTATGATTTGGCATGAAAATCATTTTATTTGTTACGCTTGGCAAATGCATGGTCTTGTAAATAGTTGGTTCTATATTTTAAAAAATTCCTCGAACTACTACCTTCTAAGTTCATCATATATCTTAAAGCTGTTTTGAGAATTTCAAACAAATATTTTGGCATCCTTTTTTGCAAAGTAATTTTGAATGAAAGTTGAATAAGTTTGACAGTAATGAGTAAAATACTTTTCTGATCAGTGATAACACCAGGTATCTATTTTAGCAACATATTAGTACATATTTTAGCTAGACATATGTACTTGTAGTATTTTTGTACTAATACAAGTAACAGAAAAAGACCTTAAAAAGACATACCTATGTCCCACCAAAATAAATAAATATCTTAATATGTTTTCAAATGAAACTTTGTTGGATAAATTAAAATTTTCAGTGCTTTTCATTTTTTTAAAGCCAGATGTCATATGCGTATATCCACCTCTTCTGGCAGATATATTCATTTTGATGTGAAACCTACATGTACATTTACATTTACGTACTCAGAACACGTAAGCAAAAAGTAAAAAAAGTTTACACACCTAATCAACTATATTTTTTATTATTTACACTACTGAAATACTTATGAGGTGGTGATTGAAATATTGCATGACAACACCTATTCAAATAACGTCAAAGCATGTGTAGCACCTGCATAATTTACACATTACTGTAAATTTATATTTGTACTCTGTTTACAGGCCAAGTTATTCAGTTTTACTCTATGCAATATAGAAAAAAGAGCCCTTAGCTTACTAAAGTAAATATTACAAAAAAAAGAGAATGGCGCACCCGATATACTCAACTATCCATACATGATGTTAACATATTTATAGCATGCACACTAGTTAAGTACTAGTACATGTAGTAGTACGGTACATAGGAACGCCAATTTAGTACACCATTTTCAATGAAAAACCCCATTTAAAAAGGATATTACCTGTATGTGCATAAGAAACTGGCACTTTCCATATACTAACATGCGCTGATACTGAATTGATGAATTTTCCGAATGCAAGTGGAATAATCATTTTCGCATAATAACTCCACGATATGTCACTCGGTAAAGGAATATCCCATACGCGCAATATTGGACCCAAGTAAAATGCGATCGACATTAACTGTACCATCGTAACGGTCATGGGATATGGAAAATCGTTCAGAACTGTCTTTCCTACAATGTTCCCTCCTGCACTGAAAGAATACCATGCTACACATAACGCAACTATCTTCAAAATCTGTTTTAAATCGTAGTCACCGTCGTCTGACATGCTGGCAGTGTTGGCACTGCTACGGACAAACAGGTAATTAGGTCGGTGGTTGATCGAAATCCATAATATTTTTCGTGGAAACTAGTAAAAAATGCTCTGTAGTTGAAGTTGATTTGTTTTTATCCCCCAAATACGATTTATATCTAAATTATACTTAGAATATTTGTAAATTATTATTTTTCATTGTTTATGTATTAGTGACCTTCACCTTTTCCATGTGGAAGTGCAGGACAGTCATCCCATTGATTTGGAGGTTGGAAACTGTTGCTGAAGCAGAAACCTGACCCAGCAGCGCGACTTCTCTGTTTTCTTCTTCATATGGGTCTGCATTTATAATTTACATTTTTCTTAAATGTTTAAAACTGGTGGCCATAAAAGTGAGTTATCAAGCAAAATAATGTGACAAGCTGACAGTGAATTAGCTTAAATATGATGTCGTTGGTTGATGTTACATACAGAAGATACATTTTTGCTTATTTGACGTGTATCACTGTGCATCATTTTGACACGGCACTGGATGGAGCCCGGCAGTATTGGGTCCAAACTATATGTTGTATGTTATCCCAAAGAGGGTCATGAAAATTGAAATTGGAGCTACGGGCGTGTAAAGATCTACATGGGAATGAAAAAATCCAGGATGATATCATGTCTGCTTTGCTGCAGCCTTTGCTTTGTTTTCATGCAAGTCATCCTGCATCGATTATTAAAACCACGTTTAGACACAAAAATGGTCAGTATACACATGTACAATACATTTTTTCAATACTTATATGATACCGGAACACCATATATATATATATTTTGACTGGTGGTCTTAGTTAAAATGGAATAATGTATATAGTTTTTATGCCGGGTATGGTATGATTCATTTACATTTTCAGTTCACATTATCACATTAGTTTATAGGTAAATTTGAAACAATATATGCCCTCCATTGTATATACATGTGTGCTAGTATATGTTAAAATGAAATTGCTACATTTGTTTCATATTTTCTTGTTGTTAGACAGAAGAAGGAGGCAGCAGTACTGAATATCTGTCACATGTAAGGAAATTCTCTGTTATTCAATTTATATTTTATGATAATTACCTTAGCATAACAAGTACATGTATACTGGGATCAACTTCTCTATTTTTATGGCCGTCTTTAAGCTCATTATTGTGCAGTTATCACCTCCTTTATTTATGTATTATTTTAGCATAAAATTTTTTTTTCTTAACTTTAAGATTTTCCCATTTTTAGAATTTCATTGGTATTTGAATGTATGATTTTTTAAAGGCATCACATGTAGATTTTTATAAAAAATATTACACCCGAAGTTCTTACAGTGTACTAACATATGTAGTTGTGCAACTGCGTGGGTGAATTGGTACATGTGAAGTACTGCATTGTGAAACGGTAATAATGTTTAAACCAGAGGTGTAGTTTCTGAGATTTTAGTTGTTATAAATATTTTTTTGAAAAAGATTCTATCCCTGACCTTGAAACCCACATAACCATATAATGCAAGTGTTTGCTCATTTTTTTTTTTTTTTTTTTTTTTTTTTTTTGTAATTGCATTAAATCTCTGCATCTCTATATTTTCCAAAGGCCAACATCGAGAGATTTTTGAGGTTATGTGGCAATGCCAGCCTGCCCGTGTTTCTGTTTGATGAGTACATCTTGCAGCAGGTCTTGGCCAGTCCTAACAACATGGAGATTAAAAACAGAACTTGCAAGTTTCTTTGCAATAAACAGCTGGTGACATCCTTTGCAATAACTGCTGAGAAGTGGCTACCAGAACATAAGGTACCAGTTTCACACACACACATGCACGCATGCATGCACGCACGCACGCTATTAATTATCTAAAAAACATTAACCTGATATAAAAAGCCTTATAGAGTCTTCATGTAGCAGAACAGCACAAAATATATGTTTCAATAGATCTGAAAGCACTAATAGTTTGAAATGATGTAAATTTTCTAATGTTTTGTCTATAAATGATTTATTTTGATAATAATAATAATATGCATTTTTGCAAACAAAATGATATTGATTAGAAGAAGAATACTTTATTATATTTTTAATGATATTTTTGTATGTATAGGTAATTATTATTTTTTCTTAAGGTTCACAGTTTTATCAAAGAATCCGTAAAAGAAGGTTTCACATCAGTCATTTCATTAAAATCAGAACACTGGAACTCACATCTTGAGTCTTATTCTCAAGATCCCAGCCATTATTTCTTTAAACGAGGTGGACATATCATTCACCTGGTTGTTCTATACGAAATAATGGATAAAAGTTGGTGGCATGGGGCAATAGTAATGGATGCAGCAAATGAAGAGTTACAGGAATACCATTCTTATATACATGCTTCTAGAGTAGGAGTATTTGCTGGTCTAGTAGATAAGTAAGTATTTGTTTTATGATGATGGCCATGTCATGTTATTATGCAGAATGTTTTTATGTTTTGATTGTTTTCAATACTTTAAAACGTTATTTGTCATACATGTATATATTGTGTAAAACTATCATATATATATATGCTGTGTAGTTAACAGTAATACTGTAAGCTTTAAGATGACTGGCTATTTTTATCTTCATCAAAAAGCATTGAAAGTAGTACCTGTAATTAAGCCTCAAGAAATGTGAAAGAGACTTATTTACAACTAGTAATTAGTAATATAAACCCTCTTGCTGATCAACTTCTGTAACCTTGATAATATATGGATTATGAATGTACAGTTTTAAAGTTTTGATCTATTTTATATTATGCCAGCTGGTAGTTTGTTTTGGAATATACTTGTATGTATTTTCATAAATATTATGTACTTTGTATACCCTCTACCAGGGCGAGTGATAGATTTTTTACAGATATTCACAGATATGTCTCTAGCTAGATAGATGGTCATTTAAGGCTCAACTCACCCTGTTGAGAAATCTCAAGGCTGATTACATGGCTGATAATTGTTTGCATAACTGCTCAGGCACTGCCACTTTGCAGGTCCAGTCTAAGTCTGCGTGACAGCAATCAAGACAGTTAATTACTCTGACTTCAATCACTTGCTCTTCTGTGACAGATAAAAAAGCCTTAGACTGGTTGCGTAACGAGCAGTTATCACAGCGTTGTGAAGCTCAGCTCATGCAGACAAAGTACAAAGCCTTTGGTGCGCGCGCAGAGATTATTTTTTCCACATGGGATTCCTCAACAGGGTGAGTTGAGCCCTAAATGACCATCTATCTAGCTAGAGACATATCTGTGAATATCTGTAAAAAATCTATCACTGGCCCTGGTAGAGGGTATACTTTGTACATGTAATTGTTACTTCAGGTTTGAAACTGTACAAGTGAAGATGGACAGCATTTCTGTGAATGCCCCCAGGTACCCCAAGTGGACCCTGGCACAAATGAACAATTCCAGATATATAGAATGCAATCACACTCAGGCAAAACTGTTTTACCAAAAATATCCACTAGAAGAAACAGAAAGAATGAGGACTTTTAGAGAGCAGGCCATCAACTTGCTACGGAAGGGGTCAGCGATTTTGGATGGTCTTGGAGTGAGGTTTTGGCTAAGCAGTGGGACCTGCCTTGGTAAGGTTTAAAGTTGAAATTTTGCTTTTTTTTCCCACTGCACTGTCTGATTTTCGGGATTCCAGAGTACCAATAGTGCATTGAATGTGCAATTATTTTTACATTTTTTTTTCATCTTTGTTGCATAGACCTTATTTTAGTACATGAAGCCTGGAAGAAAGGATGTTTATGTAAAATAAAGTTTTATACAGATATATGCAAGTGTATCATGAGAATTTAACATGAAAAAAAAAAATACTGAAAGATTTTATTTTTGTTCCATATATTATTTTTTTTAATAATAGGCTCAAGGTAATATTTTATAGTTATTAAATGTATGCTTAAAAATTTTTCCTCATTTTTTAGTTTTGGTTCGTAACTACCGGATTTGCGATTGACTGATTTTTTTAATTCTTACATTTCATATATATTTTAGGATGGTATAGGCAATGTGATATAATCCCACACACAACAGATGTAGATTTTGGCATTTGGATAAAAGATTATAACAAGAAAATAGTTCCATCTTTTCTTAGCCATGGCTTCAGTCTGGACCATCAGCTTGGGAAGGTGAGCTAATTTCAAAACTGTAAATTGCCTTCAGGTTTGTAAACATTCTAGTAGAAGTGGAAAGTACGTGGTTATTTAAAAAAGCATGTTATTTATGTATTATCCATGTGCATGTAAAGTTGAGTGCACAGTTCTTGAATACATTTTTCAAAAAATTATATTTGATAGGTAAATATGCGTGCATGGTCACTCATAAACAGTAATGAACACAACTTGCAATAATTTACTTCTCATTTCCAGGTCTCGGATAGCTTCCAGTTGTCTTTCAAGTATGGAGATGTTAAATTAGACATCTTCTTCTTTTATGAAGAAGGGGAATATATGTGGAATGGTGCTACTCAAGTTAAGACAGCAAACAAATACAAGTGAGTCTGTTTTATTAATGTACAGTGAAAAGATGGTGCTTTATACTCTCAATTTGTTAACATTCCAGTCTGAAGGTCAGATTTAGTGACAGTTTAAAACTGGATGCTGATTTTTATTTTCTTGCATAGTTATTATTAAATCTGTTGGCAAGCATAATTTTCTTAGACACTATGGCACACAGTAGCTGACTCACTGGATGGCAGGTATTAAGTTATCTGCGAAAAGACAATTTGCTTGAGTAAGATTTGTTAACAAGGATGCTGAAGTTTGTATTAAAAAAAAAATTACCGTTATATTTGATGCATGTCTGGATTCTTTTCAGGTATTATTTCCCAAGGTTTACCCTTTGTTGGACAATGTTTTATGTTGAAAAAGTAAGAGTGCCATGTGAAACTCAGTCTTATCTAGAGGCCAACTATGGAACAAACTGGTGGGAGCCTGTAAAGATTTGGGACTGGAAAAAGAGTCCACCAAATGTCCGAGAAAATGGACAATGGCCAGAAGAGGAGTGGGATGATGTCATTCAGATTCCTGATAGTTAATTTCACAAATTTATTTGATCTCATATTGTTCTTATTTGGTGTTGCTGATATTTCTATGCATTTAAAGGTACAGAACTTCATATAGTGTTCAGTGCTGTAATACATGTAGGAATTTGCTTTTCTACATGGAAGATTTACCCAATGAACATTGAAGTGGACTTCAGTGTTTGTTAAATGGACTTCATTTAGAAAGATATTATGGATTTTATCATATTCCAACATGTATATAAACCGTCTGTGCCAAAAAACCTTTTTGCCTACTGGAATACCAGGATCTAAGGATCTATTGACCCAAAGATGAATTATCAGCCAGTAACAGAACAAATTTACAAAATTTTACTGGTGGCTTCAGTTTTACTGGAATTTGGCTTGATGTCAGTGTTAAAGGCAAAGGCTTATCTTAATACAGATTAATATCTTTAAGGTGCAATGGCGAGTGTCATACATGTATAGTGATGTAAAAGAGTTAACATGTATTAACAAGAACTGATTCAGAGCTGGATGTTTTTTCTGTCCTATGCTCAGGAAGAATAAATACATCATATATCTAAATGAATTGGGTGATAACATCCATGTTAAAAAACAATGAATTATTTATTTAAAATCATTTACCATGGTTAATAGCATATGGGTGCTGTTTGTTGGGAATTGTTTTTACTGGAGAATGATATTGCAATTAGCCATTCAGGCAGTACATAGGTAACCTCAAGTCAAAACTGGGATTGTTCAAAGCCCAAGCATTGTTCAAATGAAGACATGCTCTTAGACTTTAGACTCATTTTTATATAGTTCTAATTTATAACTTTAGTTAAAGGAAATGACATTAAAACTACATCTTGTATAGAGAAATGGACTTTGAAGTGGTATACGTTCTAGATTCACTGAAATTGCATGCAAGTAAGTGCATAGTCAGACAAACTGCCCAAGAATGAAACTGAAAACCTGTTTTATAAGCAGAATGAACCACATAGTGGTCATCAGTTTTTATTCATTTAAATTAAAGAATTGTGAATTTACTAACACAGTTTTTGTATACATACATGTAAGGACATAACAGACTCTTGGACTGGATGATGGAACACCAGTTCAGCTGGACGTGTCATTAATATTGCAATATTCACCAGCAGTTAAATTTGTTTTGGCTGAATTTGAAGGATTTCCTGATTTAAACTTAACTCTTAGAGTAGATTATCTTCCTTAAGAAGGTTTTTAAAAGTTATTTTAGACAAATGAACAATACCGTGGATACAGAAAAGTACCCTTTGAATTTAGAAAAATTAAATGACACTGTAGTAACAAAGATACGAAGAACTAACAGTAATTACTAACTCAAATTATTTCCATGACTTGCATGCCAGAAAAGATGCGTATTTCTCTATAAAATAACACCATAATCTTTGTGGGTGACGTTATTCAGAGTTGGAGTCCAAATACCAAAATTAGAAATAATGGACAAATTCCATTCACTTTGTGCAGGAATAGAAAATTTCCTGGGTAGTTTTCACTGTCCAGTGGTACCAGCTGCAGGTTTCACCCTTGCCTGATAAGAAACATTTTTTTCAATTAAAACATAACTACACTCCAAACAAACTTCACTTACAGTTATAATGTACTAGTAACCTGTCACTGGGTTGTATGGCTGATGAGATCTAATGAGAACAATCCTGTTTGAATTTCACAATGATAACAGTAACCTGGTATAAAATGTAAAACATGTTTGTACCAACTTTGTTAAAAACTCCTAATAAAATAGTATTACTATGTTACTCATTGGCGCCAAAAACCCATCCACTGAGATTTATACTGAAACATGTGACCCTTCTACACAATGCACATATAGTTTCAACACTTCTTAATCAGAGAACCTGTCCCAATTTTAACTGATTAAAATTCGAACAAATTGAAGCCCAACCCAAATATTTCATTGTACATGTGATCCAGTGGAATGGTCCTCTATGAAGCACTGTCACTGTGTAAATGTGCAGTTTACTATTATACAAACAATGGTTTGATACAAACCTTCCAATATGACATTCAGGAGTAAGATAGAATGCTTTGTGATTGAATATTTGAAGTGGATTTAAATTGTTTTGTGCACTGATGAAAAAAACGTGCATGGTAGCACAGTGGTTAAGTATTACGTCAAAGAAAAAAATATACATACACTGTATATACGAAAACAATTAATTCAAGTGATATGATATCAGTGATTTCAAGGTAATTGGCACTGACAAAATGAACTTACAGAAGCAAACAATTTGGTTGTAATATACAATGTATATCCAGAACAATTTCAAGTGCTAAAACACAGGAAATTTAAATTGAATACAAAAAGGGTTCTAAAATCCAATTTGTCAACAATCCAAATATCTTTAAAAATTATGTTAAGAGGTTTCATAAGATGGAAATCCCTTAGAGTAAATATATATATATATTGAATAAAATCCATTGTGTATGTAAACACAATGGAGGTAAATCTCAATGATATCAAACTCATTTTCTCATCATATTTGGTCTTCTTTTGCCAGCTGTTGTCTTTTGTGTCAAAATAGCTTTCATGTCATGCTGATGGTAAAAAAAATTATGACTTTATTTCCATAAGCTCATTAGAGTTATCTTCTTCCATCTCATCCACATTTTGAGTTTTTTTTCTGGCTCTTTCCCACACATCTGTTGGCTTCTTTAGATGTGCAATTCTCTGGAAAATGAGTCCATTAAACATGTAGTCAAAGGCCAGGCAAAAATGTACACTAAATTTGAGGTTTTAGTAAGAAATAGCCATGTTACTGTGAATTCATACAAAATAGCCATATCTTAAGGAAATGTATACTGCTTCTCTGCATCAATCCTCTTTTTCTCTTACAATTTCTCTTACATTTTTTCAGTACTTACCTCACGGAGGGTTCCTTTGGTTGTGAGAATACCATAAATCATCACCACTGGTAATGGGATCAGTGGGAGGGCAGCCAAACACCAGCCCATGTTAGTGGCCCACAGGGGGTACTCATAGTCACCATATTTTGGTGGCTTATATAGGACCAGGCTTGTGATCAGGCAAATCTAAAATAAAAAAATAAAAGTTCTTGCTGAGGTCCTGTTCAGTGTGAAAATTATGTAAAGTTGATTCTGCAATTTAAAAAAAAATTTTTTCAGAATGAATTACTTTAGTTTTATTTTCAGATTACTAACTTGTTCAATTGGAAAGAGTGTTTCAGTTTTCCTTTCCCCTTGTCTTTTTGAAGAAGATTTTGAGGAGATTGTTGTTTGAAAGGCAAATGATTTTTATTTTCGGTTTTTGGAATACAGAATCAACTTTACCCGTAAAACATGCCTGATCAATAACATCCCCAGTGCAAACTCAAAAGCAGAGATAAAAAACAAGGCTTTGCAAATGCATATATTGCATTGTTACTGTTTTGTCTCTTAAATAAAATCTTAAAAACTTCAGAAAAAAAAGAAAACACCAACACCCACATTTCTTTTTCACAAACAAAATTTTGAGTGGAGAGAATTTTAACAAATGGTTAATTTCATGCCATACGGGGACACCATGAATCAGTAGATATTCCAGGTTATAAAAATGTTGAATCAGCTTATTTAAAAAAAGAAAGAAAAAATTAGGAATTAAAAAGGATTAGAAAAACTTCATGTTTCAAGATGTACATGTGGGGTACCAACAACATAGCTGTGCCTCCACCAAGCTGGCGCCAGGCTCGACACATCCTGATATGGTATATGTGGCCCCAACATCTAAAGTTTTCTGCTGCTTATCAAACAATAGATGTTGGGGAATTGTTGAGGTATGTTAGCATGAGGTGTAGGACAACTATGGTTATATTTGCAATCTTGTTCCTGTTTGCAACAGGCTATTAACTGTAAGGAAAGAAAAAAAAAACTGCAGGGATCAACTTGCGACTTCTGCACACAGCTTTACCAGAGTGGTTTATCTTTTAAGCATTTATCATAGTTATTACACACTACTTCAGCGCATATGTTACCACACCCTGCATTCTCTTACCACCAGCAAAAGGGGCGTAACTGTGTACCAACAGTATTTCCACAACGACGTGGGTCTGTATCCAATCATCATTTCTATGTCTCCGTAAAGTCTCTCCGCACCTGCGGCAGAGAGTCATTTATATCCAGCACAAAAACAAAGCAATCAGAAAAAATAACCCACAAGGAAAGACTTGGATTGAAATTTTGCTGCTCTGGCGTGCCACTGCCTAGGATCTGAAACTACTTTTACAAGTTTTTTTTTTTTTTAAGTGCCGCAGGTGTCTCAAGCAATATTTTGTGATAGGGTGTTTGTTTTAACTGCATAAGAGAAAGATACTTTTCTTTTTGTATATAAAACAAGAAGAGTTGGAATATTAAAAGCGAAATAAGTCTTGAAAGTTGAAAGAATTTTAGAGAGAATATCCAAAAAGTTGACAAATCTTGCCTTTGTTGAACACCTGCTATGCACTAAAAGAGTTGCTGTTTTATTTCTGGCTGAACATGAAGTTAAGTTAATATACGTACTCACTGATACCAAAATTAATTGGTGCACCCAAATGATACCAGATGAAACTTCAAAAGGAGAATATATATCCAATTAAACACTGAAACAATGGGATATAAACATACTCTTCCACATGATATTAAAGGCAACTTGTTGGTTAGAATGCAAAGTACTGATATTTTCTATGGATCAAACATAATAATTGTTACAGGTTGTATGGGAAAACTGCATTTTTTCAACAAAAAAGTGAAGCCAATTAATATGTCTTTATTTGTACATTCAACCATCAAAATATATGCATAGTTTTGATATTAAAATATCCACATTTATTGATTTTTTTCATCTGCCAAGTTTACAAGTGCATTTCAGATAAAAACCCAATGATTGATCATGTCAATCCCCTGGTAAGCACCAAAGTGATACATGGTGAAGATAACAGTACTTGCATTATTTTTCATTTATAAAACCATACAATATATACATTTGGAAGTTTCCTTTATACCGCATTGGAAGAGCATTGTATTTAGGACTTTGGGACAGGGGGAAGTGTGGTATTGTTTATTTTCTTTCGACAAATAATTTCAACATACCAGTTTTTGTACAATTGCTATGCAATTTTTCTAATTTTATGGCCAAATGAAAAAAAATCATAAAGGAATAAATATAAAGATTAAATAAAGCATGATGAAAATATAGCACATATTGGATATAATCTCCCTTTATATGTAAATATGTGAAAAAAGACCACATTTAATGCCCTTCTTTTCTTCACACTTTCATATTTCTTTCTGGTGACAACTTTTTTGCAATGTTTTGGCACAACATGTAAAAATAAGTATCCAGTTCCTAGTAGTGAAAAACTTAGAACTGGGACGGACCTTGGCTAGTCTTTGTGGCTGATTTCAACTTTGTTATATGCTTATGACTTCTGATGTGAGATTTTATGAAAAAAAGTATAATTTATAAAAAAAGGTTTATTTTATTTAAATTTTTTTTTGGTTACACAACAAATGGGAGAATAAAACACAGTTCCAAATTTGGTGTTCAGAAAAAAATGTTGTTTGTATTGAACAGGTTTTGTAAAAAAAAAAAAAAATACAACCTATGACTATAACCCAGAGTTTCTCTCTGCATTTTTTTAAACATAGCTGTATCTAAAGAATTATCATTAATAAAAAAAATAGAATTTTTAGCATTTTATGAATGGCGTAACCACATAGGATAGAACTGTTACAAACAAACTGGAAAATTTCACTCTTTATTATGTGTTGATAGTCAAAAAAGAAACTTTTATTTTATGTATTGGGCAGTCGTAGCTGTTAGGAGAGTGATGCTTAAAAAGGGGTTTTAAAATTTTCAGAATTATATTTTCATATAGAATATATGTTTGTCTTTTTGTTTTGAAATTATTAACCTTATTAAAATTGCAGAACAAAGAATAGAGTCTGTACATTGAAGTAACTCATAATTGTTAAGGGTAAGGAGAGCACATTTGCTAACTTTCATGTTAAAACTTTGAAGCTTGCTAGTTTAAGCTCATAATTGAGCCCTTACTACTGCACTATTAGAGACCATTCCCAGAGACTGTCGTACTAACTTTGGATCGATCTATCTCCGAGGGGGTTCTCACTAAATTGCTATCAACTTAAGCGGCTTAAATGTCTCGCATGCCCACTGAAACTGTTAGAGGGTAATTAACTATCGTTTAGCAGTTACAGTAGGCATGCCAGACATATAAACCGTTTAAGCTTAAAGCAATTTAGTGAGAAACCCCTTGGAGATGGATCGATCCAGTTAGATTGAACTAGGCATGGGAACCCAGTCTTACATATAGTTTACCTGACACTCTAGAAAAGGCTAAAAAGGCATATAAGATGGAAATAAAATGCAAAGAAAGAAACTCAAGAAAAGACACTGATAATGTCAAAATGAAGATTTAATTCTTCCTTAAACTCTGAAATAAAAATGCAATTTTCAAGGATTAGCTCTGATGACCACTGAGTATAAATTCACTGATCCTGAGCCATATAAGCAGGGGCCAATTCAGAGATATTTTATGACAGTCTTCCAAATTATATTTGTTGAAACATCCTTCATTTTTGACTGTCTTCAGACAGCAAAAATTTTATGTCTGTCAATGTAAACTAAAAAAATTCTGACCGTCCCTGAAGACCCAGGAGACTACTCCTGTTTGCCTCTGATATAAGATTAAAAAGTATAAATAATGTGGATAAAAAGGGCTATAAATTTTTTAACTGATATATATATATATATATATATATATATATATATATATATATATATANNNNATATATATATATATATATATATATATATATATATATATATATATATATATATATATATATATATATAGTGTGGGGTTATGTGGCATATGGCATATGGGTTCAGTGAATAACCTCAGAGTCTGCTGTTGTTGCAACTTTTCTGAAAAAGAATGGATCAGCTTAAATGCATATGTAGTGATATTTTTCTTGCTGAAAATGTATCAATTTGCTCATTCATGCCTCTCTTACAATACAGGACATACATTGCATAACTCTATAAAACCTGTGTAATAGACTTCTTAAAATATTTTCAATCATTATTAGTAGATTATCACTGGTCTGGATATATTTTTCAAAATGAAATTGCCACAAATAACCTATTCACATGAATATTTTGAAGAATCAATCAATTTTTTTTAATTGGAGAAACTATTTTTCTGTCCAAGGTCGAAAAATATCACTATATATTCATACAAATAGAAATAACTCTTGATTTTTAATGTAAAATAATCAGAAGCTTGACAATGTTACTTACTCCATCTCAAGCTTGTTATTTTCTGTGACTAAACACTCTGAAGACCCTAAGGGTTCAATTAAATGTAGTAAAATGGAAGTAAGAAGAGAGGAAGCATGTGTCTTACCATAGACATATGATATCACCAAGCATTCACTGAGTGCCAAGACTGCCACAGGAACAGCTGCAGAGTACCAATCAAGAACTTGAAAAACATAGACACCTCCCTATGAATACATATAAAAAACTTCAAAAACCTGAATTTTCCTTTTTTATTTTTTTTTTAGAAATCTCTTTTAATTTGTAAAATTAGACAGTGATACCATGTCTGAATTGGGTCACAAAGCAGGTCATCAAAGTTGAACTACGTAGTGTTTTTAAGGTAACTAACAGCAAATGCACTGTACACCATGGGTCAAGAAGATGCAAGTGCTATTAACAAGTGCAATGCATTATCGGAAGAATCATACATTTGCTGCAGTGGTGTATTGGTATCTTACTTATGCTATGGTGAATGTGAAAAATTAGACCCCATTCCCATAGACACCATCGGTCTACGTGGATCGACCCAACTCTGCGGGGACTCTTGCCAAATGCTAACAGCTTTACTGAATGACATGCCTCCTCTTGTTTCCAACACCAGGAGCTAAAAGGTGTGTCATTTGATCAGTTAAGCTGAATGTTGTCCCCGTAGAGTCCCCGCAGAGTTGGGTCGATCCATGTAGATTGATGGTGTTTATGGGAAAGGGGCCTTACACAGAGATGTGGCATGACATGCATGTATGCAAGATAAACCACATCCGTGCTTTGTTCTTAACATTCCCTGTGGTATAAGAAGCAATTTTAGACTAACAGAATGCTTACATTGGTAATACAGGGAAGTCCAAGCAGCATGAGAACAATACAAATTCCAGCAGTACACAGCATTCTTTTCTTCATCAGGTATTTACCACCAGATTCTATGAGACCTGTGGACAGTGTCTCCATCATACCAAACTATGATGGAAAAGATAATCAATGATAAATCAAATCAAATTAAGTGCATGGAGAAGTAGCTGTAGAATACACACACACATGAAATAAATGACAATAATAACAATTTAAAAAAAAACCAAATAATATCTACATCTATAATAATAAAGATATTTTCTGATACAAATATAGTGAAATAAAAAGACTGTGGCTACCCCTACTAATACTGTAGGACAGCTGGCATTAGAAAGACAATTTGATAAATTCTTGGCTAACAAATTCATAATTGGCCCAGTACCAATTTCTGTTAGAAAAAGATAAGTGCATGAGTGGGTTTTCATATTTTAAGTTGTCATATGTTAGTTTAACCTCACAGTGCACACATACCTGTGTATCCAAGCCAATGGTCAGCAACATCAAAAAGAAGAGAACTGCCCAGATAGGGGACATTGGCAGGCGGGATATGGCCTCAGGGTAGGCTACAAATACTAGGCCAGGACCTAAACATTAATTAACATGGGTTTGTCAATATATGATTTAAATACTGTATTTGTGGTGTTTATATTTTTTAAAAATCTGTTCACCTATTCATTTATTAATTCATTATTTACAAGCACTTATTTATTTATATATCCTTTCATTTTTGTATTCTTTTATGTTCTTAGTTTCTCGTTTATGTCAACAGGAACTCTTTATGTATAGGAAAACAACATGCATTCATTTCTAATTTGACATTTTGAATGCAGTTAATGTTAATCTGTTAAACTGATTGCATTATGTGAGGGACCCCATAGTGAGGCCCTACGTAGACTGATAGTTTCAATGGGAACAAGCCTTAAACGTTTGCTTACCTGAGGTGATAACTTTGTCCACTGGCAGATTGGCTTCCTTTGCCATAAAACCAATGATAGAGAACACCACAAACCCTGCGTAGAAACTTGTTCCACAGTTTATAAGTGGAATCATCAGAGCATCCCTACAATGATATCAACTACATGTATTAAATATCAGAAACAAGGGAAAAGAGTACATATCACAGGCCGTATATGGGGTTGCTAATGCATGAGTTTGTGTGATAAAATTTAACATGTTTAAGAAATGATCAGTACAGTGTGCTGGCCAATTCAAAATAAAACTTGGTTTGAAAACAAATGGAGTTTGTTTTTGTTGCCTGAAGACATCACTTGCTTAGTCTAAAAACAGTATCGATGTTTTGGTGTCTTTTGAAGCATCCTTGGGAGACAAATGGACGGTTAATTTTTTAATTTACTTTCTTTCCTCTGGTATGCTTAACAACATTTCGCAAAAGACATTCAATTGAGACAAGGTTCTTATCTTTACAAAATGTACAAGTATGAATTTAAGTTTTCCCTTACCTGTAACAGTTGTGGTGGAATCGGTTGAAACTAGCCATGGTAATAAGACCTCCCCATGCCACCCCCACGGAGTAGAAGATCTGTAGGCATGCTTCAACCCATACCTGAAGAAATACATGTCAAAATAAATACATGCAAAATGCAGGATTCTTGGAAATCCCACACGAAGGCCTTAATTTAATCATCATGCACGCAATCACTACTAGTATGCTGTATCCATAGAAATATGATTCATTAAAACCTTGACAGATTTCCTGCAAAATCCACTCCAGTCACCCTGAGCTTCAGAGCTCACTTGACACTAACCTTTTCACTGTAGCCTATCTCCATCGTGTCAAGTAACCTCTGACGAAAATAGTTTGACCTAGTTTATATAAGCCAATCGAATCTGATCAGAGGTTACTTGACACGATGGAGATAGGCTACAGTGAAAAGGTTAGTGTCAAGTGAGCTCTGAAGCTCAGGGTGACTCCAGTACAACCATTGTTCTGCTTCTGCCGACTCTATATGTGCAAAGAGATGTAGAGAACCTTCTCTTTATACTTCTCTTTGTTACGTGTATCTGTCTGACCACAATGACAGCTAGTAGTCTGTTAGAATTATTGTATCGGCCTACTTTATACTTTATTTTTGTATACAGTTTTAAGAGGCCCCTGAGAGTATACCGGTATGTTAAGCGTGACCTAAAATACAGGGTGCCCCAGTGCGGTTTGTATTGCTCGCACATGTACATGTAGGTAATCGTTTTGTTTATCTCATTTTGTAATGATGTTGAAATCAAAGCATGCTTAAATCAATTATGTGCCTTTGTTTTCAAGCAATTGCATTCGGTTTGTGGTAATTCAGTCTGATCCAACAGCTCAACAGCGCAGTATTAACTCTAAGGGTGTTTTCCCAGAGATTTAGATCGATCCAGGGATTAAGATTTAGATCGACCTAACTCCCTGGGGGTTCACCCAAAATTGCAGTCAGCCGAGCGCGCACCATAGTTAATTACCCCCTTACAGCTTTCAGTAGGCGGGACAGACGCTTAAGCCGGCCAAGCTGACAGTAATCTAGTGAGACTCCCCACAGGGATAGATCGATCTAAAATCTATAGAAATGGGGTCTAAGAGGCCCAAGTTACATATGACGACTTTTTAGGTCTATATCTTGCATTGATCCATATGGTGCTTTTTATTGATGAAAACATACATTTCTTATGCGTCTAATTGCATCTTTCTTACCCTCACGCCTTGGCACCGTAATACATGTATATCTGACATGAAAAGAACTGACTCTGTTTATTTCCATTCTGAATGGCATTTTGTTTCGTTAATCAGGATTGACTACAAAAATCCAGTCACTTTCAGATTCTCTCACACTTATGATAATACTAACAACTCGCTTACAAACGAGATTAAGGTAAATTAGATTTGCCATAATTAAAACGCACCTTAAAGTCGGCGAGTCTGTTGAAGTCCGGTTTGAGGTAGAAGATCACTCCATCGATAGCCCCCGGGAGCAGGGCGCCACGGATCAGAAGTATGGTCAGCATGAGGTAAGGCAGGGTGGCCGTTACGTATACAACCTGCAAGTGAGAGATAATATTATTGATTTTATTCATTTTAAGTCACGAAAAAATGTGTTCAGAAAACTATAGCTATAAAAGGCCCGGGTTAAAAATACTTTGCTCATATCTTGTATTGATCCACTGGCAGCGGGCGAATCGGGAGGAATATATTCAACACTTAATGATGCGTAACATGGCTTTTGCTTTCTGTTCTCTAGCGGATTGGTTATATTTCATGTGTATGGGCATTAACTGCGCTAAGTTTTTCATTATGATGAGCTCAACGACTTTGAAATATTAAAACACTGATAATGATTTTTTTTTTCATTTCAACCAAATTTGACTTCACCGAAACACTACATTCCAATTTATTTATTATTGCATGATAATAGACGTATCCTCTATCTTGCCGACATATCGGAGGCATATATGAATACCCCTGTGCGTCATTATCGCTGTAAAATGACGAAAGCTCCCTATTGCAACGAGTAACAGTATAGTTTTTTTTTAGAATCCCAAATTCCTTGCTTCATTATCCGTAATATGTTAAAATTGGGTAAAATGATGGGGGGATATCACAGTATGTAACACAATTTTTTTTTAGATTTTACATATACAATATTTAATACCGTTTGTTCGTCTTATCTTGTTTTTTATTCTCAACCAGTGCACTGATGCCAAAATTTTTGGTCTTGCAGCAGGTGTAGTGGTGGCAATAACCACCACCATTGGTAGAGCTATTAATCAAATAGTATAGCCCATTTTTCCCTCTGTGTGATATATTTCGTTTTTGTCATATATCTTTGATGAACAATTACAGAAATCGATTTTAGCTTCTGCCAACTTCCCAAAACGCTTGAGTCTATGTCAGCAGTGGTGGCCGAGTTGCCAATTTCTTTTCGCTGAAATGTGTGAATTGTTGACTGCAAGGATATTTTGTTATGGCATTTAGAAATCACGTAACAGGCAACGTACAAAAACATTTGTCAACCGCAGGGTTCCTATTACTGTTAAAATTGAAAATATTTTGCCATATTTAAGACAACCCAGCTGGGGGACACATGAGGCTTATCACCTAAACCCAATAAAGAGGTGCAAATCATGTCTCAGGCACGCTCTTTAAAATATTTAGTGCACGGATTAGAAACTATGTTTGATTATTTTACGGTTCCACATGAAGAAGTGCGTATCACAGTTCAATTCATCTTCTAACACCGAAAAGGAACCTACGTTAGTGTCACAAATGGAAAACTTTCAACTGCGGAAACGTTTTACTCACTATGAAAATTCGATGAGCACATGTATTGTTCTTTAATTTTTAACCTATAAGAATAACGTCGAATAGAACTATTTTTTTTAGTTTGTTTGGATTTAAAATAAGGTATTTGAGATGTTCTGTGCATTTTATTTTTAGAAATTATACAATGCTGCCGAGCATAAAATCATTTCGTATTAAATATGATAAAAATTCGTTTTTACTTGAATTGAAGGGGCTTTTGAACTGGGGTCTTATGTCCTTGGCTATTGCCTCTCATATTGGATGCTATTTTGGATTTCTAAGTTTTTTAAAATACCGACGAAAAATTTAACTACCAGAATCGATCTGCTTAGCATAGTAACTGAAATAAGAAATATGAACCAAGATACGAGCAAAATGGAAGGGGTTTTTGATAAAAATCACTGGTGGCAATATTAGTTTCTTCAAATATAGCGACATTTAAAACACAAAGTAAAATGATATGAACAGTGAGCCAACGGCAGTATACAAATATCGATTCACGTCTAAGTTTTCGAATTTACTGGCTTCAATTTCGAATTGAAAATTGATAACCACAATAACCTTCACAATCTTCACAAGTCCACAATAACCTTACCTTTCCCGATGATTTCACTCCCTTACACAAACACAAGAATGTAATGACCCAGGCGCCCGCGAGACACAGCACCAACTGCCAGCGGACACTTCCTGGGTGTTCAATTCCCTTAGAAATCTCCAAGACATTAAACCTGGAATTCAAATCAATAGTGCTTTAAAACGTTTTTTTTTACCTATAATTCCCTTAGAAATCTCCAAGATATTAAACCTGGAATTTAATTCAATAGTGCTTTAAAAAGTTTTTTTACCTACAGCGCAGCCAAGCAAGTCTAAAGGTAGCAGGTTTCTAACATTTTGCAAGCTTTCCTAATAGGAGCAATAACGGCCTACACGAAAAAAATATATGTACAGAAATAGGAACTCACTCCCAAAACTCCTCAGCCGGAGTCACCAGTTTCTTGGTGACGTTCTCAACAGTTAACTCCGTGATGGATTCGTTGAAGGTGCTGTTCTCACCGCCTCTTTGCACACACCATTCCGTGTTCCAGTCATTGTTGCAAGATTTCCAGGGCACCTCCGACTGGAAGGACATTCCGAAGAAGTAGAGCGTCCAGGCCAAGATGACATTATAATAGATGCAGCATATTCCAGAAACGATCACCATCCCATAGCCAATGCCTAAAATTTAACCGTAAGAAAAAATGATAACAATAACCATTTTAAGTCTAAACCCCATAAAATGCTTAGCAGACTTTCAAGAATGATAAAATATTGATTGCAATAAAAACTAAATTATTGGACTAAAATTGGATTAAAAGAGTTATTCTTATGTTTAAAAATATGATACTTAAAACATAACATTTTAAACTTTTTGAAATTTAATTTTGAAAATGACAAGCGCTCACATCAAAACAAGAGTTTGTTCACTACGCAAATTGTAAAAAACAGCATAATTTTTGGAAAAATGGTCGGATCAAGCTGATATTCGAACTCGACCTGTATTTTACTAATATTTGTCGGTCCTGTAAGTTTGAAGACAAAAGGTCAAACGGTTATCTATTCATTGTGTTATCTCTGAAAGAGCACGTCGACGACACCGACTCCGACGACAGACGGAGGTGATGGCTATATGTACTGACACTGTCTGTACATAAAAACAAATAAATGCATAAACTAATGTTCAAAGTCGATTTCACGAACAATTTTAATGGGCTTGATGGAGAATTGTGAAAATGCATGTTCCCTCGCCTAAAGCCCCCTTTACACTGGGCGGCGTCCTTTTTGCGTCCAGCAGTACGGCCCCATTTGAGAGTTAAAAAATTATAATACTTACCGTGCTGACAACTGGCCGATCATTGAGCATTCATTCTGATACAAAATCAATGCTCGTGTCTCCTTATTAAGACCACAGCGATGCCAAATTTCATGGTTGCAGAAAGGACGCAGAAAGGGCGCCGGCCAGTGTAAAGGGGGTATAAGTAAAGAATTATGTTTGACACGAGATGATGCAGATGTGAGACACCCCAAGTTCTTAACCGCAAACTATCAGTGAATTCTGCACAAGTTATGCCTAGACCGATTCGGCAACAACTGTCCAAAATGTGGCCACTGTGTGGTAGACTAACGTATATTCATGTCATAAGCACCACTTGTCATCGCACACTGAGACAAACATCAACAACTGGCCGTCATCACTTGTCATGAAGATAACTGGCATATAATTACGCCTCTCTTATATCTACAATACATTTTGGCGGCAACGTGCATGGCAAAGCAGGCATGATGATTGATGGTGTTTTCGCATGGCTTAGCTCACAGGGTAAATTTATTCTAACGCTGACTCAAAATTTCACCTCGAGGTGATGGGTATGGTATTTGGATAAATGGTTTTGACAGCCAGAAAGGTTAGGTACACATCTAGTGAAATGTTCTGAAGATTTTATATTTAATCACATTTTTTTTTCGGATTGAATTTTTAGATTTAACCCACCCCCATAGTATAAACCACACAACGTAATCAAATTCACCCGTGTGCTTTTAAGCAAATAGATATTCACCAGAGATACCTTAAATGTGCAGGGATGAACGGAGTGGGACAGTTTTATGCAAATATTTGGTTACTAGAAAGCCTGACTGTTATCTTTTGAGCAGTCGAAAGCTCAAACCTTAGGCAAGTTCAAATATATATTTCAACCATTTTCTGTGGAAACAGATTTTCTAGGATGAATACCTGTCCCTAGCCAGTTCTGAGAACCAGAGCCAACACCAATACAAAAATACAAAACAAAGCATCTACGCACAATTTTAAGTAATCTTGGCAGGGTTCCTGACACAGTTTTCGCTATGGGAGTCCGTTGTATGACTCAAAATATGTTAATCCATACATACTGTTGTTTATGTGGTGTAGATTGCGGACAGCGTTTTTTTTACGAAGGTAATAAGACGACCTGATCGTATTACCTTTAAATAGCGGGCTAGCGCTCCATATGGAAAGGGGGCTACAGCGTGAAAACTGCCCAATGGACAACTCCATGAAGTACAGAGGAATCCCACACAGGAACATAAACATGAAGTATGGGATCAGGAACGCGCCTGAAACGAGAACACAAATTGTTTTTATGTTATGCACTTTTGATCTTCCTTAACGGCTCAGTGCTTCACAAATACATAATGAAGAAAAAAACCTATATGCATGTAGAATTACCGCTTTGTAGATACGTGCTACCTGATCTATGCCGACACTGGTCAGAGCTTCAAAATGCATCCATTTCATTACGCTTCACAAATTCAAGAAAATCTTACTTTTTGAGCACCAAATTCTAAATCTAAAAACGTATCATTAAAAAATTCATGAGTAGATTCTTTTGAGGGCTTTTTTAAAAGGACTAGGTGAACACTTTTAATTCTACATAATTCAAATTAAGTTATCTTAATCATTTTTTTCCTTTGCTTTTCCAGGCCTTTTATATTCTATATTCATGTGTTAGAATTTTTGTAATAATAATAATAATTAATTATTATTATTATTAAGTGCCCCCCTTGACCACTAGTACATGTTACTTGATGAAGTACATAGGGTTTGTGTTGGGAATTCGGTTATAGGTTCCACATTTCAAGCCGTCAGCAATCTCAAGTAAGTGACAGACGTTCCCTGATCAATATGCCTTCCTTTACCCTGTGCTATTGATAGTTCCAAGGTAATATGGTAATAGATTCTTGATGATTCATACTACTCAGAATACGATTAAAGGCATACATTGGGCATTAAATCTTTATAGAGCACAAAAAAGATTTTCCTCTCAACCAAAACCCTTGGGACAATTACGTTTTATAAATTCGTTTTTGTGTTCCAAGTATCTAATTTGTGCGTCAAGAGATGGGGACTGGCGAGTTTAACTCATAAGACCTGGTAAAAACAGAAAATTCAAACTCATAACGGGATCAGAATTTCTGATAATTCTATATAGGATAGTCCTATAGGCCTTTACCTTGGTGTTGAGATTTCCAGGAAAATTATCATTATTATTATTATATAAACGTCAAACGCAAAGTGCATACCTTGAAACGATTTTAATCTAAATAATTAAAATATTGAGTTGCATATGACGAATATCTTTGACTATCATCTCTGTACACTATATCAAATAAATGTTATATAGAGTATATATATATCTTTACCTCCTCCATTTCTGATACAGAGATAGGGAAATCTCCACAGATTCCCCAGTCCTACGGCGTACCCTACACACGAGAGGAAGAAATCCACCTGGAGGCCCCACGTGCCTCGTTCCTCGCTATCGTGGCTCGTCTCGCTGCTAGTGTTCCCGTTCAGTAAGCTGGCGGCGGTGGACGTCTCAGTGCTGATAACACTGAGCTTCTCGGTCTTCTCGGGGTCCGTGCATTCGCCATTGGCGTCCACCACGGCAGGGCCGTCGATCAGGGGTTCCTTGGTCTCTTGTGCACCAGCGTTTTGGTCGGTAGGAATGTGGGTGTTCATTGTTGGAGGACGGCGTGGCGTCTGGAGAGGGGGCGATATGGCAAAAAACAGAAATAATATGAAAATTAATCTATACACCTTAACAACCACTTGTGTTATTTTGACAGGTCGCAACACGATCACCTACATGTATTGCTGCCTTTAACTAGTTTGATCGATGATTATGCTTTTTATGTGCTTGTCCAATAATACGCGCAGATCTGATTTCTGTACACATACATTTTTAAAACAGGTTTTCCGTCCTTTTCATTTCAAATAGGAGTCAAAAGCCTAATGAAATCGATAAATCAGCTGTTTCGTTTCGAATTCAATTAGGAAGAAAAGCGAAAGGGTTAATCTCGAAAATGAACTCGAGATAATTCCATTTCCGCTTGCATAGGATTGTGCAAACCACAGAAACACAGCTACGATATCATTGTTGGGTTCAATTTACGAGCACTATGCCCTACATGTAACAGCAAAATTGTCCCGTCCACAATTTAACATTAACATTAACCGTGAGAAGCGAGCCAAATTTTACAATCTCTTGGCAAAAACTCGAATCCGCCAATCTTTATTGACTGCCCTGTCTGTAATGAGGAAGTAAATGCAGGCAATTCTTTGCGTCTCCTGTGGTGACGCCATCATTAACAGAAAAAAAGGGTGAAGAATCAATATGAATTGAACAAGTGCTGAGTACTAGACCTATATATTTAACCAAATTCATAATGATAGCCGCGTATGAAACCTAAAATGTCAGATAAATCAAGCATACAGTACGAACAAAGGTTCACCCTAAGTGACTGACATTGAATATACTGGATATCGTTTTTGCATAGGAAGCATAGCTATTATTACGTGAATTAATGTGCAACTTTGACATTACCAGGTTACTATAAATATTTATTTAGTGGACAAAATCAAGAATCATGATGACTGCGCTCGTTACACCAAGGAACTCTGTTTTGTGTTACGATCGTAAAAGAGGTATTTATTGAACAAAAACTGCATACATCTTTCAACCATTCATCTGTTTTGAACAGCTGTAAATAACCTCGTAGCCTTATGGAATGTTAGATAAACACTCATGGGTTACAAAAACCGAAGCATAGTTGACAAATACAACGGTGTCTCCTTTGCAAGTAGGGGTTATACTTAGTTCTATCTTGCCTAAGAGGTTCGGGTGGATCAAGGGGGTACTGTAGTTTCCCTTGTTGTGCGATAGTTTTCATCATTGTGTACATTTAATGAAGTACGATATGTACATATAATGAAGTGTGTGTGATAAGACGCTAAATCCATTTTTAGTAACACTTCACCCCCCCCCCCCAAAAAAAAGAATAATAATAAAATCCAGGTGACACACTACAACACTCCATTTGACAACGTGTGCATAATTATCTGTCGACGTCTAATTAAAAATAAACGCAGAAAAAAACCCCGAAAATGTGAACCTGATCTCTACTTTTTCATTTGTATAATTTATTTGCTCTTTCCTATTGATCTTGAATTCTTCAGCATACAGCCACTGACCCCGTGTGGTTCGTTCATGTAGAATTTGTTGAATACTGATGCGTATATGAATACGTTCCCGTAAATATGTTTTCGAGATTATATTTTGAATGCTGGAAGATGCAATATTTTGCTAAAGGAGGGCAAAGGTGATTTTTTTCAATCGGTACGATATGCCAATGCAGAATAGTAGGCTAGGTCAACTACCGGTATACTATACTACATGTATAATGTTTATGGCGCAAATGTTGATATTGCTCAGGTTTGTCGCGTTTCGCTTTCTATACTACTGTAGGAGAGGGAAAAGCGGGTGTATTCCAAGAGGAGAAGAGCGCGTGGCTCACCCACCCTCACCCCAGCCCCGGGATCCGCCATTTTTAATAGTGCCCGGGTATTCAAAATGTCATGACCGACATCAGATGTTGAATGTAGTTTTTATTAACAACATTTTGAATATTGCATGTATCTTTCCCCGGGAAGTTATAACGTCTAAAGCTAGTTTGAATGAAGACCAACAGTACGCCGGTGTAACGAAACTAAGGGCCCGTGTAACAAAAAAGTCCGCCCTCCATATAGTTATAATGGTTAGGGTTAGTCTGACCTATGTGGGTCAAAATCTAGGGCGAGGCTCACCTGTACAAATGAATGGGAAGCGGACCCTCTGTTATGGGGGACTCTGTCACGTTACACCGGGTGTAGCGTGATTCGTTGTAAACCGTAGACGTAGTGGAGTGTGGTACGTATTAAAGACCCAGACTTAACTATTACTGTAGGACCTTGTTGGTGAAGTGAATTATTTAATGTTAAAGATGACGTAATCGACTGTTTATTTTGAAAGATTAAAAAAAAACGAGTAACAGATCTGTGTGCGTTGCTGTCTACTGCATTGTTATTCACTGCATTATTTCTAACGACACCATTTGTCGATCGATCGCTTTTTTACGACCCACGATCTTAATAAATGAACAATCGTTATCTGTCCTCAGTGTTTCCTAGGGTATAGTCACATGCGCTGTGGATTCAATCAATTTAACGCCTTGTGATGTAAACCGACTACTAAGAGCTACATGTAATATGACTCAATTGAAAGGTGGGCGTCGTTTTCTCGGAAGATGGATGTTAAAAGGATCTTTTAAGATCTTTTGTATTTAAAAATACAGTGAATGTATTCAAATGACTCTAGTTTGTTGCCTCTAACCATGTCTAGCCCAGCTCCTCGCTCATATCAAGCTATCTATTCAGCTTTTGTCAATATAAAACTGATTGAATCGAATGTATTTAAGAGTTTCTTTGTGTGATGTGCCTACAAACAATTGTTTACACATAAATTAACAACCAATTCCTCTTGAAGTCCAGAGCTTCCAGCCCCCACGAGCATTCTTCCAGGTCAAGCAAGTTCAATAAAAATGTATACCGCGGCGTGTGTGAGAGTGAGAGAGAGAGAGAGAGAGAGGTGAGTTGTGTGATTGCTTTGCGTCTACGTGCGCTGTGTGTGCTTGTGTGTGATTATGTGCCTGCGTGTGTACGTGTTAATGCATTTGTGAACTTTACTTACAATGCCATTAAGCGGTGATTAAGGGCTAAGACTTCCTAGACGTCTAAGGCATGTTTGTATTTATAAACAATTTTTCTCTGACTATATACGATTAAAGTCGATATACCTGGCAGCCGTGAGCTGTATGCTTGGGATATTAGGTAGGTTGCCAGACTGAGAATAAATATATTACCACTACAAACGGGGGCTTGTGATCGTGACATGGGTAAGAACTGTCATTATGTTTACCTGCTCGTTATGTACGCATGTTCAATACCTTGAAAAGAAGAAAATGATGTTCTTAACGTGTGTCTGTCTCAACCAAACCTCAATTTACCCTGCATCGATTGTGAGTATGAAAGTATGATTGGAAACGTGTATTAACCGAAAAAATCCCCTCGAAGATACCATAATGATGTCATTTGCCTCTATATTTTCACTTTTGCTTTTGCACTTCGCTGTATGGATGTCACCTGCATACATACATACATGTACATGTATGTCTGATATGTAGCAGCGCAAATCAGAGCGAATGTATTAGAAATTTCTTGACTAAATATTAAAAGACACTGGTTATATAAATCAACGGATCGGCAAATTTTCTATCTCACAGGTGTATGTGAGTTTTTCGGAGCTCCGTGTAGCTTATCGGCTGTGGTGCCTTTATGTAGGATTATATGCCATCGGCTTCGCAAATTCAGATATAATATCACTGATACCGTTACATATTATGCAATTTAGTACTCATCAGGCCTACCAATAATAAACACCCACCTAGACTAAGAGCAAAGACAAACAGTGCTAAAACATTTTAATCAGATGCAGTTCACTTCATATTGCCTCACTCTTAAAAAGATACTTAAGAATTTGTCAGCGGGTAAAGCATTAACAAAGAATTCTTACCGCCATCATTTCTGTGCAAATATTCAAGAGCCTGGCAACTGAGTTATTTCAATGCTGTAAAATTCTCTCTAAGAACCTGGAATACATGTACTCACCAAAATCCTTTTATTTGATGAATGACTGCTATAATTCTTGAAAAAAATATACCTGAATGTGAATGGCTTATAATAAAACACGTGTTCGACGTTCTACGGCTCTCAATGCATCTGATCAATGAGGTTGCTTGATGCAGCTTTCTTTTATATTCCCACGTGATATGCTGTATGACGTAGTACGAGCAAGACCATCTGGCTGATTCACGTTATACACAGAAACAACATTAAGAAGCAAAAGGTTTACTTGATTGCGTACTATTTCGGTGGTGTTTATGCGGCGGATTGCACATTAACAAAAGGATATCAAGATCAATCGTTGTTTCACATTAAAAAAAAATTCAAAAATAGCTAATATCTCTGTTTCGTTATTCTCTTTTTACTGATCATTGTAAATGCATTTTCTAGACCAGGGTTTAAGTATTCGATGTGGCCCTTAATGAGGTTGAGGTGAGCTGATTACGTATTGATCTCAGTAATAAGCATTGATTATATGCGGCAAACAGAGAGACTTTTCCTCTTCACACGTACGTCACGTACGTAGCGATGTGTTAGACTTCATATTAAAATGTATGTGAATTCATATTGGAAAGCTTATTGCAAACCAGGAAGTGAATAGCAATTTAAACGCCGTGCAAAATTTTAACATTTGTATTCTTTGTTTAAACATTTTATGACTATAAGACCAGGATTAAGCGATAAGGTACTTTGTATTTCACAAGATTTCATGTAAACAGTGCTTGGAATTGACGTCCATTTTATCAATGGCCGCATTAGCAACTAAAGTTGATCCGCGGACTAACATATCCATGGACCCATTTGAAAGCTTACCGCTTAATCCCCGCGGGGAATCTTTTCAGGTCTAGCAGGGATTATGCAGTAAGCATTCAAGTGGGTCGGCCATATTTGATCCACGGATCTGCTAGTTCGTAGATCAAGTTGTTCAGAATGCGCCTAATGTTTTTATTTCAAAGCACCGCGCACACCATCGATTTTAAGGAATTTATGTGAATCATTTCAGGAAGCTCTAAATGGCAGCTCCGTCTGGATTTAAGACTCTGGAGAACTGGCAAAAAACATAAGAGCAATATCACAATTTGGGACTTTTTGTCTGTATTAAGCATATTAAATATAATATAGACATGATTTTAGCTCTGTAAAAGGGCCTCTATACGATAAGAATGCGGATAGTATAAACACACACACACACACACACACACACACACACACACACACACACACACACGTATTAGACCTAATTTCATGATTCATATATTCTAAGCTTTTGAGACGAGGCCTGAAAACGTCATATAAAAACGCCATATAACCTCAAACACTGGCTTATGAAGGTTTCAGCGCACGTTTCTAGATAACAAGATGTATCAATAATGGATATGTAACGGTGGCTATATCTGCACCCCGAGTTTCCACAGTCACTTCTTTACGTTCTAATAGTAGATAAGTAGAAATTTCGATTAATTCTGAAACACAGGGTGTCTATCTGTGATCTCGTTGCAGATTAAAGCACAGTAGCACTGAAATGGTGGATTTTCCTGCATAAACAGAGAGCTGAGTGATAGCCGCTGCTGCTCTCATTGCGTCTGCAGGTTTATAAATAGCTATGTCGCAGTTATATAAGAATAAAGAGGCATATCATTTTTTAGATTGACTAGTATTATTAATAATCATAGCATAATTGAACTTTTTTAATTTATAATTAATTTACTTATTCGTGTATTTATTGTTGCCGTTGTTTGAACTGTATGTCTCCTCGATAGAACAAAGACTTTCCATCCACGCTGCGAATTAAATATCACATTCAGGCAGAAACTCTACTTTTGCTTCTGTGAATATCGTATCAGCAACATTCCGGTAAATGCTTCTCAAGAATTTAGTCCAATGGTCAAACAGAAGGCACAGAGAGGCCTTAAAAAATTAAGATAGTGCGTCGTCGAGAAGAGCCATGAAACATCATACTGTACTCCAGTTATTGGTGAATCTATATGTGGTCTCTTTTATTTCTTACAAAAAAGGGGGTGCCCTTCAGGTGCCCTTTAGAACGTATTCATTATGAATCTATTAGAGAGTCACATAATGCTGTTTTTTCACCTATTACGTTTGTAGAGACTTTGAACGATCTTAGATGTAGACCTGCTGCGTTTAACTCCTCTGCGGATAAAATTCTTAGAAAATGTGGTTTTGAGTTTAATCAAAGGGAATAGTGCCTAAGTCTGTGGATCATATTAAATTTGCTTATCGTTCAAACAGGAATGTCGAGGACAAATCAACTGATTAACTGATATTTGCACACTGCGCTGCTGGGCCTATACAATAAAACTCGTATGCTAGGGTTTGTGACAACCCGATATGTCCGACAGGCCAGATATGCCCTACGACCAGAGAAGGCCAGATATGTCCGACAAAAAAGAGCCAGATGTGTCCGACAGGCCAGACATATCTGGCCTGTCGGACATATCGGGTCGTCACAGGGTTTCATTTTTACATAAGGGTTTAATGAGTTATAGTTCTGTTTTTACACTGTTATGAAAAAAATGACTTTCATGACATAGACAATGAGAGAGTTTTAATAAGCTTTCCCAGCTGTGTAATTCAACCACGATAACCGCAAATTACATTGCGAAAGTTTCCCCCTGTTTGTATCAAAAACNTCTAAGAACGGTCTTGCCTTTGGTATTAGCACCTTGTATGTCAGGGCTACAGTGGAGGGACGGAAAAACTCACAATTGGATTGTATATCATAAAAGACAGAATGGAGAACACAACAAAACAAATTACGAGGGGGGTCTCACCATCCAGGTATATTCTTTTATTGTTGTATTCCTACCAAGAATACAACAAGCAAAAGTAGAGGATACAGTTTTAAAGTACACGTAATTTTAATCCAAGCATAAGTAGAGTAAATAGTTTTTAAGTACACGTAGTTTTTATCCATATGCAGTACCAAATATTTATTCCACCTTTTAGCTTAATTCATTACTACTTTATTATGCTTAGTTGTATATTTGAATTCTTAGCCCACAAAGGAAAACTATTTCTGAAATTTATATTTTTATTGGATGAGTAAATTTTAAGATAAAACTGCATTTGTATGGGAGCATTGGGCAAATAAGAATACACAGCATCTATGCTTTATCTCTATGCACCTCCATTCCCTCCACTTATTTGATTCTCTTAGAGAAGCCCATTTTATACCTCTCAATAGAGAAAGATTTATTCAAATGATAACAGATAAAACACAAAGAGCAGAAATTGTGTCGAATACACGTTAATGCGTAGAGTTTTCAACTCTGCGCTGTTAACGTTTTCTCCAATTTTATTTCTGAATATAGATTTTTATCAGACATGTGGCATAACAAAGATTAAACATGGGTGCAAATCTGTTAACGTATTAAGTCTCCTAATAAGATGAACGTCCCTTGAAGCGCATTCAGAACAGCGGACTAACAGGACAGCGGATCAAATATGGCGACCCATTAAAAAGACACTGAATAGTTTCCCCGCGGGGATTACGCAACAAGCATTCAAGCAGGTCGGCTATATTTGATCCGCGGATCTGTTAGTCCTCTATTCTGAATGCGATCTTGGTCCTGTTCGCAAGAGGAATATTGCGTTAGTTGTCCATCGCATCTCTCTCATCAACACATTCACTGACTATGAGGCGAAAGTGTGGTGAGATGGCAGATCAATGGTTATACATCAACGACTTCATAAAAGTGCACTGAGTTTGGAATGCCGTCTTTTCTTACTGTTTTCTTTTCTTTTTCTTCTATTTTATTATTATTATAATTTTTTTTTTTTTTTGAGAATAACGTCTCCAAAACTTTTTCAACATTAAAACTTTTTACTGTAGATTTTTGACGATTTTTAAAATAAGAATAGCAATATGCAATTTAGATTTTTTTTTTGCTAAAATCTATCTCAGAACAAATTATTTTTGTTTTCATTTAGATGGAAACAGATATTCACTTATGCTAATTTGAAAATATGAACACCGTTTACTTTACAATAAGTGATGAATATGAAGAATATAAGGGTCGATTTATGCGGTATGACGATTTATAAAGATCGAATCATTGGGGATGCATTCCGTATTAAGGAGGCTCTCTCATATTTCAGAATTACCATTTCTGCCTAGCGATTTCGATAAAAATCTTGAGTTGCACACTATATTGCTCTATTAGGTTTAATGCCTTGTTGTAATCGTATACTAAAAGCGAAATCTGTGCAGATAGCAAAAAAAAAGTAAATATGAGAGAGCCTCCACAAATGGAAGCACAGTAATGAGTTAGCTCGCGTTATGTATTACAAATGGCTTAAATGATATGTCAAATGAACGTGATGAACGGCCATACCAGCAGAAAACCCCACTCCGAACCGCAAAGCGTTCCGGTTATCAATCCTTATTTTGGCTCACTCATTCTCACTCTGCAGTCCGTGTAACTGAAATAAGGAATGAGCTGCACGGATTTCAACCATACTGTAACGTTAAGGAGAGATGTCCCCGCAAACATATATCCGTCATTCTCAGACAACACCGTTAATTTCTTTTTTCTCGTCTGGTAAGCGTATGCTGTCTTCTGGCGCCGTGTACGTGACACAGTTTCCGTTGACCTGAACTCGTCTGTGCTCACGCTCCTGTGGATGCCAGTCCAAACTCGGTTGAAGTAACCTCATGAAACGCTGAAAAAGCCGTCATTGTTTTAAGGTTGAATTATTCGTTGCTTTATCTATACAAGACCCATTCGTCAAAAGTTGCAAAAATAAATTACTTCAGATATATAATGCATTCTTTCCTACACCATCAGCTTTAATTGTTCCTTTGTTTAAGAACAGTTTTATTAGTGATTTAAAGTTGTGTGCAATTTATTTTCTGGAAGTCAGAAGGGTAATAAAGTTGAACAGGTTAATGTACTTTTTTTTCCTGAACTTGACATAGGCACTACTAAATTCGATTTGCATTTTTCGCAATGGAAGTCAGAACGCGACCCTATGTATGAACTGACACAAATCATGTCAATCTAATGATTCTCTGCACGCTTCACATAACTAAAACTAGAAACCAACTGCGTGAGAAATTTTTCCATTCTCAAAAATCCACTGCAGAACGCAACGCAATCGATATCTCGCCTACCATTTTCAAGTTTTCCTCCTTGCTCTGGTAAAGTCTCCAGGCGGCAATTGCTGGAATCGGGATGAGAGGGATGACTGCAACCGTCCACCCAAGGGGCTCTGCCCAATCTGGATACTGGTAGCTACCGTAGGTGGGAGCTTTATAGTTGAACAATGTGAACACCAGCAGGAGCTAAAATGATGCAGACTTATTATTAAAATTAAAATAAAATCTTCTTATTGTATATATGGGTAATTGATTAATAAAGTCATATAGTCTGGGTATTTAAATTTGTTTTGGCATTAACTGTATCAATAAAAGTTATCATTTATTAATGGTTTGAAAGTGTTATGTGAAGGAAAAAGCAGCCTGGAAAATAAATACCTGTTCCACAGTAATACGGCCAACATTCAAAACACGTGAATGAAAATCCGCTGTATATAGTGCATGTATGAAGAACTGTGAACATATTAAGTTATATGTACGTTTTTTAAAAGTCTAAAAAATCAAACGTACTATGGTATTTACTTAAAATGGCACTAATATTGTTTGATATTTACAAATTGATAAATGAATATAGATAAAAATAGAAATTAAAAATCAACTAACCATCAACAAACCGGGGGTGACAGCCCACCAACAGATTTTCCAGAGAATAAACGTGGGTTGTCCCACCATCTGTTCAATATCCTCACAGATCCTTCTAACACCTAAAATAGAAATTTTTACAATTGTATCGGGCTTTTGAAGACAAGAATCAGCTAAGTCAAATCATTTATAAAGATGAACATTTGCAAATATTTTACCTGTCTATGCCAACAAGTATGTAATATGATTCGATTTCACGAAGAAAACTACTTTGTCGAAAGAGACATCTACAATCAGTGCTGGGATGTGTATCGTGTTTATATCATTGGGTTATACTGAAGATAAGCTTACCGTAGACATAGGCCAGAACCACTGACTCAAAGATGGCTATGATGACGATAGCAATGGCCGCACAATACCAGTCCATGAACTGAAACACGTATATTCCTCCCTAGAAGAAGACACATATTGGTATTTATCTGAGTGTCCTGAGAGAGAGAGAGAGAGAGAGAGAGAGAGAGAGTTCTAGATTGTGGAGAAAGACAGACATGATATTTGAATAACAGTGAGCTTTGCTTAATTAGTTTTAAGGCAATGATGAAAGAACTCGAAGCATCACTCAAAAACAAACAAAAAAATGTATATATGAGATACCCAGTCGATTTGAAAATAACTTTCTCATTTCCCGAAAGACTGCTACAGTAAGCTTAAGGTGGTAAAAGTTCGAATAAAGGTATTTATTAATTAATATTGAAAATGACGATATCCAAACACTTACATTGGTTACCAATGGGAATCCGATAAAATACATGAGGGCACAGACCACGAATGTAAAAAGAGTTCTTCGTTTCCTTAAAAGTTCTGGAAATTCGTCAATAACGCTCCCAGTCAGGGTTTCTAGAGTTACAAACTGTAATAAAAAGCTGATACTTCTAGTACATATGCATATACATATACATATACATAAAACAGTTACATAAACTGGCACATAGACGCCAAACAACGCTACAGCATCAACACTTTGTACTTTGTTCAGCAGGAATTCTGAAAAACGGGGGGAAAACCTTCCTATCTCTTAAACCGTCTGTAGGCCAATGCATACTGCATTTCTAGAAATTTCTAACCCAAACCACGATCAAATAGCACATTCTTTTTTCCAATCATTTTTATATTAGATTCTACTGAAAGTATGGCAAATAAATGTCGTAATACTTGCCTGTGAATCAAGTCCCAGTGTCAGTAGCATCATGAAGAACAGAATTGCCCACAGTGGCGACAATGGCATCAGAGCTATAGCCTCTGGGTAGGCTATAAAAGCAAGACCGGGTCCTACAACCAGATGGAACAGATTATGTCTGTACAATAACATGGATTGATTCCTAAACACAATTGCATTTGCTTGCAGATAGTGTTCTTAGTTAAGTTTCGCTAGTTTTATGCCTATAACCGAAACACCGTTATGTTATTTAAGGTATTCTAGAAAAAAAATTCAGTTTATAACTGAAAAAACTTTTGAATGGCAGTTTTGTATAAAGATTAGACATTATTAGCGAAATTATTCTCTGTAACTTTTTTTCCCTAAATCCTATAAAGTAATAAGGTAGATATATAACGTAAATATGTGATCACAGTGGAGATCCTCAGCCTACTTTTTTTTGTAAAAATACTGTGGGAATAAGGAACTTAAACTAGCTTTTAGGTTTGACAAATATCACCTAACGCAGTACACTAGACTGTTACACGCACTAACGTGCAACAAGAAAGCAAATGTGTATTTGCGCTAGGGAAACACTTATCAGAGATAATACACATGTGTAGATAAAGCAAAAGCAATAGCAAAACACTCTTTTTACGTTATTAATAAGGTAAACTGACTAAACTACACATTAATTCACACTTAAGATTCAGCGAGGCAGGGGACCGCCTCCCAGGTACGTACCACCAGCCGGATTTGTGCTTGAAAGTGGCACAATATTAACCATTTTCAGCTGTGAACGTAGATGTATGAGAAGATGAAATTGAAGGCAATAAGATATCTAAAATGTAAAACAGTTTTGGTTTAGGCATAAAATAGCTGCAATACCTGTCGATAATGCATGAATTTTCTAAAATCATGACAACTTGGTTAATACCCAAATCAGATACACTAGCGTTCTATAAATGTTCATGTATTTGAAGTATTATTTTGTAGAAAGAGATGTAGAACAAGCCTTTTTGATACTACAAAAATATTCAATTTTGCAAGGCAAAATCATATTTGAATTCTTAACATGTAACCTCAATAGCAAACATACTTCAAAGAGGTTGAAGCCAAATGGGAAGGTAGATAATGCTGATATTTTGCTTCTCTTTAACAAAGTGCACTTAAAACTATATATCTTGGCATTCTTCACAAATGTGGTCATAAAAAATAATAGAGGTGCTGAGATTATGCTCACAAAAAGTCACTTAAATCGGGGCAAAACTAAGCTCAACATCTCTACTATATTTTATTAATAACAGAGACATCCAATCCTTATAAATGCAAGCATACTACATATGTCAAGGCATACAACTACTTGCACATTGAATGGCAAATTAAGGCTTTTTACAGGATTTCAAAGAGGTTCATAAGCTTTATATGTGTATCATGCGATGAAAGATGATCTCAACAAACGTAGAGACGAAAGTTAAGCAAATCGACATTTTGTGCTCATATTTGTGTTTCACAATTACAAGATATAATCTCATTGTTTGTAAGCGTCGTCGCACTGATTTTATATATATATATATATATATATATATATATATATATATATATATATATATATATATATATATATATATATATTATCGACTTCACGTAAGTTAGGTCAAAACATAGTGCCTCAATTGTTAAAAGAAAATTATGGCATCGTTGTTAAAAACACAATTTACGCATATTTTTGATGTTGGAAAATTTGAATGCCAATGCGAAATTACTGGTGTTTATCTGTTTAGATCCATTAAGGAATATTTCCTCCTTGGTTTGTCACCGCAAAGCGACAACACCTCAAAAATTAACTAGTGTTCTGACATTCTTGTTCATGACCGTGACATGTTACTGCACTCCAGCACTAGACGCATAAATGTACCAAAAATATTGAGCGCTCAAGTTGTTTATTCTACTTTCAAAACTAATAATAAACTAATAATAAAAAAATTATGCTCAACTTTTGTCTCTATGTTTACAAAGAACGTTACTTTGCCGCCATCATGGTTGACGTATCCCTCATTTTCGCAGGAAAATGCACATTTACATAGTTGAGCTGAAAGGTGGTTCTGATTTTAAGACTAGAATTGAGGTTTAATTTAATTCAAGGATCTTTCTTTAGTTTTAGTTCTCAAATATTAAATGACTTAAGAAATAAAACATACATTTTCTCCTTTTTTTTGTAACACAAACATAATACGCCAATTTTGAGGACCTTCAAATATTAATCAAAGGTAAAAGCAGAAAGCAAAATATTTTGTCCTTAAAATAAGAAATATGATATTGGCCCCAGATGACCGCCAAGTACTTTTACAGCAAAGAGCCTGTAGCTTGTGTGCTGTAACTTGCCTAGCGGCCAGTAATTTCAATCGCAAGGTACATGTCGGACGTCAACCACGATAACCGCAAATTACATTGCGAAAGTTTCCCCCTGTTTGTATCAAAAACACTTGAAATCGTTTAAATGATTTACGGTCCTCGGGTCTAAGTACCCACATGAAGCTCGGCCTCATCTTATAAAATTCAGAGTACCACCCAGTCACAAACTGGTGGTACAATAAATTACTTAATTAATTAATTGATGAAATAGCATCCTTTGTCGCGTATTGGTGTACCTTGCTCTCACACTGGGGCTGACACAGACGCTTGTCGTATTGTTTTTATTGCCAGTGGCAGCAGTGCAAGCCTTAAGACTGTAGATTCCGCCCACTGGATACAAAAGTATGGCATATAAAAGTGCATTTAATTTAATTTATACCAAGCCTATTCAAGTTCATTACCACAAAACAGTTACGTTTAGCCTCTGGTTGATGATAAATGTGTAAAAACTACTAATATGCAGAAATGTTGGAAGATATAAGACAATTTAATATGGTAATCAATGTTAGATTGTCAATGAAGAGTGACGAGTGCAAGCGTGACTCATCGTGACAGTGCTGATTTATTGTTGAAAACCTTTCTCGATGATGAAATTGAACTCTGCTGAGTAATAGATGTTCACATAGTGGAGGATAAATCGATCATTGGTCATGACGGGGGGAGGTCACAAGTCGTACCAAAACTCTTCTACGCGGTTGATCTAGTACCTTCGTCTTTGGATTCATATTATCACAGGCCTGGGCCTAATAATTTGAATAAAACCATGCGTTTTTTTTTCTTTGAAGTTGATAGCCCGGCGAGGTCTTGTTCCGACGACAAACTTGGTGCGTAACCAGAATAAAAATGATTTTACCGGCAGATACAGTATACAGCATTGTGGAGGGGAGGACGCAGGGCAGGGGTAAATGAAAAATGATTAAAGACAATTGTGCCAATATATGCAAGGCACAGGAATGAATAACTTGTACGATTTTTTTGCTTCGTTTGTTATTTAAAAAATGGGGAGAGAGAAGGGGGACAAGAAGGTACCTCCGAAGCGAAGGGGAGGAAGGCACTGTGTTTCCCTGGATCTGCCATTAAATTTTATTCTCCAATACGAAAGAAATCAATTTCATTTTGTTAACCCTCTCAGAACATTGAAGCGCCGGACTATCAGAAGAAGCCCTTTCAGCAAACTTCGATAACCTGTAGTAATCCATTAATAAGACCCTGGGTAAAAGGGTTGCAGACACTTTGCTGATATCTTAAAGTGTAACAACAAACCTGATTTGACCACCTTATCGACAGGTAGCTGAGCCACGTGCGCCATGTGCCCAATCACGGAGAAGATGACAAAGCCACCATATACACTAGACAAACCGTTCACAATGGGGATGAGCAAAGCATCTCTGAAACACAAGGTATGCACATATGACCTATAACTTGTATGCAGTGAATCTGCAGTAGTATTCATGAACGCGATTTTATTGACTTACTGATATATTGAGAATATTTTTTTGCATGTTGCCAGTACGTTAAGCACTCGTTTGTCTTTTATTTTAAAAAAGGTTAAGCAATCCGTACACAAATCACACTGACCTTTTGATGTTGTTATGGAAATTGTTGTAGCCGGCCATAATGATTGGACCTCCCCAACCGGCTCCGAGAGAGAAGAACACTTGTAGGCCCGCTTCGCACCACACCTGTAATATTCGCTTTTTGTATTTGGTGTAACCGGTCATCTGTTCACACCTCAATTGTTTAAAAGACTTTTTGATTCCCCCCTTTCAATTGAAATTGGTAATGAGAACGCTAATTTACCAGTAAGTGACATTCTGCAACGGTAATGGAGGACAGGGAGTATCTACCATAGCAACCTTTTTGATACCCCCCCTTCCCCCGTCTTCAATCGAAATTGGTAATGAAAACGCTAATTTACCAGTAATTATGCGACATTCTGCAACGCCGATGGAGGAGGGGATATCATAGCAAAAGAACAGATCCAATAAAACAGCGATGATCAACAGAATTTTACCTTAAATTCGGCAATCTTTGTGAAATTAGGAACAAGGTAAAACTTTACACCCTCCAAAGATCCGGGCAGTGTAGCTCCCCGCACCATCAGTATGGTGAGGCAAATATACGGCAGTGTTGCTGTAAAATATACAACCTGTAAGATATTTTAAGTAAAATTAGCATGATTTAACAGATGTGATCAGTACAATCGTAAGCACACAAGACAACAAAGATAATTATCTGCATTTATCTAAAATCTCAGCGTATCAAGATAAACCAATACCGTTTTGCCAATTTTTGGTCCATGATGCCAACTACAGATGTCCACTTTTTATAGACAAGAATATCAAGTGACATTTGCTGCTTCAGTTGACTAAGAAAAAAAAACATTACTTACTACTCCAGTTGACTTGACGCCTTTGCTTAAACACAGGAAAGTTATGAGCCAGGCCACTGTTAGGCATACCAACAGCTGCCAACGAATGGTCCCCAGATCCTCTATACCAGACGACATTCCAAGTACCATAGACCTAGGTAACAAATGACGTATTAACAGTTGGTGGCAATATTGGCTACGTTTCTACAGGGCGACATTATTATTTTATATCGAAGTCACTTTAATTGAAATTGCACTGGAAGTCGTGGATCTAATCCTCACATTTGGCGCCTTGGTTGGATACATTTGACGAATAAGCTTTGTCGTTTCATTGGTTGACGTTACCGTGAGATCTTCACATTGGAATTTTTTTCTATCCACACTACTTCTATATCATCAATCCTTACAATCGTGACAAATAGGACCAGAATTATCATACTAAAACAGTCCTATGTTGTATTGTACTCACTGCCAGAATTCCTCAGCTGGGCTGGTGGTAGTATTACAGCCAGGGATTAGAGAGCCTTGAGTGAAACCAACCAAACCACCACTGCTCTGGTTCGCAGTCCCGAACACTACCTCCGCCAAGGATCTGTTGTCCCCCGACATCGTCCCGAAGTCACTGTAGGTGAAAACGGCACTGCTGTTCAGAGGCATGCTAGAATTGCTGCCGGTGGAATTGCTGCGAATTTGACCGGCGTCAACAGAGGAGAGGCAGCAGTCAGAGTTCCACTCGTTCCCACAGTTTCCCCACGGGACCTCGGCGGCGAACGACATCCCGAGGAAATACAGTACCCACGCCATGATGACGTTGTAGTAGATACAGGTTATACCAGACACGAATATCATACCATAGCCTAGACCTGCAATGGGAGATTTCAAGGAAACTGGTCCATCAATTAATTGTATTTGATTGTTCACTTGGAGTGGCCCTTAAATTTCACAAACGGGCTTGTGAAAATGTATGCTTTTAGGATTTATTTTAACTATTTCTTTAACCTGACTCTTTTTTTTTCAGAAGAGTAGGTTACTCTACAGCCACGCGATGCAGGTAGTCGTATAACTCGGTCGATTTTCTACACCGATAGACCGGAACTGCTTTATCACACTGATGGACGAGTAATAAAAACCCTCCTGTGTTTTAAAGAACGAACCTCTTGTATCAGGTCTGGTATCAGCATGCACCAACCATCAGGCCATTTATGCCCACACATATAGGCTACGCTTCTCTGACAGTTACATGTAGTTCCCGAAACTTGAAAGTAAAATTAGCCTTTGACGTGGCGATTAAGAACGGTTACTAGTACATTTACGTACCTTTGAATAAAGGACTTAGTCTCCAGAATGTGAGTGGACTGCTAGAGGAGTATTGTGCCAGAGCCACTTCCAGGTAATAGAGCGGGATGGCGCAAGTAAACAGGCACACAAAATAAGGGAGCAGGAACGCACCTGAGGAGAAAAGAGTATCATCGCAATGTTTACGTTCATACTGTCATTGTCATTGTGTAAATTTTCATCGTTCATTACATTAAGAATGACGCCTGAATTCTTATTCCCATTGCTTTACCTTACTTCATTCTGATTCATACCTCTTACGGCTGGTAGCTCAGCCCGTAGATATCAATTATGTTAAAGACGAAGGTCATTTATACGAATTAACATTGATATTCACATATTTGTGTATCCCAAATTTGATTTACAAAGCGCAGAATACGACTTAAAATTGACCTATTACGACATTTCTCGTTTTGGCTCTGCGCACGTTAAGAAAATGAGTACTTCTATTAACATTTACGTATTATAACTTTGCTCATGTGTTTTTAAAGCAACGACCTTCTGTAATTATTGTTTATATGTAGTAGTATAACTCAACTGTGAAGTTCAACGTTTTGACACATACGTCGATATGGGGATTGACATGATAAGATGCTAAGTAACTAAGTGCACATCTGGTAAACAACACACCACAAAAAAGTATGTGTGTCAGTGTGTCTTAAGTTCATGCACCGACCTTAGAGATTTCACAAGATGGATGTCTTCAAAACATCGCAAGTGTATTTCAGGTGTGGAAATATGCCTATCAACTTCATACATGTACGTGTAGGACACAATAAATGCTGTTAAAATGAGAGCAATACTGTGCCAAAATGTTCAGGATCCAAATTATAAAAAAGAGAAAAAATGTTCGAATTACAACCATCGAATGTTCAAAACCTAAAGCCTCAATTATTAACGATTTTTATTGGTCAATTTTTTTAAATAGCTCGTACATATAAGGTGTCAACCAGAAAGCCTCTTTGTGGCTTCGGTTGTGAAGCATACTTCTGATTGTTTTGGAAATGCTTCCTGTCTTTCGGCATAAAAATAACATCCTTTGAAAAGGCTATGTTTAAGACTGATAATTATTGTGGGAAAATTGTCGCATTTTAGATTGTGTTAAGCGTACGTGTAGTTTTGATACTGGCAGGAGTTTGGATGAATTTGTGACTGGTTTTGTTACAGGTTTTGCCAAGCTTGTGTTTTAGATAATATATGAAGATGAGATTCACAGATCCATGTCCGAATATTGCTCACGTTGGCCGAAATGTACGGAGCTTTGTTAGTATCATATTAACTTTTTTGTATTTTCATTTAAGTTTTATTTTATGGAATTTTCACCGCGGTGAAAATTATTTCTACCGCGGTGAAAATAATTTTCACCGTAGTGAAAAATAATTTACACCGCGGTGGGAATTAATTTTCACCGCGGTGGAAAATAATTTTCACCGCGGTGGTAATTCCTGGCCATCTCGGCCCGGGTGATGCATACATGTAGGTTATACGAATCCAAAATTTACCAGATGTCAGGGAAGGAAGTTGATAAAGACACTCACATGCACATGCACGGGGTTTAACCGGTCTATGTGCCAATCATCCCAGGAATGTGGAGGAAGCGGACAGTATTCGAATAGCTTAAAACCACCGAAATGTTGTACGTCGCTTTCCCCTTTATAATAACTTGCGTATTATTGGAGATATTGGTAGAAAGGAACCTCTCCGAAGAAACCGAGCTTACATCTATTAAGAAAAGATATATGGACAAACACATCACACAAATATTTAAAAATACATTGTCCAAAAATAACGTTAAGTATTTAGTAATAACAATGGGATTCCCTTTGCATAAAACTGCGAGAGGGACTTTAATTATATAGATGGGAATATATAGATGGGAAACTTAAATAAACGGCAGTGGCCCCACGAACAGATCCACCAAACTTGTATGTATGTATGTAACAATAGCATGCACCGTGACGGCATCTGGCAAATGTAAGGTTCTCATTACCTATTCCTCACCGGGCCCGAGATGGCCAGGAATTACCACCGCGGTGAAAATTATTTTCCACCACGGTGTAAATTATTTTCCACCGCGGTGAAAATTATTTACACCGCGGTGAAAATTCCATAAAATAAAACTTAAATGAAAATAGAAAAAAGTTAATATGATACTAACAAAGCTCCGTAGAAATGGTCCTTTAAGGATAAACCACAAGCAACAAACATATTTTCTTTTTATTTTTTGCAATTGGTCAGTAGTGAAGGTTTCTTCAACTGACTTAAAATCGTCAGAAATCAAATGGCACCAATTAAGAGACTAGTCAGTTAAAAAACCTGGCCAGGATATGTAAGTGCACTTTGTTGAATTGTACTGAAATATCTTCTTCAAAATTTGTTTGGCAAATGAACTGGCGTTGAAAAGAAGCCAGGAAGCATGGGCACGGATTGACAACTACAAGTTTTTCATATCCGATCACTGAACTCCATCAACTGTCACCATGGCATCGACTGACTATAATATTCATACCTTTCCACTCAGAATCATCCAAGCACGGACAGAAACGCAAATAAGCAGCGTGCTACAAGATTTAATAAAGTGTTGTGAAAAATAAAGCTTATGTAAATCACGTGCCGAAACACGCATGTCAACCAACTGCCAGGTACCTCCCTTATTTGTCATAAATATGACAAAATCATATTTGTATGATAGCCTGCTTCATGTATGTACAGGTAGATCATTCATTTTCCGAAGATAAGTGGCAGGAGTTGAAAATCTTGACAGTCGTTGTGCCCACGTACACACGCCATTCTGCTTAATGTGGACTACTGGACTGGGACTCTGAAAAAACCATAGCTAGGAAATTCACTCAAGATCTAGGATCCATCTTGGATTCTAGTTTAGGCGAAGAACTTTTTGTTTAGATCGACCCACACCTGTGTAACAGGATAGAAGTCCTAGGAATGAAAGTCCAGGGCCCCATGTATTTGTATAGGTTAGGGTTAGTTGAAGTATTGGGGTTAGTACTGTAGTATATGGGACAAATGTCACCTGTACAAAGTAATGGGAAGCGAACTTCCATTCCCATAACACCGGTTCACGTCCACAACACATTACCCGGCAACACAATTTAAATGTGTCAGTGATATTGGGCTCTCTGCACAAAACCGCCAAGGTTTCTAAATGATATAGGGAATGGGTCATTCTACGGACTGGTAGCTGCACCTAAGACCACTGAACCACTGAATAATTTATTCACCAAGCGGCTTAATTGAGACTTAAACTAGTGACGACCATGGTTCGTCCATCTTTGCAAAGCATATACTTCATACAGACCCCTATCATATTAGAATCTCTGGGTCAATTATCACGTGTTATGTTATTATGAAACATATCCGCATATCATAATAAACAATAGCTGATTTATGAAAGCAGACATTTTATTTTCAGTACCTAAGTGTAAACAGAAAAGGAAAATGTCACCAGACTCAGTCACACTCCTCTAGGTTAGTCAAAACTGTCAAAACATGAGTGTTTTGTGCCTACTAAGTAGCAAGTGCGCCACAAACTAGGCTTTCCGTTCAGTGGCTTTTGCATGTATATATGCAACCAGCAAATGTCAGCATCAGAAAAACCTGGTGAATTTTCCCACGCAACATGTTAAATGGGACCTTGGTTTCATAAATGACATGCATTTTAGAAAAACCTTAGGGGCCATTCCCAGACCCTGCCGTGATAACTGTGGATCAATTTATCTCCAAGGGGATTCTCGCTAAATTGCAATCAAGTTAAGCGGCTAAGATGTCTGACACGCCTACTGAAGCTTTTTGGGTGTTATTAACTATCGTTTAGCAGCTTCAGTAGGCGTGCCAGACATCTAAGCCGCTTAAGCTGAATGCAATTTAGCAAGAAACCCCTTAGAGATGGATCGATCCTGTTAGATCGATTTAGATATGGGAACCCAGTCTTAGGCATATGTCCTTCCTTTAATTATGTAATCAACTAAAGCAGCCGAATAGTTTACTGGACTTGTAAAGCTCTCTGCGTTTGGCCGACTGCCAGTGACAACAACAATAGTTAGGAAGATGTTTTTTGTGGTATTATATCAATCGAAAATATCCCCGTCTACTGTTTGTCTTAAATACCGTTGATAGCGTGATTTTGTCACTTAACGGTGGGAAGCGGGCATGAAGTAAATAAATAATCTGATAACTTTAATCAAAGAATTCATAAATGATGATCAATCCAAATGAAACATTGTAATTTTACTGATATTGTTGCGTTTTCAATGTTAAATGGTCTGAAGTCAACATTATAGGGCACTGAATATCAGAAAAAAAACATATAACTTCTGACTGTGTTACCACTTAGTAAAATAAGTTGCTGGACCGAATGGGGAGCTAGTCACAAAAGAAACTGGATCGAAGGCCCGACAGGTAGGCGTAGCCCACCCGCTGTCAGCCGAAGGCTGACGTGAATGGGGGTTTGGGGTGATGTCCCTCAAGAAAATTTAGTAAATTTGAAGCAAGATGGTGAACTTTGATAACATTTTAAGCAAGAAAAGTGCAATATTTATCTTGTACAATGTACCTATTTTAATGCCTGGGAATATAATTTTCTTGGAGGGGACTATTAAATATTAAATAATTTTAAACAGTGTGTGTGTGTGTGTTACAGAAACTTATTTGTCCACCTGAAATTTTACATATTAAACAGTGCTTAAGCTTGTATTTACAAGTTTAGACCTCAAGATACTGAACTACATATGTGTGTTTAACTAAGGATTTTCATGTTTCTAATGATGGAAGGTGCTATTAACAAAATTTTGAAATTTTGAAGCTAGAAGGTGAACTTTGGTGGTATCTCCACCAAGAAAATTACAATAATTCTATAGGCCTATGCGTAATAGCCTCCATTTTTGTGGAACCCTCAAGTCTTATAAATGTATAACTTAACGGACTAAAAATTGGACTAAGTAATGCAGGGCATGACAAAAAACTATTTTCAGACTCTAGATACGTCGGCCAAGAAGGTCTGAAAATCTGCTAATCTGAAAATTGCCCCACACCCCACTCTCAAAAATTGCCTTTTCAAACATAGATGATAGAATGTTTGTTCTTATATGTTTAGGTCGACCAAACTGTCTCATTGCCTCGAAAATGTTTTTATACAGTGCAGAGGCAGTACATGTACAATGACGCTATATTTCTCACGCAGAATATCATAAATAATTAGTTGTTATAGAGCTGTTGAATATTAAGTATATGATACCAGTATATATTTGATTGTTTCATATAGAAACAGTGAATTGTAAATAGTGCACCATGCAGTTAAATTGAAAAACAATTCTACATGTAACAACACCAAATTAATGTATTTGCTCAGAACACAAGGGACCTCTGTTAAGCTCTTTGGTTAATTAGAATCACATTGTCCTTGTTAATGACCAAGGATTGGTCTGTGGTACGTTTACGGCCTATTTTACATCACGGGGACTCGTGGGGGGATTTTCCACATAAACCGGTTTTGATCCTGCTACAAATGATTTTAGATTCTTTAAAAGACACAAGCGTTCCAGCACATCATTTAGAGGATGGGGCTGACAGGTACGGCGTGTTTATGCGTTATTTTTAGTCTTACATCCTTTTCTACTACGAACAAAGTATGGCAGTTGGGCCATCCATCATCTTTGAGTTTTAGTGACAGTGCCTTTATTAAAATAATAGCGCATATATCCAATATAGATAGCCATATTGCGTATAGCGTTAATACAAGTATTATAATCGAATACGAAGTAAATAATGGAGATATAAGTAAAGGTAGGATAAGACCCATAAAACAGCACGCTTTCTAACCTCAACATCACGAAATACACGGCAAGGAACAGACGCTGTGAATTAACCTTCAAAACGCCGTAGGCATCCTGATAATATGATGATTAAGTAGCTTATAAATGAATATATATTCGACTGACCAGTACTTTTCCACAGTACCTGTAACTATACAGGTTGACAGCGCTTTTACGGCCCTGTCATTTCAACATAATAGCATGGGGTGATTGCTAGGCCGATGAGTCTTTATCCCACTATACAGAATATCAACTGTCCATCTCCAGTTGACCGCACTCCCGATCAGAAAAAAAATAACGAACTGGTCACTACTAACTGGCCAGGTACTTTTCCACAGTGTCAATATCAGTTCTTCTATAGACGATCCCGACGGTGTTTTCAAAACTCGGTAGATACACCTTTAATAATATAATGCATGGGTTTGTTAGTGTTTGTGCATGGATGCGTGCGAGAAAGTTGATGGTGCGTGCGTGTGTGTGCATGTGACTGCGTGAGCGAGTTTATGCGTAGGTGCGTGCTTTAGTATTTATTTACATTCTTGACGTGTAGTCAGGAGAGTTCATGGGAAAATGGAAGGCCTATTTCATCTTTAACTTATTATTTCCATCATCAGTTGAGAGGTTTTATGACCTCTGAACTCAAATCATTTAACCCTTCTCACCTTTTATTTTAAGAGCACACACAAAAAAACTCAAACAAAATATTCCTTCAAAATGAAATGGAACATTATTACGTATAGGGTTTACCCACGATCATCGCTTCCAAAAAGTAGGATAATTTCACTTGTATTTTGCTTTCACGCTCGCCTGTATTTTTATGTGTATGGGATAAACCGTGGGATAAGTCAGTTTTGCGCCTCGACATAAATTACGCTCTTGATTGTCGCATACATTGCACGACTCGTAAAGTAACATAACATAACCAACTTACATAATGAACAACCCCGTTTTTACGCTCAGATGATCATCTAGTGACTACTCACCTCCCCCATTCCTCATGCACAGATAGGGAAATCTGTATAGATTTCCAAGTCCGACGCAATACCCTATCCCTGACATGATAAAATCGAACTGCCGGGTCCATTTTTCCCTCTTGGGCGTCGAACTGGTGATGGAGCTGTTGTCATCGTCATGGGTTTTCTTTGCTATACCATTTTCTGTTGACTTATGTCGCACGAGCAGCTTTCTGATCTTCTCCGTTAGCGCCATTCGGGTGTCTGACACAGAATGCTGCGATTTACACGTGTTGGGCGCTTTAACCGCAGCGCAAAAGTCAGGCGCACACGATGAATTGTCAGCTGAACTAATTGTCACACGAAGTGTGTACTTCACCATGTGTGCAAAAAATCCCTAGAGTTCTTTGTCTTAGAGGACAGAAGGCGAAACATATTACCGTTTACATTTGAGGTCGACTCTTTACCTACATTTTAGCATACTCTTTGTTATACCAATAGCTCAGCTAAATACTCGCAATATGCGCCGGGCCTCAGTCTGTAGATGACACAAATGTATTGCCTTTGGTTGCTGTAGTAGTTTATAAAGGAGTCATTATATTTTCTTTAATAGTTTTTTCTTATGAACGGGAAAAAGAACAAAATGAATAAGAGTTGATAATAAAAGTAATTAAACAGATGTGTATGTGGGTACAGTATTTCATTTCAGTTTTACTACCATTGTTTGACGGGCAAAAGAGGAAGAGGCGTTCAGCAGATAACCGGGTATCACATATTCAAGCAGCAATTCAATCCTCTTATATTCTTTCCTTCAAACCCGGGTAATAATGCGGCTCACTTATACTGATTGCAGTCTGTAGAAGACAAATCATACCAGATCATTCAGCAGGTACAGTTGATTTTTTTTTACTTTTGTAAGAAGTTCATACATGTACCTCATCTACTGGTATATAGATGGCGATTTCATAAATCGGAACTTTTTTTTTAATTCCCAAAATGTTGAGCTTATTGTATCTTCTTACATTTCAAAATGACAAAAACATCAATTTATCTCTTACAGAGAATAAATTTTAGGTGAAAATATAGATTAAATGTCAGAACGTACAAGTATGAGATTAATTGTCTTATAGGGGATACTTCATTGGCGCGACTTACATGTAGTCCCATCCTTCACCCGTGATGTTTATAATCCATTCACTATTCAATCTTGTAAAACACTGTATCACAAATTATTCTAAGATGACAGTTTTAATTTTTAAACAAGAATATTCAGGTCATATCACTATAAGTATCAATGAGAAAACTAGATTTATTTTGATACACGAAATTCAGGACCCCCCCCCCCCCACACACACACACACAACCCCCCATACACACACACACAAGTGGTATTGAAGTCATAACATTGAGAATAAACAATATACAATATAGTATATGAATCTTGTCTCTCTGTGTAGCTGGACTATTTTTAACTGAAATATGTACAGAATTCCTGTCATCTGACGGGTGACAATAAACAGATACAGGTGACAAAATGAATACAGCGTGACGAATCATACGATCCGGTGATTAACAACAGCTTGGACATATTCGATCAAGTTTCGAAGCCAATGAGAAAAGGATCGGTTTGTTAAATTACCTTGGCTTAGTACATTGTCCGGCGACCAAATCAAAAAGGCCTGCATATCTTTGGTCAATCCAGCTAGGAAAACCTTTATTGTATCGTAGAATACGTGAAGGTTACCGGTTAGAAACCTTAGCTGGCATAAAGACATCAAATGTGAAAGGTGGGCGAAACAAACCTGTGCCCGGTCATCTGACCCTAACGAGGGAATCTGGCAGTAAAGGCGCTCACAAATGCATTATCTCTTGTGTTGTGTTTGAATAGAATAGGGGCCACAGTCGTCATCCCGATGGCCATTCCGATACGTAAGGTTGGCGAGAATCGCCTTTTTTGAAGTCACCGCGCAAACAAGAGAACTTTCTCTGTTGGTATTTCAGGAATGCTTACTCATGGAATATCGTCCTTTTCCTCTCCATTACGTCTCCTGTTTTAAATACCGTGATACATCTTATATCATGGTATGTCTTATGCCTTAGTTTTTCGCTCACAAATATATCATACAAATTAGTAATTAATGACATAGTACCTAGTGTTTTTGTTGTTCTCTTGCCTCCCTACACAAATATTCAGCCCAGTAAGTCAAGATTATCGAAGTTTTAAAGGCGTTAAATTCCCCAAGGTATACCAGTATGATAAAAAAAAACATTGTGTTTTCGTTACCCTCAGGGGAACTGAATGGTGAAATTATATTCTTGTTAGACAGTCGCGGCTAAGAGTCAAATATCATCGGCCAACATTAGCGGCCCCTTCTCATTAGATTCAGTCTGACAAACTGCAGCTTTTGAGAGCTATAAAAGGACAAAAATACAAAAGAGCAAAAATATTATATCAAGTCCGATGGGTTTTTTTCACCTTTGGAGAAATTGAAAAGGTCTGAATTCAACTGAGACTGCAAAAACTTGATGATTACCAAACTGGTGTCAATATTTTTTTTAAAAATATGTAAATACTTGCTGTGTATTAGCAAAGAGAATATGCTGAAAGTGTTCATGAATTTTTTATTTGAAATTATTAAATGCAGATATATATGTATGCATGTGTACGTATAAATACATTTCCGCGCACCTTCTGTTACTTTCCGTATAATATAGCGATCAGATTTCTCTCAGTGGAATTTTCCTTCCTCTCATGGAAAAACACAGAACACGTATGGAAGTTCCGTCAGTTCCGGCGCAAAACAACTGAATAAAATATGTACCTAAATATAGGATGCGACTGGAGCGGGAAAACTTGTTGTGCTGGCGCAGTTGACCACAGTAACAACATGCGGGTCACGTCATAATGACCACTCGAACTAAATGTATTAAGCCTACTGATCCCTGTAGTAGAATCAATTACAGAATAACCATTATAAAGGCCAACATGTCCGTCCAGGTATACAATGCACTCCCACAATACGTTACTGACATTAATGGACAGTGCATTTCTATAATGAAGGGCAGTGCACATTAATACATTTCAAATGAGCCCGCGGCTTTGTATAGTAATAAAAGCTTTGTACAATAATAAAAGCTTCGTCAGAAAGAAAGAGAAAACCCACAATGGCCGGTTGTCTTCAGAATATTAATCGACCAACGGGTCTCATAAAAAAAATAAAGTGACGGAAAATTTTCCTTCATCTTAAACTCATCATTAAGGTCACACACGCACACACACACACACACCTTTTTGGGAGTGCCCCGTTTACAGACAAACAACAAAGAAAGTGAATTCTGAATTGCGGCAGCTATATTTTATTAACTGGGACAGCATGACAATAAGATATGTTGCCGAAGTGACAAACCTCTTCAATGCAGGACACGCATACTTAATAAATAGACCATGTTATGTAGTATTACATTTCTTACCTCTTAACCTCCAGATAATACAGCAAGCTAAGACATAACCAATTCAACTTCAATATTTCAAAACTTTAGACTGAACGTTTCCGAAACACTTTATACCATTTTCTCTAACAAAAACTTTAGGGCTTTGTTTTTTATTTTGAAATTAATTTGATCTTAAATGTAAACCCTTCACTGCATGTAAATATTTTACTTTATAATTTCAATCGAATTCATTTACCTGTACAACATCAAACTTTTGGCTAATATGTTAAAAAAAATCATTATTGCTATTATAACCAGACAAGAAGGTCAGTTCTTGTACAGCATTTCCTGCCACAAGGTATAGCTACGGTTACACGCAGGTGGATTCTTGCCCCGATACAAGACCCGCAAAGAGAGAACTCAGTGCCGATAGGTCACTACCTTTTAAACGCTTAAAAGAATCCAAATGACGGAATAACACGCTTCATCAGTTGACGACACGACGCCAAATAAAATATAATTCACCTTATTCAATAACGACAAAATCATTTTATATGATCTCTTTAAAACAACGTAGCATTCGGTCAAGAATCCGTCGGGGTGGGTATTTCCCCATGACGTGATTTGCGGTATAGAAATCTATCGGTACGGGGGGTTTGCCGGCAGGACCTTATGGCTTTAGGATGCCAATGTAGATCAATCGTTTCGAAGCGCATTCACACAACATCAACTTCACCGATACATTTTTCACAGGTACAGGCAAAGCACAGGCGAGTTTACATAAGTAGGCCAAGCTTCAATCTGAATTTGTTGAATGGTCAAATTTTTCTCAACATGGAAGCAGCTGTTCGTAAAAGCTAACTAAATTCGTCGTGCCCGATAAGCAAAAGTCTTCATTATCTTATGTCTCAACTTCTATATAGTTTATATATTTTACCCGTGTATCAACTCCGATTGACGCCATAAGATGTTTGTGTTAATGAGTTCTTTAAAAACCATACAGAATATCGCAATATCACTGAATATCTCTCTTCTTGGTAACATAATAACCAACAGTGTATATGGTACGGTATACCAGATATTTTATCATCCTCGCATATCAACAACACAAGCATATGTTTAATTTTTCCCTGAAAAGGAATGATAACAAGACATGTCATTCTTAACATTTTGGTGACAATGTGAACGGTTTTAACAGGTAACACCAATGAGTTAAAATAAGTTGAGATTTGCACCCTGTATGTGGAGGCTAGACGTTACCTTTCCTCCCTACGCGTGCTCTCGATACAAACGAAGCCTGCGCAGTGCAGCGTTTTGTCGATATAAACAGGGTATTGATATGATGAGAAGGCTGATAATTACAATTTGGGTGAAATTAGACATTTGCCGTCGCCAGAGAAATGTGCATAGACACTAATTTAAATTTATATTGTAAGTCGTGGCAGACGTCATAATTACATCATTGGTAGGTGACGTCACGAGTTTGCCACTTTCTTCTTGCTCGTCCTTGAGGTTTGAGGGAAATATATACAGTTTCCGCAACTTTGCCTCAAACAATTCGCACAGAGGACGTTAACCTTAATCCAGAAGCTGCAGTTTTTCACTTCAATTTGTGCTCTAAATGCTGACATGTATTGCTGGCGGTTTTCTCGCCGATAGCTGGCGATGAAAAGTTTTACACTTGATGGTTTTCTTCTTGCATATCTTTTGGGGTGTCACCGTTTGCCAAGTCATAGGCCACTGTCACACCATTGGTTTCTATCTTTCTTGACGCCGGTTTCTCTGAGGGCGATGGTCCCCAATCCGCTGATGGTTTTAGCAGAAATCTGATACGCTGCAATAGAATATAATAAAGCTTAAGTGCATTTCAAACTTAACTTCAAGTTATAGAACTTAAGAATGGTATGTGCCAAGAAGGTGGCACATAAAACAAAAAACTGAAAAGACGCTTGTTTGAAATGAGATTTTTTCCGTTTTTACTACCAGCTATTACAACTGTAGTAACCAACATTCTATTGAGCTGCATACCCGTTACACGTCTATGGACCTCCTTTTTCCTTAAAATGGCATACTGAACAGTTAAATCCCAGTTAGTTTCCTTAAAATCTGTTATGTTTCTTTTTTTTCAACACGGGTAAAAAGCATAACTTAAAATATAAATATTCTTATTGTTAAGAGCAAGTTTGAGCAAGTCTTGATGAGATAGAGACGAAACCGTCAACAGGTTTTCAAAAAGTACAAATTTAAACATCATAAATATTTTCCAATTTAACTATTTATAAATCCAATAATACTATTTTCTCATAATCGACAAAGTTTATAAAATCTCAAGCAGTCCTTTTTGACAAAGGCGTGGGGCATTTGAACACAGAATAAAAAGATTTATGATGTACAGATGACCCCATTTATTGTTTTGTAAATACCAGGCAACTAAAAAAACCGCATCTACCACTTTTTTAGATTATTAGAATACTCATAATAACTCGCATTATTCAGCGCCTATCATGGGTCACCGTACAAGGAAAAAGGCTTCGTTTTTTATTTATTCACATTCCTCTGTGGGTAACTTTAAGTACTCGTAAACATTTTTATGCTATTCACGTATTCAGAACACGGTATCGTTTCTTTAGTTAAGGGGTTATGGATCACCCTTGCATTAATGAATTTTTTTTTTTTTTTTTGATGAATTTATTTACAGATATTGAGACACATGGATAATGGAAAAGATAGCGAGGATTTCCAAAAGAAGCGAGTTAAGGGAAACAAGATGATAAATTTATGGTCTGGGCCCCGTAACTCGAAAGCATCGCGAATTGCGAATAGCGATATCACCTTTTATTTCGAGGCTATTATATGAGAGGGGGGGGGGGGTCCCGAGTTATGGAATAGAGACGCTTGTGCTCGGTCGCAATTCGCGATGCTCTCGAGTTACGGAGCCCTGGTTGAGAATGCGTTAGTTTAGACAATAAATGTGCATCGTTGTAAGGCAATGTAGGGTTATTCAATTAAAGAGTATTCAATTAAAAAAACACACACACTCAAGTTGTATATTTTAACAAATGCATTGCTCTGAATGGACATATTCTTCCACTATGATTTAATTTCCCTAGCTTTCCCCACTTCATATGTGATTCATCCGTTATTTTAGCCAGCCGCACTACCAGCTGGCTTTTCTCGGCAGGAGTTCCCCTGAGTCATAGCTGCTGCCTTTTATTATGTAGATCCCAATCATTTAGCGACTTCAGGTGTTTTAAGATATAGTGATTTTATTCATTAATAGCAGGTAACGGATGCCCTGATCCGTTACTGGTTGTTTTCATCGGCGTACATGTAAATCCATTTATGAGACAAGATATCTTTAATTTAAGATATTAATGATTTCTAAAAAATTATTTTTACCAAATTTGGTTGAAATTTCAAGNAATCATTTAGCGACTTCAGGTGTTTTAGGATATAGTGATTTTATTCATTAATAGCAGGTAACGGATGCCCTGATCCGATACTGGTTGTTTTCATCGGCGTACATGTAAATTCATTTAAGGGACAAGATATCTTTTAAGATATTAATGATTTCTAAAATAATATTTTTACCAAATTTGGTTGAAAATTCAAGCGATTGGCAGTTATTCAGGAGAAAAAGAAGAGGTAGAGAAGAGAATGCAATTTCAACTGGGTCCGGATATTCTAATGCTTTTGAGCAATTGCTGGTTCTGTTATCCTTATCAGTAATTGCCAATTCCCTGATGAAGGTATGCGCTTTGGTAACTTATTTTTTAAAACACATTAATATTTTAAGAAGTGACCGGTCTTGTAAACAGCTGTTTACCTGCCAGATATTTCCCTGAGCTGCGAATGCGATCCTCCACACCATCACCACAGGTATGGGTATTAGGGGGATGGTGGCAATAAACCAACCTAGGGGCTCTATCCAGTCAGGGAACCGGTAGTCACCGTATGAAGGGGGCTTGTAGCTGAACAGGCTGAATCCTAAAATCATCTAGAAACATAATAGCAAATTAAATGCAAAGAAAGGCTGTATATTAATTTATAAGCAAATTTCATTTTCAAATTATGTTGGGGAGCATGCGCCGTGCTCCAAGGAGCATGCATGCAGGTACACGCGCGCGCGCACACACACGCACAAACACACACACACACACACACACGCATGCCTCTTATTTATCTTGATCAGTCCCTGTATCACCCAAACTTCAAAATCTCGGGTTGCTCATTACGGCAACCTCTTAAAGCACATCCCTTGACTAAAGATGCGTATTCAACATATCACCCCTTTTGCTATTTTAAATTACTGCACCTTTCATTCTCTCCCCCCCCTTTCATACGGGCGTCAAACTGCCATAACCTGAAAAATGTATTATGAACCGCCAACATACCTTCGACATATTAATGAATACATATAGAACCCCCATCTTTTAAATTACGTTGATATTAAATCATTCTTTCTAAAACAGCTCTCTCTTCCCCCCACCTGCGTACCATTAGCAGTCCGGGTGTAACGAACCGCCAGCATATCCGCCACAGTATAAACGGTTTTCGTCCCACCATGGATGCAACGTCATCACTCAAACGGTCAGCACCTGAGGATGCAACAATTCAGGGATTGTATGTTAATCATAATCCTACTTCTACTTTCACAAGAAACTGTTGAAAGACTGATGTTGCGGTAAATGTTTTGATTTTTAAAAATTGTTTTTTTTTTCCTGTTTTTCTATTTTTTTCAATTGCCTTGTGGTTGTAAGAAAAGCTATGCATAACAAGCCAAAACCTGCATACGCTGTGCGTTTTATCCACGTGCAACTTATTTGTCTTCATAAGTTTACCTGTATTATGTTACAAGAGTAAATTAATAACCCGTCAGATCCCCCCACTACATAAAGACGATATTATTTATTGTTTTTTCCTTTCAGAAAAACTGCGCATGACGAAGAAAATGTCTCTGTAAAATGCGGGAGGTGAGACGAATGTGTTTGGTCTTATAACGGTTTGTACTACAGTGTTATTCTCTTTGTAAGGTGAATGCGTTATAAAGCAGCTGTGTGTGTGTGTGTGTGTGTGTGTGTGTGTGTGTGTGTGTTACATGAGATACGGATATCATGATGCAGCGACCCTCTCAAATTACGCTTTACAATTACATTTACTGAAAATATAAATAAATAAATAAATAAATAAATAAATAAATAAATAAGGTCCTTAATTTTAACAGAAAGCCTAAATTCCAGCCAAATAGAAGGTTCTTACCATAAACATAAGCTACTATAAGGCACTCCAGTAGCGCTATGATCACCACCGCCACTGCCGCACAATACCAGTCCATGAATTGGAACACGTATATACCACCCTGGAATGGAAAATTTGCACTGAATTTGAAAAGCAAAATCAATTAAAGTATGTGTATTAATAGAAAATCTACATACTGTTTCGAAAACAAGTTTCATCAACATTGTAGAGACATGAGTCAATCGTTAATTAGTCTGGCCGATCAAAGTCCAGACACTGTACTGTCAAAATTATACATTGTAGTTCCTTTGGCGTGCGTTTAACGTAATCGAAAAACTCCAACTCGATTAAAATGAGTTAATACTTTTAAGCTTTTGTTTTAAAAACATATTTAATTCACAGGACAGGAACGTGTTAACACATGGACGAAGAATGACTCACATTCGTTATACATGCAAGTCCCAGAAGAAATTCCACTACACAGACAGCGAGGGTGAACAGAGTGCGTCGCTTTCGTAGAATCCTGGGGAATTCGTCTATGAAGCTACTGGTGAGCGTTTCCAAGGTGACAAACTAGAAAACAGTAATATATTATATTAGGGCAAGTGTTAAGACTAAATGATAATGGCTTTTATGACATTCCCCCTTAATGACAAACTTCTACTTTACTACATGAGTCAAATCCATAAAAAATTGTATACAGAATATTATGTACCCGGTAATTTAGTTTACTTCTATCGTTAAAGTAAAATGCAATATTTAGTATTTTGAGAAAAAATAAAGAAAGAGATCTAGATTGAATGTAGAATTTTCTCCATTCTTCGTTACTTCTTATCATTGCTGTAGAGTGTGGTTCTTCGTATTTGAGAGAGAGAGAGAGAGAGAGAGAGAGAGAGAGGGGGAGGACTTACTTGGCTGTCCAGTCCCAATGTGAGCAACATCAAGAAGAATAGTATAGCCCACAGTGGAGATATGGGCAGTTGAGCAATGGCTTCAGGATACACAACAAATGCAAGCCCAGGACCTAAAACAGTTATAACACTAAAAAATTAATTTGCAAAACAACATGCTGCTATTTTTTAATCTCCTAGGTTGTGAGTACTTTTAGTTGGGCGGGTTTTCATGCAGTGCTTTACCACATGATAGTACAAAAGCCAACTTTACATCACGCCCTGACGCTATGCTTCTCTTAAAGTACAATCGTTTTTTATGAATTGCCGTAGCATTAATACATTGACATAGACAGGTTGAACCTTACTCGTTAAAAATTAGCAGGGGAGGAGAATTCTAACATGTAGCTTCAGTTTGATAAACGAGGTCTGCTATCCACATACTACAAGAGGAGCAAATTGAAAACCCATCACTTTTAATCGTGTGTTGCCCGCACCCACCCCCGCAGTTTCAGAGGTCATAAGAAAGTCACCTCTACTTATCGACTAGACAGACAAAGGTGAATTTCCAGCTGTGATCTCTTGGCTACAGGGTGCATGCTCCGTGCCACACCGAAAATCGGTTTTTAAAAAGTTTTTAAAAAAGAGAAAAAACAGCAAGTTCGCATTTGTCTATTAATGTTTCAGACATGACATTCTGAATACTTGTTTATGACGGTTCGGGCTTTCTTCAGTACATTTCGAATCACAAGTAATGGTAACACTTCCGAAAGATATGATATATATTGATTGCATGGTGTATAAGCGACTGATCGTACGCACCTTGTTTGACCACTTCGTCGACTCTCAAACCGGCCACTTTCGCCATATAACCCATGACGGAGAAGATAACGAAACCTCCATAAAAACTCGTACCACAGTTTATCATTGGGATTAACAGCGAATCTCTAGAATATAAAACGTATCAAATATTATAGAACTACAAGTTATTCATAAAACAACTTTCTCAGTTTTCATACCTTTCACAATATGTGCAGGGAAATTCTAAATAAATTCAAGGTTAATTAATTGGTAAATAGTAAACGGAGCCGAAAATGTAAGCCTATCGACTCGTCCATGTCAATTCTAATTACATCTTCAAGTAAGCATACCGTACAGAGTCATACAATAAAGGAACCCACACCTCATGATATTATTGTTGAACTCGTTATAGCTGGCCATAGTGATCAGTCCTCCCCAGGCAGGCCCTAGTGAGTAGAATACCTGGAGACACGCTTCGCACCACACCTGAGGATGTACAACATTAAATAAATATAAACTTATACTTTGCTTCTCAATAACTTAGATTATTTCACGCATCACATCCACCTAAGGATGTATAAAACAAAATGAGTATAAAATTATACTTTCTTTCTCAAAAGATTAGATATTATTTCACGCCTTGCATCACACCTAAGGATGTATAAAACTAAATGTAAGTATAAAATTATACTTTGCTTCTCAATGAATTAGATATTATCTCAGACTAACATCGTAGTATTCATGTGCAAGTTCAAAGGCGTTAATCAGATTTGGGAGAGCACGAGAACGATGGGCCTCACCGCGTCTTGATAAACTTTGCTTTAAAAACCGTATATTCACAATTCACAAATGCAAATAGGATGTAACATGCCCTTATAAATAATTAGTCAATAATTATATCATGTTTGGATGAGCTCTGATATTGGCGTGGGGAAAACATATCTGTGTGTTCCCTATATTAATAACGCTCACTCTAAATTCGGCAAGTTTTGAGAAATCCGGCGTGAGGTAATATTTCACGCCTTCTAGAGATCCCTCGAGCGTCGCTCCGCGTATTAGGAGAATGGTGAGGAAAATGTACGGCGTGGTGGCGGTGACGTACACGATCTGAAAGAAAAAGGGGAATTTACACTTGTTTTCCAACAGATTTCACCCACAAGATATTAATGTACAGCAGCGCTCAGCGCTAATCAATGTATAAACCTAGTACAGTTTAGTCATGGGTGAAAGTTGTAAAAACCGAAACCCCTTAAAACGAACTTGCATTCTGTCATTGCTTTTACACCAAGTAAGAAAAACGATCAAAAAGAAGACTGAAATTATGAAATCGGACATAATCCTGAAAACTTTCGCCTGTGGATTTAGTACTTGGAATATTCTTTCTATTACTCAGCATATTTTAAAGCAGCTTTAAAACTAATCCAAATTTTTAATTAATCCAAAACAGTTTTATCCACAAAATAAAAGGAGAATAAGATTTAATTATGACTACATACCAGTCCTGACGATTTCACTCCTTTGCATAAACAAACGAAGGTGAGAGCCCAGGCCAAAATAAGGCAGATCAGTAGTTCCCATTTCACAGTGCCTAGATTATCAATACCACTGGACATCCCCAGCACGGCCGACCTTAAAAGGAGGCAAATAACCGTGCATCAGGTGCTTTTTTTATGATCACGGTATTCATAAATGAAGACCTAGAAGTGTATTAGAAAAGGCCTGCACCACTCCTTAATGAAAGTGGAATGGGTGTTTCATGATGACAATGAAAGATCCGGATATTGGTTTTATTATTTTTCTACTTTTAGGCCTACCTACTAAAATGGTCCTATCAACGGTCATATTAACGTATCAAAGCTGTCACTAATACTGCACCAATCAAAACAACTGCACGTTTGAACAATTTCCTATATTTGGTATATTTTCAATTATTACATCATTTCAAACGTTGAAATACCAGGGTATTATGTCCACATATTTTAAACGAACAGATCAAGGTAATAAACAAAACTCGATCGTATGTTCCCCTCTAACAACTAATCAAGGAGCCACGCATATAAGCAACAGAACATACGCGGTTCACTGATAGTTTACACCATCTGTGTGGGATGCATGCACATACCGGCCGGTTCAATCCCTAAGCCCTTGACCTTTTAAGTTCCAAAATCGTAGCATTTAAACAGTTGTATATATGTGTAAATAGAGGAGCGTGACTTAATGGAAATTTTGGCCATGTTGTGTGCATGTAAAAACCGCGGGTTTCTTTGTGGCCGTTGCCTGTATACCTAATACAGCTGTTACTGCTTTTTTTAAAGTTGTGAGCAATGATTGTAACCTACTGCCAATATTCCTCTGTAGGGCTTGTGGACTTGTTACAGAAAATGCTGTCTTCTATGTAAGATATATTACTGGCAAGATCTACAGTAACATTCGTGACCATAACCAAACCTTGGCCGGACGAGGTATTGCTTTGCGAAAATGGCAAATAGTTCAACATGTTGCCGGTTGAGTTAGTCCCAGAGGGGCCCAGAAGGGTTGCGTTGCGGCTCTCCCCCGCTGCCAGGCAGCATTCCGTGTTCCACCAGTTCCCACAACCACCCCAAGGCACCTCTGTTCCGAAGGACATGGCAAGGTAAAATAGTACCCAGGTCAGGATGACATTGTAATAGATACACAAGATTCCAGACACTAGGATCATAGCGTAGCCCAGACCTGAAATAAATAGGAATGCAAATTTTACCCTAAAAATAACCCTACCTCAAAAATATATTAACGGTGTTACAGAGTTACAGATGGTTTTTCAAAACGAAGTCATATGACACAATAAAAGATCAGTACTTGTATCAATGCATATTTTTATATAGTAAATAAGCTACAAAGATTTATTTCAATCACACACCACTTGAATACGTTTGAATGTTACCTTTGAAAAGCGGACATATCCTCCAGGCGGTCATGGGGCTACTGGCCGAATACTGACCGATGGCGAGTTCCATAAAGTACAGGGGTATAGCACACGTAAACAAGAAGAAGAAGTAAGGGATCAGAAACGCTCCTGGAATATAAAAATCATGTTTTAGTGCCGTGGAATGAGAACCCGATTTCATGGAGAGTGAAAAATATGAGATAAATCATAAACATACACCTGCAAAAAGAAGCAAGTTAAATTTAAGGTTCCCTATCATATTAATAATTTCCATTCTTGAAAATTCGGTCTTTTCTTATGAATTTCCTAAATATAGCAGCAGAACGTCATGATATAAAATAAACCAAAATATTGAAAAAATGCCAAAGTTTATCCTGTAAAAATAACTTTTTTCATTGCAGATATTTTACATACTTTTTAAACATTTTCCTTGCGTAGACTTAACTGAACAGATTAAGCTCCGGCGGTTGAAGTTGCCTAGGGTTGTCTCGTAACCTAGTGTAAAATGTACCAAAGGTATTCTGCGTCGAATTTTACATATAAACAAAGAGCTTTAGCAAAAGCCGGCTGAAAAGCCCCCCCCCCCCCTCCACACACACACACACCCTCTTCTACCAGCCACAGACATGCAGACCATTGTTATCCAGAACTCATTCATCACAACGTTATCCATTGATATGTCAAGCCGATCTCAATATAACGCCAAGTCCTGATATCAAATGAAATAAATTAACACACAGTTGTATATAAACACTGCCGGGTTTGTATAAGCATACAGTCTGATGACGTCCATACATATTCAATAAGTAAAACAACACAACTTCATATGAATGAAAACAACAATATTCCTAACGGCAGGGTTCAAAGTCCACGCGCATTTATTGATTCTCTACCAATATAAAACTCAAGCCACGTTTCGTGTGTGTTATGGTGAGGAATGCACACAAACTGGCACTACCACAGTGTAATCAAATGGCAATAAGGCACATCTCAGGTGTAAACCTGAATTTAAGCACAAGCGTACTACACATCCCCATCCACCGCACGTCCTTGTGAGGTTTTAGAGCCAATTTTTGCCGGCAATTATGTACACTAATACGTAGAAACCTGTCCTCAACTAACCTCCTCCATTCCTCATACAAAGATATGGAAAACGCCACAGATTCCCTACGCCTACTGAATAACCTAGCCCCGACATGAAAAAGTCTAATTTCCGGCTCCATTTCTCTCGCTGGAGGACAGGAGCTTTGTAAGAGAGAGTCCCCTTTGCTTCTTCCTCAGTGTCTTCCTCGGAATTGTGTGTTGTGAGACCTATCATTTCGTCACGTTTAAGTCCCTCCGCCGTCACCGCACGCCTCCAGATTGTTTAGACATAGTTGACCTGATTATCCTGTTTAAAAAATCGTCTTTGTTGATGGAGACTAATAAAACACGCAGCGCACCCTTGAGTGTCGATGAACGTGCATCTTTCACGTGGCTCTGTGTATATTCGAGTCATTGGTTTCAACATCCGCTTTCAAACACGCTGGAGTCTGCGCATTGAATCCAGTCACGACTCCTTCCTTAACGTCTATAATACATGCTCTCAATTAAGCAGTCAACGCAGTATGAGAGTTATTGAAAGTTGGGCGGAAAAGACAAAGCCAAAATCAGTGTATATCTCATCATCTGCTATAGCATAAGCAACGAAAGCTATCTAATAGAATCTCATTAAGCTATTTTAGATCAAGAAGACAGCGAGTAGACTACAAACCATCTTTTTTAATGATAAAGGCCATTGAAATAATAAATCAATAGATAAAAGAATAAATCAACAAATCAATACATATATAAACGTTTAAGATGTGTTATATCTTTTTGTTAGGACCGGTAGACCGGCAAAAATGTTCACCGTTTTCAAATATTTAAATATTTATATAAAATATTTCAGTCGGAGTTTAATTCTTCTCGCAATTTCTTATTGTAAACGAAATGCTTATCTTTCTGGACAACACACACTATTGCAATGTTTGAGCAATAGAAGCTGGCCTCCGAGTGTTGCATAACAAAAAATATGCCGCGTCTTTAACCTTGCGCATATCTTAAACCAAGCCTTTTTAAAGCGGAAACAATATTATTATTGCCACGATTCTTTAAGCGTTATTAATCTCTCTGGTTGGTGTGGACGCATAGTGAAGACGAAAACCCGGTGTGAGCGGTACTCTTTCTTTCTCTCAAACTTTATTTTATGTATATATTTTGATGATATCCTGCTGAAAAAGGAAAAAGGTGAAGCAAACAGTCAAGCAATATTTTGAAAATATTCTTTCTGTTGAATACCATTTCATACTTCTAGGGGCATACTTCTCTGGCCATTTCGCCAAACCAGCAGCTAGACTAATACTTTTTTTACTTAATAAATGCATGAAGAAAAATGCATATTATTAAATCTTTTATTTTTAGAAAGATAATTGGTAAGTATGATGTAAGACCTACTTCATGCTTCCATAAATCTGGGGGTTTTGCACTGAGAGTAATTTAAAAATAAATATACAGGTTGAGCAACACAACAAAATCTGTTTCAGTGTATGCGTATATGTATGCTTATTTCATATACATAGTCCATAATGCAGGTCCCCGTTTTATGCAGGGAAGTTCTTGTCTTAATAGTTATGGGGACTAGCGATTCGGTGCACAATTAAAACAGTTATAACAATATATATTCCTTCATTCATAATTTGAAGTGCCAGCAGAAACCAAGCACATTGCTTCAAGGCCTTTATACCTATAATGATCAAGAGCGTTTTTGCAAAATCTCTTTTTTTCTGCAAATTTCTGCTAAATTTAGTTCCTTTGCTACAAGTATTCACCTTTCCGCGGCATTTAGCCAAAGGTTTTTCTTCGCCTAGAATCCAGCGAAAATTTGCAGCATTCTGACAATAATGCCAGACATTTAATCACGAAGATCCAAATTACAGTTAATTAGTTTTCAATTTAAGGTACCCAAAATGTGAAAGCGTGGTTATCAGCATTTATGTTTCTTTGAATACAAGGTCTCATCAATCTCATCAATGGCAGCCTTTTTGAAAAAAAAATACTACAGTTATTTTTTATAAGAGACCCAATTTAACGGGGAACTTTTGGCATTTTCATTCATTTTTAATCAAACCCTTACAAACGGATATAGTAGTTTAGCAAGGGCGAAATGACTAAAAAAAAATATTCTAAGGGGTAACGTAATCAGCAATTGTTTGTCGCGTACTACAATCAATCAGTCATCCTTTCAAATATTATCTAGTAGCGGGCGTAATACCAGTGAATGACCTTTCGGTGAAAACACGGAGAAACATATTTTATAGGTTAATCGCAAATCTTTTCGGAAGATCAAGGCTCTGAAAGGGCACCTCTTTAGCGGAGATAATCACACATAGCATCTATATAGTATAATATAGTATAGGTTTGACTTTTTAACTACGGACGAATTAAATTGATCCAAATAGCAGCAGAGGATGGTATCTCCCTAACCCCTTTACCAGTGGATCAGGTGATTGCCTTGTCAGCTATTTTCATCTAATCTGCCAACTGAAGATCTTTAGACACACATTTAAAAATGCTTATTTGAAATGGTAGTAATAGCTATGCAAATTTGAATCTAATAGAGATTAATTTCTTATGTCGTGAATTTAATTTCAGGTGAGATGCACGTCCTTGATAACCGGCATATTCATCCCAGCAGGTTACTGTTGGATTTACTGGCAACTGGGAACAGACGTCACATGTCTGCGCTTTGGTACGAAACTTAGTCACGGCGTGCGAGTGACTGTGGATTTATACAAAATATCATTCAAAGGTAATTAATGAGCCAAAGAAAATTTGAAATTTTCTTTGCGGTATGTTATATATTAATTAACACTGAAGATTTTCAAATAATTGAAATTTTTAGAGGCATGCGACGTCTTAAACTTTTTTTTCAAAAAGTCCATTTTCACCTGCTTTCATTGTTGACACACCTTCCAGAAAGTGAATGAAGGGATTTCACAATGAAACGAATAAAAATAAGCAACATCACCGCCGTTCACTAGTATCCAACATGTAAACTACATGTATGTGCGCAAAATGAAAAATAAACAAAGATGGAGGAGTGGCAAATTTCCAAGTAAAGGTACCAAAACACATGTTCTTGAAGTGTGATAAGAGCAGGTGAAGCAGAAAACGATACACAACGCAAAATCACTTGTGATTCGAGCCAAACGTAAGACTCTAAAGCCAAGACGTGGTAATCAATAAACAATGCTATATATATCTATACAGATTAATCAAAACATTTACATATATTAGTGTTCTCCTATTTTATACGAGATACTTATTTTTCTTTGAAGGCTCAGTAAGTAGGACAAATGAAACTGCTAAAGAGTTCTGTATTCAACTAAACAAACCGTGAACAACATAAATGAGAAAGAGCAGAAACCAATAAAGATGTGATGACAGCAAAAGCAGATGTTACTCCAAGTATTTTTCAAAAAAAATGTAATTCATAATTAACATATAATAATAATAAAAATAAAAAAAAAATAATAATAATACAAAATACACATTTCCAATACACAGCTTACCATTGGACGAGGGACATTTTTAGGACATGACATTGGGACTAACCTCCACCATTCCGCATACACAGGTACGGGAATCTCCAAATATTGCCCACTCCAACAGCATAGCCTATGCCGGACATTATGAAGTCGAACCTTCTTGACCATTTCTCTCTCGTCGGCACAGAATCAGCATCGGAAGATGTTGTTGATTTGTTTTCAAAATCGGCAGAGGCCGTCGCCACTTGCGCTACGGCCATTTTTCGGTATTCCGCAGTACACGTGTAGTTGCGAAAGACGAAGTAAGCATTTACACCGTCCAAACTAAACCCGACGAATGACGGGCCTTTTGAAATAACAGGCGAAATTTAGAGTCTAGACTCGGTGGCTGTGCAGAAAAATCACTTTAACAGCTGGCAAGATGTCGATCAGACTTCGAGTTTCAATAATATGTCTAACTCGCAAAAGATTATAAGTCCAAGCCAAAAGACCTTAATGGTTTCTTTTCATTCGTTCCAACACGAGTGCGGGCTCGTGTGCATACCTTCAGAATATCATCTCCAGGCTGAATGCCAAAAGTCACTTTTCTACTTCATGGCCTACTTGGAACTTTTCGTGTACGCATTCTAGCGCGAGCCGTTGGAAAACGATTTGACTCTCACAATCAGCTGCTCCATTCGTCTTGAGGCGGGCAAAAAGTCACAGGCACTGTTCACTAACAGTTAACCGTGTGTTGAGAATACATTTTGTGCATCAGCAGGTGAGAGGTATGTCCAGTGGTGAAGTTAAGTGGATGCGGTGTATTTAACGTAAGAAAACAAAAAAAAATTAGCTTTGCCAAAGGAAGTGTTCCCTCCAATGAGATGCTTTAGTGCATTGAGCTTCACGCTTGTTCTATCTTCCATTCACGTATTACAAAACATGAGTTAGCACGACCGGATTTTTAAACACCTTTATAAACGCCATTTCCTGTGATTGTTATAAGATATGTTCCCCCTTTTAAATATTTTTCTTGATTGTTTCTTTCGTTGTTAGCATTTGATAAAACCTACATATATTTGCCCCCTCCCTCTTCCCGATTCTTTCTTCGGCACCTTTTATTGGCCAATAGTTGAAAACTCACAAAAGATAAGATGAAAACGATGCTTCAGATGGCCACTAAAACGATTTTCTGAGTGACTATTGAAAATTTAAGATTGTGCATATAATACATGTACAATATTAGTTATTGAATTATATCAATTGAAACATGCAATTTTTTTCTTAAACCTAAAAGTAAAAAATGTCACTTTTCATTTTCTCTCTTTCATAACTATGTTTAAGATCGCCGAAAAAGTATTTGAAATTATATTAAATGAATTTACAATATTTATAAAATTAGTATATTGAAACATTTTATCTTGATTGCTTTTCTCTGATTCTATCGAAATCATTGTTAATGAGGAGAGCTTAAGGTGTTGTTGTATTGAGGGTCCCATGAGGGGGGATCAGTTCAAGGAAATAATCAATTCACAAAATACAATAAAAAATTTTAGTCATATCTCACAGATGATTTCCAAAACCCTGAAAATCACGAATCATTGGATATAATGATTTCGTTTCACGAAAGGCGGAGATCTAAAAGGCGGCATTCACGAGTTATACAATTTATCTTCACTCTTAAATTCAAATCTAAATCGCAATAGAGAAGACAAAATGAGAAACAAAGCTTTCTTCAAAGTAATAAATTTAAATGTTAAAGGGATAATAACTCTTCGTATGAGACCTATATTTCACAATAAAAACCTTGTGAATAACTCATAGAAATATAATATATTCTGTTTTACCAAGAAAACAGCAGTTATAGCTTTTATTCTGATATTTGAAATTGTCTTTAGACAATGTGACCTCCATTGATGTCTATACTCTGTTAAAATCTCTTAAGAGATTTTTAAAAAAAAACCAAACTTTTTAGAAAAAAACCAGGGACTAACTTTGAATGTAAAAATGGATTCATTAACCATTGGTAAGTATGGGAAAATTGTTGTTTACTCCAGGAAAATTCATTTTTTGGCCGAAACGAAGAGTTATTATTGCTTTAAATTCATTAAATATTGAGTATTAAGCTCATTTAAAGCTGACAGGAAAAGGATACTAAGTGATGACACTGAAGTCGAGGAAAAAGTTTGGTGTCATTATTGACATTTGGCTCTTTTGACCTCTTCCACCAAAATAGTTACCATGCCTGAGATAATTTGGTTTCAGCAAGTCATAGGCCCGAGCGTTATGTAACTTTCCTACTCGCACAATATATTCATGTTTGGGGCAACTAAAAGAAGTAATGCAGTCCCAGTGTTAAGTTATTTTAATCTTGTTTACAAACCGGACACAAATATATAATCCGAGATAGAATAAAATAAAATTAACATTTTGAATATTATAGTCATGATAGTTGAAAAGTTAATAAAACGCGCCTAATTGATTTGTGGCACGCAGGAATCAGTATGATTGGATCTCAGATGTGGAGGGAAGAAGCAGAGTGACGGAAAAGAGATCTTACTTTGAAATCACTCATATATATATATATATATATATATATATATATATCAGTTATTGAATTGTATCAATTAAAACATGCAATTTTTTCTTAAACCTATAAGTATAAAGAGTCATTATATATGAGAGAGAGAGAGAGAGAGAGAGAGAGAGAGAGAGAGAGAACCCAGGGGAAATCTGTTACTGCCTGCGTGATCTGTAGCTCGTGTATGAGGAGTAAGGAAGTAAAGAAGTTACAAGGCTGGCTGCTGCGTTCATATCATTTTCCATGATTGACTAATCACCTAAAATATCAGTAACCAACCACGGTTACATCTTTTGTTTTTTGGCCACACTTTAGGTATATATATCAGCTACAGGTCCCTGTTACATAATTTTTTCTGGGCACTCACCTGCTAGAAGTCTTTAGGAGATAGTTCGTATCGTACGTGATAACCCCCAAAATACCAGCCTTCATTTTTTATGCTAGGTGGGTACTGGTTTGAGATTGGGTTACAATTCTTTTCACACCTGCCCAAAAACCAACGCGCTGATAGCCGTGCGGGAAACTTTAAATGAGTTGGACCGTTTACTTTTGCGTTTTCCTGCTTTCATGCTTCAATCCATGTGTATAAATAATTTATTCGTGTGCTGTGTTTTTTGTATTTATAAATTGTGTGTGTGTGTGTGTGTGTGTGTGTATGTGTATGTATGGTGTTCAGGTTTGTTCAAAACCCGATACACAAATCAAATAATACGGACAGTGTTTCCAACTGCACCAGAATTCATTCATGGCTTATTATTGTTATGTTTTACAATCGATTATTGAAATTGCTATATAGTGTGCGGGTTTTTCTGTTTTACGACACAGATAGAAGCTTTCAACAATGTACTTTGTAAACTTTGAGTTAAACTTTCAGGGCGCATTTAGAACCGGTTGATCCTCGAACGAACTAGTCAAATATGGCGCGACCAACTTGAAAACGTGTCCCCTGCTGGGAGGGCAAGCGTGGAAAGAGGGAATCCAAGTGCGCGCCATATATGATTCGCGGACTAGTTAGTCCACATATCAACTAGCTCTGAATACCCCCACTGTGTATAATGATGACCAAAAAAGATTTCAGATGGATTCCATTTACTGACATTGATTCTAACTGTACATGCCAGATCTCGGCCTTGGCAAGCAACGAAAAAGCGGTACATATACTACACGTTTAAACTAAGGATAACACAACCTAAAACATATACTGCGTAATCTGTACAAGATATCTTACACAAAAATCGTCTAAATGTTTCTACGGCGATACAAGTTAATATGGCCAACGCTGTTTTCTATAATTTCGTTCATGTATATAATATTCAACTAAGCCATTGCGGAGCAATCTACATGTACTCCAATACTATCATCGCATGTGACATTATGTACATATACTTTAACTTTTGCTAACCCAAGAAATCATTAAATGCTACTTTCTGACATACTGGTACATAATTTTGAAAATTGTCCATCAAGGGATACGATTGAAAGAAACTGTTTACAATACCATATATGAGTTAATTATCTAATTCGTAAAAATTTATGATAAAATAAATAACAGAACACTTCTAGTTCATTCTCTTTATCAATAATATATCAGTCACACTTAAAAACTCAAATATATACACTCAAATACCGACTAACAAAAGCCAACATGAAAAGAAAAACGCCATTTTAAAAGCGGTCTACTCTACTGCTGTTTATACATATCTGAAGGCACTGGTTTATATTTGACGAATACACTTGTAGTACAATGGTATCGACATTGCTTCCTGTACAGAAACAGTTTTATCAACTTGAGTTACGGACAGAAAAAGACGTTGATCTCTAGTTTACTTGATATTCTACTACAACCAACTTAAACGTACTGTTCACAATTTCAATCCAATCGATTTTATGACACATTTAAAAACTGTTAACCACACATCATATTATGTTTCATTATAATTGTTAAAATAGTTCTTGCGCCTTGCTGTAAAGAAAACCCCCACGACTCCTTGTTCCATGGCTAAGCTACTCACAACTTCTCTTACACGATGACGTCAGTGCAAGTACACTTCTACAAGATGTAAGAATGCTTTGGCTTGCTCCTCTTAAGGTTATTGCCTGTGTTGGACGAACTGCGTGTTCAGTTGCATAGCAAATTTAGACTGGGTTCCCATACCTAGATCGACCCAACAGGATCGATCCATCTCCGAGGGTTTTCTCGCTAAATTGTTTTAAGCTTAAGCGGCTTAGATGTCTGGCACGCCTACTGAAGACATCTAAGCCGCGTAAGTTGATTGCAATTTAGTAAAAATCCCCTCGGAGATAGATCGATCCACAGTTAGTACGGTAGGGTCTGGGAATGGTCCCTTATTTGTACATTGTGACACCAATGTGACATCTTATAGTCAATGAAATAGCATTATGTGTACTTTGCGTAGGACTGCATTACTAGAAGGGAGAAAGCAATTATTATGTCCGATTAGTAGGCTGGGATCGGAAATTTGAAGGTACCGAAATTTCATTATTTTTGATTGGAACAAATCTCAACACAGCTTGTTCTAAGTGCAAGTCATAGCAACAGCGATTCTTTATTAAGAGTATTACTGTACCAGTATGAAGAGTAATACGAAATATAATTTATGTAACCAAGTACCACTATATTGTACATGTATAACCAGATTTGCATGTGTCACTTTCAAACAATCTATTCAAATTCACAGTTACAAGGTACAATCCAGTCACACCTGTATACCAGTGACTATACTTTTGAATCGTCAGTATCGTCTAAGGGCTCCTTCGATTCCTCAAAAACAGGATCTTCCTGATCCGGTTCCTGTGTCGGCACCCTGACAGCGTCACACCGATATTTGTAAGACGCTCGGTACTTAGCAACCGCTGGACCCCAATCCTCAGACGGCCTAAGCAGTGTCCTGATACGCTACAAATAAAAATATCCCAATGCAAACATGTTATAAAAACCATCAACTGATTCGCACTATACATATACTCCATAGCAATTAGTGTGTATTATTTACTTCCCCGAGTGCCCACTAAAAGTATACCTGTAATGATGCTATAAAACGAATAAATATATGCGACCGGCTCTCCAGCCATTAAGACTTTATAAAATGGCCATATAAGAAACTTCTTAAATTCTTCAAAACCACGTATCCTACCTACGTTTCCTCATAGAAGCAGATTTCATACACTCAAGACTGCATTTTTAAAAACATAAATCATTATCTTTAGTATTCACGAGCAAAAAATAATTTACTTTGTATATGTACATTTTCAGGAGATATGAGCAGAAGGGGAGCCAAAGAATCGCCACATCCCACCCTTTTTCATATCTTTGATCCGCAGGTAACTATAAATACACCCCTTGACCATACCTGCGTAAAAGGTCCCGGTGTTTTGTAGATTTGATACACAGCCACTATAGGTATGGGTATGAGCGGCACGGAGGCGAGGAACCATCCAAACTGTATGGCAGAGGGTGGGTAGCTGTACGTGCCGTAGAAGGGAGCTTTATAGTCTCTGACAGTCAGCACAAATGCAATCTGAAAAGATAAAGTGACAGAGCGAAGTTGATACTAAATAAAAAAATCATAGTGCCTGCTGCAATCACGATTGCGATAGGGAAGACAGTCTTTGCGTCTTTTTTGTTTCGAACGGGACACGGAGCCGGAGTTTTGTTGTCGTTAAAATTTTTTGAAACAGCGTCATGGCAGTTATTTTTTACTTAATTAAACTATGAACTTTAAAAAATGCGCGTCTGCCGTCATATATTATTATCTAAAAATTCTAACAACAGTCTGAAACATGTGATTTTAGCATTGTAACCACAGATATTAAACCTAGCTGGTAATATCATTTTTAAAATAAGCAAACAATATTGGCAGAGCGCATTTTTGTGGAAGGACTAGCATTATTACTTTAATTGAAGTTACACATATCTCGTTACGCCAAAATCTATACTTTGTGAAATTAGATGAAGTTTGCTAGTAAGCTATTGTGATAATGTACTGGGGAACTTACAAAAAGTAGCACAGGAGTTAAGAACCTCCAACATATCTGCCAAATGATGTTTGGTTTGTAGCCGATCATCATCTCGATGTCGTCGTACAATCGGTTCCCACCTGGTGAAATGAAAAATAGATCATACGATCAAGACATTTCAAACACACGTATAGCTTATCACCTTTTCCAAAAAAAAAAAATAATAATAAAATAATAAAAAAAAAAACGGTAACGAATACAATAATTTATCATAACATGATTTAAAAAAACAATCGTACAAATTATAATCATTTTCTGTTGCATACTAACTTATTTTTGCCTCTTCCTAGACGGCATTGAAAAGAGTGACCTACTTTTGGCACAAAACACATGCAGTCGCAAAACGAAGTCTGAGCAAACTTACCGCCAAATTATGAAAGTGAACACCCTCCAGAACTTCATCAGACAAAATTTATTCACAATCAGGTTAACTTCTGTACATTTATTTAGTTAAAAATCTACGTGCTCTAGTAATAAAGACTCTTCCAAAAACAGAAACTACACAAGTAGGCCTACTGTGCTGCCTGGTTACAAAGCCAGATTGGACTGGATGAACTGGCTATATCTAGTTCGTTGTCAAGGCAACATACTGCCTGTCAATCAAATACGTTGTATGGTATCTACTCACTATAGAAAGTGAAATCTTTTGGGACTGAAGACCTTGTTGAAATGTTGTTTATTTTCCAAGATATAACCTGAAATTTTGTATGATGTTTTCTTTAATGACTCTAGCATCACCTCTGTTATCTACAATTTAAATTTTAGTGCTGGAATATGATAAATTAACATTGTTCTCATATGCCATATATAAAAATGTTTTATTTTTAACAGATGCTGCCAAAAAAAATGGTATAATGGAAAGTGACGCGGAAAGGATCATGAAAACGTGTGGTTGAAGAATGCCAGTGACAGGGAGGGAGGAAGGCAGCGAAGATTGTTGAAGAAGATTGGTATGTATTACATGCTTGTATTTAATCATATTTATTTTCTTTTGTCTCTTTTAACACATATTTAAAAAATTGAAATTACTGTTTTAATACAAAAATAAGATTCTTTTCCATGTTTGCACTACATGTATCAGTTGGTTTCTTAAATAGATCAGTTTATTCTCATTCTGATGATGTTGATCTCCATGCCAATCCTTTTACTTATGTTGAATTTACATGTAAACACTTCAGTTTAATAGGGATATGATGGACAATTACTTGCAATCACTTCAATGTGTTAATTTCAGAAAAAGAAGAGTCCAGGCTTTGCAAGAGACAATTGTATCATCATCCTCGGATTCAGACTGATGTTTTTTTTTTTTTTTGGTCCTGAGTTGAAAGTATGTATCAAGTTACATGCTAATTGAGAAATTAAATTTGGATACCTTAGTCAAGATTGACTATTAATTAAGGTTAGGGGATATTTGCCGAAGACATAGACTAACTGTGCTTGGATCTACATGAACATGTATATGACGTTTTTGACCGTTTAAATTGTTCTGACTACAAATTAAAGCACTCATGCTTGGTTCTTTCAAACAGATATGTTGCAGTTAGAGTATTGAATAGAGTTAACCTAGAATTTTTTATGTTGTTGTTTGTATATTTTGTGATATGAACAATATTGTTCCTACATAGTGTTATTTGCTGCAAGTAAAGACAGCATTAGACTGGTATGGCTTTGGAAATATAAGAAAATTTATTTCCCTGTACTGCTTAATGGACGTACCGGTATATATGCATATGTTTATGACAGTTTATGTTTCGTTCAAATGAATATTTTACCAGATACAGCACTAGAAACAGTTTTTGAATAGAGTTAAATAAGTATTTTATATGATGTTGTTGTTGGAAAGCTTGTGAGGTGAATGATTGCATTAAATAGTGCAAGTAAAGACTGTATAAGACTGGTATGGCTTTGGGATGTGTTTGGAGGCCATTTTATATAAAATAATTCCCATTTGTTAACCCTATTAAATGCTTAAACCTACAGGCACATGCATTCAAACAGATTTGTTACCATGTGGGTACAGTAACAGTGTTGAATGGAGTTAACTTAAGTATTGTATATATGCTGTTGTTTGAAGATTTGTAAGATGAGTGTTTTTTGTTACTTTAAAAGTGTTACTGCAAGGAAAGATAAGTGTAACTGGTATGGCTTGGGGAGGGGGTGAGGCCACATCTACTAGTGGAAGATTACCTATGTTTTCTATACTTTAGGAATAGAATTTATGGGTTTTTTTTTAAATATTTATCTCAAGGTCCATTATAACTTGCCACGTTATTGTATTTTAAGGAAGAAATATTACAGAAGAATAAACACTCTTGAAATATTACATTGTGTTTTGTCCATTATATATGACAATAATATTGATAATATAATTATCAAAAAATTAATAAATCAATGAATTAATGAATAATAAAGAAAATAAAAAAATAGATAAAAGCGGTGGACCTACGTCGGCCCACCAGCTACTTGTCGCTGGTGGGCCGACGTTGGGCCGCTCAAGCTGTATGTCGCTGGTGGGCCAACGTTGGACCGATGGTCAGGCCAACGTAGGCCCACCGGCGACAGTAGCTGGTGGGCCGACGTAGTTGGAGTCGGCAGCCCAACGTCGGCCCACCGGCGACATGCTATCTGGGTAGTGGTATCATCTCCGCCTCCTGTCTAATTACCATATATCCAAGCTATGATCAGGACTTCAGACAATCCCATTGTGACAACGGCGAATGCGGCACTGTACCAGTCCATTATCTGGAACACGTACACTCCTCCCTGAAACAAACAGTATGTGATAGAAAGGCTTAGCCTCGTGCGCAATCTTAAGCAGTCTTTGCGGTAAAAACCCAGTAATTTAATACAAAGCGTCTATTTTAACTCTATATTGTAATGCTGTTAAAAAGTGGCGGTGATGTTTGGGATATTTTCAACCGACTCTGTGTGATAAGATATCTAAAAAAATGTCACCCAAGAACAAGATATAAAGGGATGAAAATGCACCTTAAACGCAAGAGTGGAAATGACACTGATTGCAAAATGTACACATTAATAAAGGATAACAGCCGTCATGATTGCGACAGTGAAAACAGATTAAGGCAAACTGTTTACCGATGTAACATCTTTATCTCCTTGTTTTCCAATTGCTTTCAAAGATCAAATGTGTTGTAGGTAGAGATGCAATTTAAGTAAACGATTTGACACCTAACATGGAACTTTTACAGAAGAAGAACGCATGTTTTATTCGAAAGGGTCTGTCACTCTCTCACTTAAAGACGGAACATCGATTTCAAATACAGACTTGACATTTAATATGGAATATTTTTTTTCCAAATCATTTTTCATCAAATTTTACCTATTTAGCTGACTAATAAATGAAAATAGGGATTAAAATCGTGTTTTAATAACTTTAATTAATCTCTTTATGTCATTGTGGCATCAGTTCATTAATTGAATTCGACAGTGAAGCAAACAAAAAAACATTGCCTATTCTATGTCATACAGCAACCATTAAAATTGGTATTTTGGATCTCCATATTTTACAAATGATCGTCTGTAAAAGAGTAACACGCCCCACAAAGGACCCTCATGTCAGTGTCTAGTCACAGCAACGGTCGCTGTTACGCCTGACTTCTTCTGGCTGCTACCAGGTCTCTCAAGCGGCAAGGCATTTCTTGGGATAGGTTTTTAGAGTTCAATCTGGAATAATATTCCAGGCATTGACCAAAACTTGTCCAATTTGGTTCAGTTTTGTTGCACGACATGTAAGCTGTTGATTCGGCTAGTAATGGCCTACCAACATATTGTCTATGTGGTTCAAATTTGGCGATTTTGATAACCAAGGAAGTTGCTCAGTCCCTTGGTTCTGAAAGTTATCTGCTATTAAGAGTGTTCTGTGTGATCCGGCACTCTCACCGTGCTACCTGAAATTGTTCCTAAGGTGCCCCCTATCAAATGATAGTCAAGTGGTTCCCAGATTATTCCTTTATTTGATCTGGTTCAGGTTTTCATCGATGACTTCTCTTGGTGTTTTGGCACCAATGTGGTATCCAGTCCAGATTTTAAGCACTGCAAACCGACCGCTTGCATGCAAAATTTCCAATTATTTTATGCAGTAGTTGCCGACATATGGATACTTTTTTGATAGAACCATGCTTTGGCACACCCAAGCTTGGACCAGTCCAAAGGAGCACTACCCAATTAAATCATTGCATATTACACAATTCAGCAGTGCAATAAACATGGTAGTCAGTTAATTAGTAGAGACACACCTCACTACACACTTTTCCATTCACATATCTTATATGAGATCGGATTTCTTTGAAAAAAGAACGCATTTTTACCTAGGCATACCTTCTAAACTAAAATATTCCATATTAAATGTCAAGGCTGTACATACCCTAGTTACACACGGTAATCCCAATCCAAACTCTATAAGACACACAAATGTGGTGAACAGCATTTTTCTTTTTCTTAAAAACTGAGCAAATTCGTCGACGAAACTGCTGGTCAGAGTTTCCAGCGTTGCAAACTGAAATAAGGCCAATATCTCAATTTTACTATATAATAAATGTAAATAAATGAGCAATTTATTTAGAAGTTGCAAACATTCAACTTTAGACACACTCAAAATATCTTTATCCCAAACGTTAATTATTTACTACTGAAATTACGATTATTTTTATTTTAAAAATGTGCTCTGCTTAACACTCTGCCAAACCTGAGTGTCAAGTCCGAGAGTCAGCAACATCAGGAAAAACATAATAGCCCAGAGTGGAGATATCGGAAGCCTCGCTATCGCCTCGGGATACGCAACAAAAGCTAGACCAGGGCCTGGAAGAACAAACCCGCGATATAAGTGTTTACTAAACTGGATAGGCTTCTTACACGAAACTTTTAACCATCACTAAATAAATTATTTAAATAATGTATTTATTTATTCATTTACTTGTATTAAGCATTCTCTTTATTGGATATATAGACCATTATATAGACCATTCATCTTTCCCTTTCTGGAAAGAGAAGGAGAAAGACACTTTCAGACAACTTTAAAAAATCTTTTAAAAATCTTTTAAGAAGTGGAAACGGGATTCCTTTTTTTAAATTTCAGATGGTGCTCACGAAAAAAAAAGAAGAAGAAAACACGTGCCATACCTGACTGTATCCCTAGCTGGTCGATAGGGGTGTTTGATTCCTTGGCCATAAAACCAATCACAGAGAAAATGACGAATCCAGCAAAGAAACTGGTGAAACAATTTACAAGGGGAATGATGATGGCATCTCTGAAATGTACCAAAAATTTAATAGTAGAATTTATTTAAAATTCTAAACAGAATCTCACCAGTTGATTTTATCATCGATTTTTAAAGTATTTTGTTATTTTTTTATTTTTTCATAATCTAATAACAATATGCATAAACAGCAGTTAGTTTAGCATAATCTAAAAATACCAGGTGAAATAATACCTGTACATATTATTGTGGAACCTATTATAGCCAGCCATTGTGATAAGTCCACCCCAAGCGGGTCCAAGAGAATAAAAGATTTGAAGACACGCCTCACACCATACCTGGAAATATGGACAAGAAACTCCACGTTATCAATATCACTCACTTAAAAGCATTAAATCCAGCGCACACTATGAAATATCTGCTGAGCTACCGACCAGTTAAGCACATCAAACACAAGTTGCACTCCATTCGAACACGGTGGCTCGTAACTATGTATGCTGAAGGCACGTTGGGAAGAATAAATGAAGCAAACAACAAGCAAACAGAGGAGTACCAGGGTAAAGGTTTTTAAAACACAATTTTTACTAACATTAAGCTCTGTTAACTTCTGGAAATTAGGTGTCACGTAATACTTGATGCCATCGATTGCCCCAGGAAGCAGCAAGCCTCGAATCATTAAGATCACCAAGAAGCCATAAGGCACCGTGGCCGTCACATACACGACCTAAAAGAGAGGAAAACTGAAAGAAAAATTTTCTCACTGTGGTTCTGTGGAAAAAACATAAGCACACTTTGATAAAAAGTGAATGTATTATAAATATCGTAATCGCGTCCAGGCTAACAAACAGAATTATGGTGGCATTAATTTTGTACCTAATAGATATGCCTTCTTGGAGTAAGCCTGCTTAACAATCTAGTAGTTTTACATATGGAGGTTTCGAAACTTTAAAGATCTACGGGAGAAATGAAAAGAGGGAAATTCTCTTGCAATCATGTGAACTTCGCTAAGATTCTTCCTACCTTCCCCGAAGACTTGACACCTTTCACCACACACAGCACCGTTATGATCCAGGCTACTATCAGACAAATCAACAACTGCCATTTTATTCCTCTTAGATCTTCTATACCGGGGGAAATATCTAACAGGTTGTAACTGTGAACAAGAATACCCATAACAGTGGACATTGAATGTTTTTAACCTGGGCCCCGTAACTCGAAAGCATCGCGAATAGCGATATCACATAGAGGCTACAGTGTTTTATATGGGGCGAGTATGGGCGAGTTATGGAATCGAGACTCTTGCGCTCGGTCGCAACGCGCGATGCTTTCGAGTTACGGGGCCCTGGACTCGAATTGGGGTGTTTAAATATGCTGTCTCATACAAATATAATTGAAAAATAAAATATATAAGATAGCAAAAATAGGCCACTGTCTTCCAGCTTCTTCATTTTCAAATGTCAATCTGCACACTTGCATGCTTATCGTGCAAGCAGAAAATATGTGAAAACTTGAAAAAGGCGAAGCAGGCCCACAGTGGGTGTGCAACTTACATTTAGGTTAAACATTAAGGAACTTTAAATCAAAGACCAAAATATCTCATTATGAAATTCAAACCGAAATATAACAATTTAGAAACCTCAACAGTTAATCGTTTGTTAATATCACAACTATCACTAACTTACAGCCAAAACTCCTCCGTCGAGCTGACCCCTTTCGGCTCAATCATCGTATTGTTACACGTTGAATTCCAGTAAAACTCTTCATTAATCACAAGCGTCTCGTTCTCCTCTACCTGGTAAGCCATGAAGTCGAGCGACGAGTTCAGGTAGGAGTTGGTGCAGTTGGCCAAAGCGTACGTGACGTTAAGCTTACGGTCCTTGCTGACGCAGTTCTCCGTGTTCCACCAGTTTCCGCACGTCCCCCACGGCACGTCAGCGGCAAATGACATGGCCAGGTAGTAGAATACCCACGCCATAATCACGTTGTAATAGATGCAGAACACTGCAGAGACCAGGACCATGCCAAACCCTATGCCTTAAGACAAAATTGATACCAGTACATTTCGTATGTGTTTGGAGCAAATTTGAATACATGATATTTCTATAGCGTATACTATAGATGCTGTTTTGTATGTATGCAATTAATTTTTTACGTTTAAAAACCTGTGCGCAGTACTAAAATGTAACGTCAATGTGTCGGTGCGCGCGTGCGTGCATGGATATATAAATATATTTAAAAAGCAAAGTCTTTCATAGAACTTACTGACCAGTGCAGAGAGGTTTATCAAGCACTTACCCTTGAAGAGTGGACATATCCTCCATAAACTCAGTGGGCTGCTGCTGGAAAACTGGGCTACAGACAACTCCATAAAGAACAGAGGAATGCCGCACAGAAATAGGAACAAGAAGTAAGGAATAAGGAATGCTCCTGAAATGAGAGAGATTGTTGATTATTTTCAGTATGGACCACCAATCGCCGCATTAAAAAAACATGTGATATGCAATTGTGACACAATGTTATGTTTAAAAGTTTCGTGACTGATAAATATTATGCAACCCATATGTGCCATGTTTAACCAATTGGACTATATAGAAAATTCTATAAAAACTGACAAAATGCCCCCACACTCGGCTGTTTGGTTGTTAATAAATGTAAAAATCACACAAAACGAAAAAGAATAACACTCAAGTGTAGGCCCTATTGTTGTAAAAAAACTCGGTCAAGATCGAATATTTATAAACAATGCGGTGATATTCTCAAACTCAGATTAATTGGTTTTAGTAGTTATAATATGTACGCGTACAGTAGGCCATCATAACAATAACCTGTTAATATTGTCTACTCGGCTTTTTAACGCCCCCCCCTCTTTACTCTGAATGCTTGGCCTTAGAAAATTGTTACGTCACGACCTCAGGTCACCTCTTGACCTCACGTATTATCAAGGCGGGATTTTGTAAATCCCACGTTCATTCATTTTGTCAGTATTTTTTGCTCTTTTTATTGCAATAACGTATATAATATGATATTTTGACACTGCAAGTATTGTTGAACGTCGATTTAATCACCAATTCCACGGACGTTGTATTCAAACAGCAAGTCTCACGTGACTCCATTTTGTAGACGACTGTTCACAGGTAACTAAGGGCCTAATAAGCCTCGTCACGTTCTCTGTTACTCCATTTATCCAGGGAAGTGGGCAGGAAATTTTTCTTGGGTAGGTGGTTCTATTTGCGGGGAGGTAGTCAGTTCTAAACGTCACATGCGGCATTGTTCTATAGGAGGTTTTGCAAGAACGTACTGGGGGTAGTCAATTTTCACTGTCGGATTAAGGGGTGTGTGTGTGTGGGGGGGGGGGGGGTCCTGACCCCCCCCCTTCAGTTTCTGAAAGAATAATCATCCTTATATTCCCCTATTGAATTTACAACTTTGACTAGCTGAATCATAGTACTAAACCGTACCAGATGGCACCGTTTGCCCTCCAAAACACTAATTTTTACCCCACGTCAAGGGAGCGAGGGTCAGCTTCTTATCCGAGGCTTGTCATTCCTAGAAAAAAAACGGACCTCCCCCTCCCCCTTCAAATAATCCTGGATCCGCCCCTGATTTTAAACGTCGTTTGTAGAACAGTAAATGCTAAAATGCACTGGAGGGAGGCGCAGAGGTACATCTTGGCCACACGTGATAATGTTGTTTATGCGAACTTAAGTTCAACAGGAAGTATTTGAGTTTTGTTTCACATGTGTCTGGCAAGGATGCCATTCTGTCATTATTTTAAGTAATTTTTGTCAGTACGTCGGAATCAATTTATCGAAATTCAAGTCATAATCAGAAAACTAGTATCAAGACGATATGTGGCAGGTGTAAAGATGGAAGTTGACAAGGTATTTTCTCCACAGTTTAAAGTTAAATGAAATAAGGTATCATAAATGAACCAAAATGCGAGAGTTGGGACTATGCAGAACTTCACATTTTCAGTTCCTGCAGCAATCGTGACTGTGATAGTGATTGTTCGCCTCTGTAGCATTTACATTGATTCGAGGGAAACATATCCTATGTTGTGGGTACTGGTTTTAAATAATTTCGTAATTAATAAGGCAATGAACAAATTTTGATTCATTTGACACATAACAACGCACTGCTTTTCAACCAGGAAGACGAAAGCCGAGATCTTTAAAATTGGCTCAGAATGACGTGTAATATACTGGGATAAATAGCGATGATGTGTGGGTATTTGGAAACTGTTATTGATGAAGTTACATAGCAAAGCCATCAGCTTCCACTTGACATCTTTGACTCCTATTCACTAGTAACAATTTGCACCTGCATTAAAAGTCGCTTTGCGCTCACACAGCGGTGTTTTGATCACAGGTCGGTGCTACTAGTAGTCTTAACTGACACAGGACCTTTGGTAACATTGGATGGCTGTCTGGTATCCCGCCGGGGCTATCAATTAGTCATCAGCGCGTTCTGTGCCGACTTGGACGACAAGGAACTGATGGAAAATATAATGATAAAAAGGTCAGTGATTGAAAATCACTGAGTGTCCTGTAAGTGCCTTGTTTACAATGATGGAGGTTCTTTAAAACTGTGAAGAAAACATCGAAATTTGGGAGCTGGTTATATTATGACGAGAGATGGCGTTGAACCACCAACCACCGAATTCTTTTAAAAGCCGAAAAATGACCTGTAGGGGCCCGGAAATTTAGAAATGATCTGAAAAGGTGTTTATGTATAGTGTTTTTAATGGACAAAAAGGGTTACTTTGAACATTACGGTTAAAGAATTGAAAATGCCTGGAATTTTTATGTTTTACTACCATGTGAATAGTGCATGTTTACATGCTTTAATAGAAAATGGTGACAGTGTCCTTAGTTGCGTTAGATGTTAGTCAAAATACCAGGGTTTGTGTAGCTGCTTAGTTTAAGAAACACTGGTGGAATGGTGCCATTTAGTCGTGACGTGTGGGTATTTTATGTAATAATCCTTATATAAAATGATTTAACCTTATGGGAAAACCCACCACATAATTACAACATTCAAAAATTGGCATTTTGTCAGAAGTTAGCGATTTCTTACAATTTGGTACAAGTACTATGTGGCGCACAAGAGCGCTGACTAGGAAATTTGCCCACGCAGTAGAAACGACAAAAATGTACACTTTTATTTAGCAACAAATGCAAATTTTATAATGACGAAACGAAGATGACATGAATTAAGTACATATACGGTAATTTAAAAAACGGTAATAACGATAAACTAACATTTTTTCCTATAGCTGCCATATTTTAATGATCCACCACATTTCCCCTGTACGCGCTTTTATATACAGCTACGCTTTTTTAACGGTCACACACTTGTCATGGGATGTCTATTTGATATTTTGAAAACAGCCGGTTAAAGGTTTTTTCATCATTTAGACTTGGTGTACACACTGTTGTAAGTTAGGATAATCGAAAAATTAAAACAGGAAATTGGCGGTGAAAAGTATACTTATATTTGGTAGATGGCAACGGACAAAAGCATATCTTAGACACTGGTTTTATTGCCTGTTTAACGACAGATACATGCACAGGAACCACTGTGTTCAATTTATTAATTCTCATGATAAAAATGCAAGAGTGCACTTCCAAAACATAGATAAATATAAAACCCACATTTTCCGCGCTTTTGTACATACATCCAAGCGGTGACATCGATTCCCTTTCCATTTAGCAAGTGCGAGTTTCACTTGAGTGTTTTCTTTAGAGTGGGCGTCGGTGACAGGACCAGGGGCAAGAGGGATGCCACTATTCAGCAGACATAAATGAACAGGCATAACGATAGCTTTTGGCAGTGAATTTCCTGAAACAAGAGCTTGAACTGCCAACGTAAAAGCATTCGATTGCTTTCTTTTCCTGGTCTGGCTGTCATGAAACCCATTGAACAATGGAATATCCCAGCTCCTCGAAGAAGTGAGATCGAAAGCTTTCAGCCGTGTAGTATTCAAGACATTTTGTTTTTGTCCGGAAGACGAGCACTGAGACATTGATGTAGCGTCATCGACCAAGGATCGAGGACTAGGACTTCCACTTGGTAGTTTAAATGCACAGAATAGAATTCTTTGCTTCAAAGGAGTTTTTACAAACTGGAAATGTGTAGTTCAAGTAACACATTGATTTGGTACCATCGAGTTATTTGGCTATGATGTACTTCGTCCGACTTCAATACGGTTTTGTGGTTCTTTGATCATTCCCACGATCCAGGACTATATTCTAAATTTGCTCATCTGTCGTACGTAGACGACGTTTAAATTTAGAACATTGTACAACGCCGATGTGTGTAATATTTACTATAGGTTATACAGAGAAAATAATTAAGACTAATTATAGATTCAGCAATTTTTTTTCTTCTTACATTATATAAAAGATGGAAGTCCGTTAATGATGGGTCGGGGATGTCATGGGGGGCAGTATTATTATTATTATTATTATTGTTACGTATAGCATCTTGAAGCTAACTCATTAAACTCCGGAATCTGGTATTTTTCGTGTGGCGATAATTCCCCCCTCTTCCTATGAACGGAATCTACTATCATTATCCAAACTTAAAAACTCACACACACTGTCTATTTATGTGCTTAGATCAAGTGGCGATGATTTCAACCCCTTACTTATGAAGGAATTCAGTTTTCTTGTTCTGGAAGAAAAACAGTTACAAACTTGAAAAACCTTTTGGTTTTACGTATTCAGACCATTCACGCACCTCGAAGGTATAATCTTAACTTTTCTTTAGCTTTTATCAGCTCAGACGCTAATCTTCCCATTAGGCATAAGGCACAGGTGACGAACGCAGGTGGTTTTTACGCGCTTGGCAAAGTAAAATAGTGGAGCAAAACTGCTAAATAAGTTCCCAGGATCGGGTCTGTCAAAGCTTAACTATGCTTCAGAAATATAAATATTTTTAATTATTTTTCTGGAAAAAAGCCACATTCTCAGCACAACACTTAACACCAGAGCTATGTGTTGAAACATTCTAATAGCCCCACTCCCGCCCAAACTGATGGTTCTGTCACATGTGAAGTTAATGTCCAAGCAATCCTTTTACTTCCCAAATTCCTCGTATTTACCCTCTTTCGGTATCACCTCCAGTGTTTTTTCACCAGTTATTCACAGCTTTTTCTGTCTGTATTTCTCTTGGCACCTTTATTTTTTTCCAGCGATTTAAAAAAAAAATACGCCATCATCTAGCTAACCTCTGGTAGAGAGCAGACTGGATAAGGTACCAGTTCTTTGTTGCTACTCAATCACCGTCAATTTTGCACGTTTCTTACAGTCACTTCGTGGGGAAGTTGGTTAATAGGAATGGAACTTTGTGCTTGTAAGTAACACAGGCCCTCAGCAATTTATCAGTACTAATAAACTATGACATGTTGATACGCAGACACTTATGTACTGCAAACAAAAATTCAAGGTTATTAATTTATGAATGATAATTAACGTTTACGTGCAGTGCTTTTGATTTCATACTTGGCATTAGTGCAATTTTAAATAGCGGTATTATTTCTATTTCACGGAGCATGAATCATACTTTTCTTATATAAGTTTTAAACAATTTCATTGTTCTGAACACTGCCAGTGACATCTTGTTATAGCCCCATCAAATATTTGTTTACTACCCTAAGAGAAAGTGTTGGTCGCTTTCAGATGCCTGTCTTCGCTAAAATATTGAAGCAGGCGTTCGGAAGTCTAATGTTGCAAATGAACGACAAGGGAACACTTAGGGTCGCCTTTAAAGTAATACGACTCCATTCTGTGATTTCGAACTGCGGGCCAAAAAAATGAAAGAAGTGAAGTGATCATTACACGCATAGCTAGCGTTCTATGCACACTGCGCACCTATGACGGAGGAAACAGACAATCATTTTAAATGGAAATAGATCCTGGCTTTTTGACATGTAAATAAAAAGTGCCAATGCCATGAGCCAAGTTTCGTTAGACAGGATGAAGTTTGGAGCTACCCTGCGCCCTTAGAAATTAAGGCTATATTCAAGATGCAGTCAACATTGCAGTTATTATTTCTCACAGTAAAGGAGAACAGATAATGAAAAGGAAAATATCGCAGTTTTTAAAGATATAGACAAATACAATCTATTATAAATAATAGTTTATTTAGATTTTCCAAAGCGTTGTCCTCTTCCCGTCTGTATTCTATTGAAATTGATAATCTGTGAAGGATGTAAGTATGCTGTTTCAGTTAATTATATTAATTATATTATTGACTTTATTCAAATTGTGTTGGACAGTTAGGACATAGCAATCACGTGCTCTCCGCCATTTTAATTTTTATTTCATGAAGACCAAAAGGGAAACATGAGTTCACTTCTCATACCACCTAAGGGACAATATTGAATAATAATAATAATAATAATAATAATAATAATAATAATGGTTATAAAAGGATTTTGTAAGAAGTTAGTGAGAGGAAGGAGAATTGCTTACGGTGACAGGTAAAAAGGCAACACCTATATGTTAACTGCGTGGGGTCGTAACATTGTAGGTCATGTTACTAGAATAACATCAAGGTACAAAGATTTGATCAGGACGCAATAGCACGTCTCCAGATGGATACATTTTTTCCAATTGCCATAATCAACCTGACGTGTTCTCCTTTTGGGGCACTATTCGCGAATTCAAATTTCAGGGGGAAAATGCACTCACCTCCCCCATTTCTCATACAGACGTATGGAAACCTCCATAGGTTGCCAAGGCCAACAGCGTACCCAACGCAGGACAGGAAAAAGTCAAGCTGACGGGTCCAGTTCCCGCGTTCCTTATTCTCGTCGCCTTCAGATTCCTCGGAATCCACTTTCTCTAGTTTCCCATTATGTCGTAGATTTTCATTAGTGTCAGCGCTGGCGTCCGACTGGTTTTTCTAAAAAGAAGTCGATTACAGAATAATCCTTCGTTTAGATTGATCAATTGGCGCCAGATGGGGCGCGTTTTTAGTTCATGCTTCACTCGACATATTTGCATGTAAAAACATTAAAAAAGATGCTGAAAAAGCAAGCAACCTCTGTATTCCCACATGATACGTACCACATAGTACAGTAAACAACTCCCACAACCTTGACAATGCATATTGCTCAGTACATTAGTAACATTAACATTAGTAACACAACATTGCGTAAATCCTCGTAAGACACGTTTTACTAACCACTGAGACTGAAAATGATGTAACGTGAAACTGCTATATACGCAAGGTTCATAAATTTTAGAGGGTTAAATCGATTGCCACTTTTTTACAATACTTAAAGATCATAAACTATCTATTCTGGAAATTCCCCATCCCATCTCCACGTTACATTATTGATACGATTACATTAATAGGCAATACGTCATGTAAAGCTTAGGTCTAGGTTCCTTGCGTCCGGCTAGGACGAAGCTAGATCGCACGTAGCGGTTGTGATCATGTCGAAAAGTTTCTACGTGCTGTTTGCGTTCTCCAAAAGTCGCACGATGGACGTGCTCCTCACGCACGAACTCACACGTTTTCCCCATTTTTTTGGCCGTAGACCACACGTTCGGTTGGGACCTAGGCTTAACATCTTAGCATTGTACGCAGGTGGGTGTGCACAGTGTTTTAAATGGGTTGTGTTGATGAAAATGGTACTATAAATTTATACTGAATTCATCTTTCAGACCCTGTGCTTAAACACGTACGTTCTGTGTTCTAGTAGATGGATGGCGTTGCAATCTACAGATGTGGGCCTATTATTTTGGTTGTAAAAACCTAAGGACGTTAATTTTAGTCGTTTAATTGCTTAATAAAGCAACTAAATCCACGATAGGCCCTAGAAGTGCAGATACAACGTTCATTAGTAGCTAATAAAACCGAATGCCAAATGGTTTATTTTTAGAAGAATTTTCAGCTTGTGACAACGTGTTTTCACCTAATATAATCGAAATACATGTAGCTACCGAGACTTCCGTTGACTCCTAGATAGCAGTTGGAAACAGGTACAGTTTTGTGGTAAAATAAACTTAAAAGTGCGCGTAACCTTGATGCTACATGTGCACAACACACCAGAGAAAAGTTGAGCCCCCTTTTCAACGACCTGTTGAAATGTTAAAAAACATCGCTGCCAGTGTGGTTGCCATTTGCCACTGCGGTGGATTGGAAAAAAACACCAAGTGTGCGACTGAAATGCCACAAAAACTTTGAACTTTAACACCCAAGATTTCCTGGCAGCCGAAAGAGTTTATCAACCAAATCAACGACACATTAACAAGTCGTGAAAGGCCCTGCGTACTCGGACCTGCGCACATGTACTTGAGAATAAGAATGTGCCTCATTAGTGGATCAGAGAT